CTCCCATAGAGAAAATGGTACACGGAGCTGGAAAGTTTGGCTTCTCTGCCATCAGTCTGTGACCCCCCTATCTACCGCATTGGAGACACTGAGCATCCCTGGCAAGCATCTCCAGGGGCCATGTGGTGTTCCGTGAAGGGGGTCCTTCCTGACGTGCAGAGGCAGCTTTTGAGACACCTGGATCGGGGGCCAGGGTGGAGGCCCGAGAAGCCAATGGCCCTTGCTCCTGGGTTGGCTGCCTTGAAGAGCACTGGCTGCCTGGACTAACTTATCCTGAGTACTCAGCTCGGAGAGGCCTTCTTATCTCACCAGGCGATATCACTATCAGGGCTACCCCTGGGTCTCCTGAGGCATGCCAGGTCTGTTTGGCAACTTCGTTTTCCCCTGCCCAGGAGTAGTTTTCAGGGAGAAAGTGGGGTATGGGATGGAAGATGGGCGTCCCCCAGTAGGGCCACCAGTACTGTTCGCTCTTCTCCAGCCCTGGCTCCCTAGGATCCCCCGGGAAAGCCTCCTCTCCCTGTGCCCTGTCAGCATGGGGCTTGCCCAGCTCCCTTGGGGGTGGCCTTCCCTCCCCGCCCTGCCTCTCAGAGGAAACTGGTCCTTTAAAGAGTCACCCCACTCCTTCCCCTTCCCCTTCCCAGGGACCACAGTGAATTCTCGTGAGCTAGGAGAGGCTCCTCTGGGCGTGGGGACAGGGAAGCTGCTAGATACCTGACTGTGCCCTTCAGGAATTCAGCAGAGACAGGAGACTTTTCTCGAGACACCTGCCTCGGTGTTCCCAGGGTTTGATGAGAGGGACTGGGTACAGGACTGTTTGATTCTAGTAAATAATGTTATTGTTGGCTCTACTTGCCAAGGAGCTGGGTGTCCTGGAGCCTGGGGCTGAGGCAGGACCTGTAAGGTATCCCCAAGCAGGATGTCAGGCGTGATAGGCATATGGCCCTGGCCTTGGTCAGAGACTTGAGAACAGGACGGGGAAGTTCCCTGAGGACCCCGTGGGGCCCCAGCCCAGTACTCTTGAGGGTCAGCGGCTCCTGACTGGAGAACACCTTTGCCTACCTGATCCCCATTCAGTCCCAGCTGTTCATTTATTCAACAAGTATTTATTGGTGCCTCTGTATGTTGCGGTGTGGTTTAGACACCAGGCATAATCCTGGCACCAAGCAAAGGTCTCTGCCGTCACAGGACTCAAATTCTAAAGGATGGGAAGCGTGAGTGACTGGAAATGAGTGTGGGTAGTAAATAATCTGTTAAAAGGCAATACGAGCTATAGAGTAAGAACTAAAGCCGGGGATCAAGACCCCTTGGGAGGGGGGCAGGTTGCAGCTTTAAACAGTGGTCAGGATGGGCCTCGTCAAAAGGGTCACATTTCAGCACAGACTTGCAGGAGGTGAGGGAGTTCTTTAAGTAAATGCTGGGTGCCTCTCAGGTGTGAGGGCACTAAGCACTGGAGATACCACCATGGACAGGTCAGGTGGGGCCCGGTTCCTCCCCGCTGGAGATGACATAGCCTGGAAGCTGCTTGGGTCAACTTGCTGGGATGAGCCAGGCAGCCTGCCCACCCCCACCCACGCCCACCCCGGGCAAGACGTCAGTGTTCTCCCCAGAACTGCTTTGCTTTTCCTTGTGCTTGACCACATCCAGTTTGTCACTTCCCTGGAGAGAGTCTGGTGTTGGATTGCAGAAGGGGACCGAGGCCCCCAGGATGGGGATGTGGGGAGGACGCACGCATTCCGACTTCCCACTCACCCTGCAGGAAGAGCCTGGGGGTGGCAGGAGGGCCCTCCCAGGGCTGTGGGACTGGCCTGTGGCTCCGTGGGACGGACAGTGAGGGGTGGAGGGCCAGGTCAGGCTCTAGTTGCTGACCCCAGGTGGTCCCATCCAGCCTGCTCTTGGCGAGCCCCTTTGTCCTGGGAGGGAGGCTTGAACTGAGCAGACGGTCTGCAGCCTGGTTGGCGTTCAGACTGGGACGTGGACTCTTACTGCCCAGGCTCCATAGCTCTCAGAATTGGCTATTTCGTAAGTAATTGTAAGAATTACATGAGATGATGCTTGCAAAGTGCTTCAAGTAGCATCTGGCCACAGTCCCTCTCAATCCCTTTCATTACCTAACAACAACAGCGACAACCATTCTGTGGTTCCCACCCCCTCGCTCTCGGTGTTCTAGTCCCACCTCCACAGAGGTGCCCTTTCTGCCAAGGTTTGGTTGCTAAGCTGCTGGCCAGGGGCTGCCCAGTGCCTCTGGGAGATTGGGTTTCCCAGGATAACTCAGGCGCTGGCAAAGCAGCCGTGGGCATCTGAGTTGGGACGCACAGGTGCCCAAGGGTCAGCAGCTGCCCCAGCTGCTTACAGCCCTCTCTTAGCACTCCCCGCCGTGGGAGGTGCAGGGGCGAACTCACACCCGGCGGACGGAGGCCAAAGCTACACGCAGGATGTCGGGGAAGGGAGGGCAGCTTAGCAGCAGCCGGCCATGGGAAGCACGAGCAGAGGGGAGCCTGGGACTGCGCCTCGTGCCGTGCGTGCTCCCGGAGATCGTGAACACGAGCAGGTGCTAGTGTGGCCCCAAGAGCCTTCTCTCCCGTGGGCCTGAGATGTCCAGAGTCCTGCTTCCGGATGTAGCCTCTCTTAGCAGCTCAGTGGAAATGCCCAGGCTGTGGAGGGACCTTCTAGGGGGCTGGCCCATCACACACCTCCAGCACAGGCTGACGCAGCTTGGCCAAGCCTTGGTCTCCTGGGGATAGATTAGCCCAGGCACCCCAAACAGTGCCAGCGTGGGAGGAGCCGTCTGCTCTGGGGACCCCCGTCTTCCTCCCTGTGACACAATCAGACCTGCTGTGTAGAGCGGGGAGCCAAGACAAGCCCACTCGCCTGCACTTATTTCTTCTCTGCTTCCACTGGTCTCTGCCCTGAGCTCCTGAGATGCAGGGGTGGGGGCAGGGTCTATGTGCGTCCCTGCCACAGGGTCTGTGCAGAGGATGGGAAGGGAAGACAGGGTGTGAATTGGCTAGCCTGTTGCCAAGTACGCAGCTCTCCTTTTTTTTTCCAGGGTGGGCATCAGGGTGTGGGGAGACCAATTCTAGGCCCTGGTATGTTTCACTGGCGGGCAACAGTGTTGGGTGATTAGAGCAGTGAGAGCGAAGGGAATCGCCAGGTCAGCTGCCCGCGGGGGACTCTTCAGGCCAGCTCCACGCACGCGGCACAGACCTGTGGGGAGAATGAGTACGAATCAGCCACAGGTCAGCAAGCCTCATGGCCCAGCCAGCCCTGTACCCTACGCGCCCCCCCGCCCCACCACCGAGGGACCAGAGAGCCCGGCAGAGCAGGGAGGGCGGCTCAGAGGTAGGTCTGGACACGGACGGAGGGCGCAGTGGACAGGAATGGAGGCCGAGGTTGGGCAATCTTTAGAAGTTCAGCGGATGGAGAAGGTGTTTCTTCTCAGGAAGCGCCCCTGGCACGGGTTGTGCTCTAGCCAGGTGGCACCCCCAGCGCAGGAAGCCAGGACCCTCGGAGCTCCTTCCTTCCCCAGTCTTTGCCTCAGACCCTTCTTGGCGTCAGACTTGGGGGGCTTCTCAGCCTGGGGGGCCCCTGAACTCTCTTACCCCACATCCCTCACGGCAAAAGCGGCATTGAAGAATACAGCACCTGAGAGCTTGCCAGCTCCTCCCAGGCCTTCCTGTTGAGGCTCACAGCCGCCTCACCCGTCATAGCCTGAAAGCAGTAACATCCTTTCGCCCCGGACCAGGGGCGCCTGAAACATGAGGCCACACAGCTGGTTCCACCCACCTGTCTACTCCCTGCCTCTGTGCCCATTTGGTGTCCATAGCCGTGGGCAGGGCAGGAGCGATCCCCCAGCAGGACTGAGTGCCAACTGTGAGCGCAGGGCCGCCCTCACACCTGACCAGGACCTGGGCCCCTCCCGTGTGATCCTCTTATTTCCCCTGCCTGGGAGGCAGATAAACAGAAAGAAGAAGAAGCATCACCAGTAATCCCATAACCCTTCCACTGTGTTGTCGACTTATGTAAATATTTTTTAAGACTCTACCTGACTCTTGGATACATTGGACATATGTTTCCGTGGCCATCGTCTCCTGCCCTTTTCATGACTGTACCCGTTCCATCGTCGGGCTGAGCACCCTTCACCTGCCCCCTGTTGTTGGCCACTTAGGTTGCTTCTGATTTTTCCTAGCAGCTTAATGACAAGCACGACAAGGCAGGGGAGACCGTCCACAGAGCTAGACGAGTGCCCGAGTCCACAGTGGTTTTAGGCATCATTTTAGCATAAGGCACAGTCGAGCGCTGAGGGAGCACGGTGAACGTGGTCCGGATGGGGTCAGGGGGAGATGATTTTGGGAGGGTGATTTTTTGTATGCTGCTTGAGGGGCAAGGTTATATCAGAGGGAAACGTGGAGACGAAAGCACGGAGACCACAGTGAATGGGGCTGGTGCGGGGGCTGAGGAGATGGACACAGGGCCAAGCAGAAGGGGACGTGGGGTGGGGGAGGGGAGGGCGGACCACATCAGGCCCCTGCCCAGGACTGTCAGGGGGTTCCCAGTAGAGTCAAACTGAAGCTCTTTGTTGTGGCCCACCAGGCCCCCCTTCTGACCCATGTCATCCCTCCTTGCATGGAAGCCTGCTGCCTGACACGCCCTGCCCCGAATCCTCCCGCGGGCTGACCACTTCCTACCATTCAGGACTCGGTGGAGGTATTATCACCTCTGTTCGTTCATTCAGCGCACGTTGGAGTGGAGGCGAGGGAGGGAGGCTCGTGAGTATTTGGAGGAAAAGAACCCCAGGCAGAAGGAACGGCAAATGCGCAGACCCAGACTCGGGAAGGTTCGCTGAATCCTGACCACCAAACCCTGGTCACTCGAGCTGAGCATCTTCCCTTATTTTCTTGTAGGCTCTGAGCTTTCTCTGAAACCGTCCCGCTGACTGATTTGTGTACCTCTTAGTCATCGCGCTCCCCTGCCAGGATATAAGCTTGGTGAGCTGGAGGATCTTGTCTGTCTGTCACGGTCGTATGCCCGGTCCTCAGACAGTGTTTGCTCCGCGCCAGGCAATGGCTTCTGCCGTTGCTCCCACTGCTTGCAGCAGACAAGCTCTCCGGACCTCGAGGAGCTGCCACCCAGCTTGGAGGAGCCGAGCTGTGGTGCTTGAGCCCTGGCTGTGGGTCCCAAGCCCTGGGCTCTTTCCCTTACGTCTCCCCGCCCCCGTCAGGAGTGGGTTGAGTAGGTAGGATCTGTTCCACACCAGGGAGCTCCAGGCCCAGGTTCCTGAAGCTTCTCCGCAGAGAACCTCTTGCCTGGGGTGAGTGGAGCTGAGGGTTTGATTGGAGGTAAGTCCAGCCAGTCCCAGACCTGTCCGCCTTCAAGAAGGGATGGTACTTTTTTATGCCTTGACATGGGCAGCTTTTCTGTACTGGGAGCTACGCTGAAGGTCCTGGCTCCGTCACCCCAGGCCAGTGGTGTTCCAGCCCCCGGCTGGAATGAGTGGCAGGTCCAGGCAAGGGCCCCCGGCTCTGCCCAGCCAGACCTCACCAGAGGCCAGGACCCACACTGCTTGCTTGGCTCTGAGCTGAAGGCATGTGGGAGTGTGTGTGTCTGCATGTGTCTGCGCCTTGGAACTGCACGGCTGTAACTAGGCATCCTCTGTCCTGTCTGTGCATCCTTTTCTGCCTCCCAGAGACCTAAGATTGGGGAGTTCACCACACCTGGGGTCAAATCTCAGTTCTGTTGGTACCTTCTTAGGGATTGGATGAGTTGCCCAGCTTCTGTGGTCTTCTTTCCATGTCTGCCGCGTGGGGATGTTCCACTCACCTTCCAGGGAGGCTTCTGGAAGGAGAACGAGCATCCAGGATGAGGTTTAGGTGCACCTTGTTCTAACGCACAAAGGTTTGGTTCAGTGCCTGGTAGGCAGCAGGGGCTCCAAGGGGCAGCCGGGTGGATGGAGTGCCCGCCCTCCCTCCCCGAGTGGGGCTTTCTCCCACCCAGCTCCGCATCCTGTCTCCCTCCCTCCTACCTGCACGTCTGCCCCTGGGACTGGGCGGTGTCACCCTTGAGCCTTTGTGGGTCCTTGGCACAGATGGCCCTGTGCCCGCTTGTCCCCACCCTGCAGCCTGAGAGGGTCCCCGGGGCAGAGCCCAGGGTGGCCTCTCCCTGGAGTCTGCAGGCCCGTTTCCTCCTCCAGGGCGTCCCTCCCAGCCTCCTCTGGCTTCTGACCCAGTGACCTGGGCCGGGAGAGGGAGACGGGGCATTGCCAGGAGCCTGGGGTGGCAGGTTGATGAGCTGGCGCTACCCTCCCCCATGGCTGGAATGCGAGGCCACCAGCCCAGCTGTTTGTCCAGGAGGCCGAGGTCGCTGCAGGCCCCGAGTCTGTTTTCACTCCCAGGCCCAGGAGCCTCCGGGACTTTCCCGTGTTTGTTCCCTGAACCCACTGCGGGGCCTCGGGTCAAGTGAGCACCTGGGAGTTTCCCGACTACGTGCTGTTCCTTGGAGAAGTGGGGCTCCCCGTTCTGCTCTGGCTCCCCCAAAATGTGAAGGCACAGACCTCTACTCTCCAACCCTCTCACAAGTGGTGGCCTTTTCGGTGTCCCCAGAAGGTGAGGCGTTCAGAGGGCTGGTCTCCGCCTGTTCCCAGCTGGAGATGTTCGGATTGCCCTGGGACATGCCTCTCTGCCAGAAAGTCCCTCCAACTCTGCCACGCATGTGCCTGCCGGGGTCCATTCATATGCGAAGTCTGGCCTGACGGTTAATTTTTGTCACCTTTCAAGAAGCCAGAAACTTCAGGGCATCCTTCGGGTCTCAGCTTAACCACCTCTTCTCCGGTAGGACACTCCCCTGCTGCCGGGTCTGGGCCGGATGCCCCTGTGCCCCCCCATCAGGGTACCCGGCACTGTGCACTGTCCTGTCTTTACCTGCCCCTACCCCAGAGTAAGCTCCTCCAGGGCAGGGACTGGCTCTGCCTCCTTCCCTTATAGTGTCAGGCGTGAATGGAGCCATTTCCAGGGTGGGCCTGAGCCCCTGTGTTTCCGAGGACGGGCCTTGGTGTCCTGTGGTCAGTGGGAGGTTGTGCTCCTGGAAGCCGGAAGCTGGAGCACATGTGATCCCACCCGCTTCCCCCAAGGATGAGCCAGAAATAGTTCCCCCTGGACTGGGAATGCATTCTACGGTGGGAGGACAGTTTGGGGGCCTGGGGCTGGCTTCTCTATTGGGAGCAGATTTCTCCTCCTGATTACTCTCCACTGGGCCCCTGGGAAAGGGAGCCTTTCCGAGCACACCCCGTCAGAGCCCAGGGGAGCTGGAACTGGAGAGCCAGAGCTGAGGGTGGGAGGTGGGGCAGCCTGGAAGCCTGGGCTTCCAGAGAGAGACCCCCAGCAGCCGTGGGGGCGGACCCAGCTCCCCCGCGGGCCCCGGCTGTGGGGTGGGGTGGGCCAGCACCCCCCGACTGTGTGCTCTGCACCTCACTCACTCAGGTTCCGGACGGCTGTGGCGGGTGGGAGCAGCCTAAGCCCAGAGTCGCTGGAGAGCCTTCCCTGAAGTTAGAAGGAAGCATCTGCCCAGGTGTGCAGCCCCCAGCCCCCACCCCCACCCCAGGGAGTTCTGCTGGGCCCTGGCCTGGAGTTGTCGGCGCATTTCCCCTCCCCCATCAGGGTTCTGATCTGGGAGCCCAGGTGGACAGCCTTTGCGTTCCCACCTTCCAGCCGGCTCTGGAGACAGCGGCTTGTGAAGTTGCCCTTTCTGTTTAGCCAGAGTTTTATGGTTTTTCAGAAAACAGGTTAACAATTAAGCTTTAAAACCTCAGGGCCTCTGGCCCTCCTTGTTCCCATAAAGCCGGGCTAAATGGCTTCCTCCCCCGGCTTCTCCTGTTGGCTTTATTAGGCCACAGGTGGCCGGGAGCAAGCGTCAGAGCATTAACCAGCTCCGGCCTCCAGGTCCAGAGCTCCCTCCGGTTTCCTCTCAGGGAACCGCGCTCCACGGATGGGGCGTGAGGCGTGGGGAAGCCGAGGGTGAAGCTGGCCCGGCCCCGGGGGCGGCCGCCTGCCGTGCTTGGGGAGAGGCTGCCTAAGCTGGGCGAGTGGGCCTGGGCGCCGGGTCGGGCTCTGGGGTGCCGGGCCTCCTTTGGCCGGTGCTCAGCAGCTGCCCCCCTTTCCCCAGGGGGCTGCGCGCAGCAAGATGAGGAGGTTCCTGAGGCCGGGACACGACCCTGCGAGGGAGAGGCTCAAGCGGGACCTCTTCCAGTTTAACAAGGTAAGGGGAGCGGAGGGCCGGCCGGGCGTTTACGGCAGGCACGAAGGTGTCGCGCGCCCAGGGAATTCCCTGACGGTCCAGTGGTTAGGACGCCACGCTCTCACTGTGGAGGCCGCGGGTTCGATCCCTGGTTGGAGAACTAAGATTCCGCAAGCTGCGCTGCGTGGCCAAACAAACAAAAGGTATCACCCTCCCCACAGGCTGGGGCTGGCGCCGGGGTCGCCTTTACCTGGACTAAGGTGCTTACTTGGCACTGCCTGCTGTGCCTCCTGGGAACTGGATTTTGGAAATGGGGCCTGGTTAGAGGCTTTCCTGGGAAAGGGTGACAGGACGCCCAGGAGTCAGCTCTCCTTGTCCCATGTGTCTCGCTGGCTGTGTGACCTCTGCAGGTCACCCCACCTCTTCCAGCCTAGTTTTCCCCACCTGTAAAATGGGGATAAAACAACCTGTCCTGCCTCCCTCCTCGCGGGGTTATGGAGCAGGCCTAGGGCCGGGAAAGGTGAAAGTGCGTTGAACCCTGCGAAGTATAAGATGTTCCTGTGATGCCAGTTTCCTTGGAGCCCTGGGGCCACAGGCCATGGCCGTTCCCTCCCTCCTCAAATTACCCTCAAAGGAAAACACAGCTTTCCCTGCAGGCAGAACACATGATTCCTTCTGGCCGGCTGTAGGCCTGGGTGAGTGGGGAGAGGCACCTGGGAGAAGGTGTCGGCGGGGGGGGGGGGGGGGTTGGCATTTGACCACCCCAGCTCCACACCTGCTCCTAAGGCCCCCCAGGCGGGTGTCCTCTTACCCACGATCATGGGGCTTCCCTGGGGGCTGGCCTGTAAAAGGGAAGGAACACAGGGTGGTTTATGAGCTCCGAGGCCACCTAGCAATCCGCAGCCGGTTCGGGGCAATTCGCTCCCCTCACCTCTGCTTTGATCTAGGCCCTTGGCCTCCGTGCCTCAGCTTCCCTCCACCCTGGAAGGTGGACTGCAGGAAGGGGAGCAGCAAGATGCTCTTCCCCTCGGGGGTCCCAGGACCCCTCCAGGACATGCTGACGGGTGGGCTTCAAATCCAGCTTAGCCACTTAGAAGCTGGATGACCCTGTGCCCGTCACCCACTGCGTAGGCTTGCTGTGAGGATTACACGGAATTAGATCATTGACGTGCTAAGCACAGTGGTCCAGGAGTGTCAGGTGCTGTTTTCAGGGGCTGCCTGCCTGCCAGGGAGAGAGAGCTCCCGGGGGCTTGTTCGAGGCGAGTCAGGGTCCCAACCTGCTCTGCCGGTTTCCTCTGATTTTCTTGACCTGTGACTGTGAGGCTACTGCCTCTGGGATCAGGGCTTCCCTAAATGAACACCTCCTCCCACTGGGGGAAGGAAGCTGTGGGCACGGCTTTTGGGCCTTGGGATGTGGGCGTGCATATGTTATGAATGGGGGATCTCTGGGCCCCTGCGGCCTGCCATTCTCACTTACAAGGGAGCAGCCCATGGGTGTTGGGTGTGGGTCTCAGAACCTCAGCATCTGCCTCGGCGCCTGGGTGACCCCTGTCGCCTTCCATTGCCCTTGATGATGCTGGGATCTCACACCCCAAAAAGGTGGCCAATTCCAGTGGAAACCGGATAGACAGGCTCAGTGAAGAGGGATGAACCCCCGCCCCAAGTTCCAACTGTGCAGCAGCAGGGTGGGGCTGGGGTGGGGCTGGGGCAGAAGAATCATGCCTCCCCCTCCACCCCGTGCCCCCAGACTGTACTGCCCCACCCCCAGGCCTGGCTGGGGAGGGGAGGCTCCTGGAATTCCTTCTTCCTCCCATTCACTTCCAAGAGACATGCATTGAGTACCTACACAGCCCAGCGCTGGGGCTTTGGGAATCTCAGACAAGACCTCTGCCCTCCAGGACATTTATAGTCTGGTGGAAGGAAGGGGGCTGATGGTCTAAAATTCCACTTCCTGGGAGGGGAACGTCTTGGGGGGGCTGTTGGGGAGGGGTGGGGCTTAGACTCATCTCATCTAGGTTCTGGGTGAATGGTGGAGCCCGAAGGGTTGGGCTTGGAGGGTGAGTCCAGATCCTGGAAGGTTTGGGAGCCTGGGTGGTCCTACCCACGCCAGCCCTGCCCCGGCCCCCTGGCTGTGAGGTCAGCTGTGGGATCAAGGGAGGCTGGAACCTGGGAATCTGGGTCTGACACGCCAGAGCCTGGTGAGTTTTGAGCAGGGGAGTGAGCGATCTCATTTATGACTTAGAGGAGGTAGCTCTGGGACCTTTTTTTTTTTTTCCCCTACCTTTCAGTCAGGAGCAGGTAAGCTCAGAGCACTTAGGAGACGTTGCATTGACTGACTGGGGCCCAGCAGTGGGGTTGGGGCGCAGGGCTTGACCGTTGACATTTGGGGCCTTTGGGGCCCACTGAGTTGTGGGGCTGTTTAGCAGCATCCCTGGCCCTGCCTCCCCAAGACATGACAACCAAAACTGTTCCAGACGCTGCCCAGTGTCCCCTGGCCAGTGAAATAGCCCCTGGTTGAGGGCTTATTTAGGGCGAGAGGTTGATGAGACCTGGTGATAGACGGGGCGTAGGAGGGAAGGGAGGCAGCTGTCCTGCATCCTGGCTGGGCAGTGATGCCACCCCCTGGGTTGGGGAGCCCAGGAGGGGCGAGGAGCAGGGTTGAGGAAAGTGATGCATTCGATTCCGACAGAATAGCAACAATTATGATCGTCCACTTATCGAGAGGCAGTCTTGCCCAGGGGTGAGTGGCGCCAACCTCGGCACCTGACTGCCTGGGTTCACCAGCTGGGTGACCTTGGACAAGTCACTCATCTCTAAGTGGAGAGGGTAACAGCAGCCACCCCACAGTGTTGGTGTGAGGATTAAACGAGTTAGTGTGTGAGTTGAAGGGCCTAAGTGGCTAGTGGTTCCAGTATCAGCACGGCTCTGTGAATGTTATCTGGCTCGAGGTTCAGTGTGGAGAATCTTGGCACCCTCAGGTGAGGGCGGGTCCCAGCAGACAGTGGGATACACAGAGCTGGAGCTCAGAGCCTCACATCTGGGGAAGCAGGCAGTGTCCATCCCGGAAGTGCCGGTCTGCAGGGCAGTGAGCTGGGAGGTGGGACGGTGGCACCATCATAGGCCAGTCCAAGAGGCTCGCAGACACCAGCTGGGCCTCTCCCTCCAGTACCATCTGGCCCAACTCCTTGATACCCGCACCAAGTGAGGTGCCTCAGAGAGATCAGGGACATGGCCCCCGGCGGGCCGAGAGCAGCACGTCCTGTTTCTTCGGCTTCGGTACCTGGGAAGGAGCTGTGTCTGTGGACAGATGCTCTGAACCCCCTGCTGGGGACTGACTGTCCGAGGGGCAGCTCCGGTTCACCAGGGGCTCCATGCCAAGCAGCAAAGGGGCCAGGTGGTGCAGTGGTTGGGGCGGGGACCCTGGAGCCAGGCGGCCTGGGTCTAGATGCCAGCTGTGCTGCTTCCTCACTGAGTGACTGCAGAAACGTTACTTAACCTCTCTGCTCCTCAGTTTCCTCATCTGTAAAGTGGGCGTTGTAATCACCCCTACACCCAGATTGGTGGGCTGAGTGAGTTAACTTGCTTTGAACGGCAGCCACACACAGCTGATGCCCTACAGGGTCTGCCTCACCTTCGCCTCAGCCTCCTGACGACTCACAGGTGGGCGCTGTTCCCACTCTGCAGGTGGGGAAACTGAGGCCTCCAGGCTTGCACAGCCTGAGTACCTGGAGGGGGCACCGGCTGGGGATGCGGCTGCCGGTTCCGTCTGCCCACAGCCGTGTGGCCTCAGGGTGCGGCCTTCCATCTCTTCACCTGTGCCGGATGCCGGGTCCTCAGGCCTGTTGGGAAGACAGAGGTCAGCTGGCAGTGCCAGCAGGGCCACTGAGGACCAAATGAGGGAACTGTGGGACCCACTGGGCGCCTCAGGAGGGAGGAAGTGACTCCGAGGAGACAAGGGGACGTAAGCTCATGTTAAATTAAAACCCCTTCCTTGAAAATACCCTCGAGGCCCTGCCTCCCCTGGTGAAACCCGCTGGCCGCCCTTCCTGCCTGGGCCACCCTCCCCCACCCCAGGCCCTGAACAAACAGTGTGTTCCTGACCAGCTGCCCCGTCCAGGGCGGTTTGGTCTTGGCGTTTGCATGGCTGGGCCCCTGGTGTCAGGTGACAGCCGCACAGGGAGGGCCAGGTTGCTGCCACCGCCAGGAATCTGGGCTGACCACACCCAGTACGGGGCAGTGCCTCCCTGTCCCCCAGCCCACCCCCTGCACACCCTCCCACCCCGTGCCCCTGGGCAGCCTTCCTTCCTGCCCCCCAGCAAGTGCTAGGGACTCCTCAGCCCTCCATCTTGGACAGGTCCCCCCTTGCTGGGGGCAGGACGAAGGGCCCCCTCGCTCTCAGACAAACCACCTTTGCTCTCTCCCTTCCGGGAACCTGAAATGGGGTCCCGGAGCCGGTGTGAGACAGACGGGCTTTCTCTCTCTCCCACACCGGGCTAATGTTGCAGTTTGGCGGCTCCTAGAAATCTCTCCTTTCCCAGCTCTCTGTCAAAAGAGTTCATTGTTCTCTCTTCCCTTGGCACAGGTCACCTGAGCCAGGTAGCAGGGTGGGGGCAGTGCCAGGTAGGCTGGATGCTGAGCTCAGGAGGTAGGGGAGGACACCCCACTTTGGTCAGCCTCCTAGCTTGAACCTGAGCTGGAGGCGGCTGGGGTCTCTGGCTGGGAGGGCCGGCCCTGGAACCCGGGCCCGCTGTCCTGGGCGGAGGACTGATGGGGTCGCTGTGTGCCTTGGAAGTCCACAGCAGGACCCCCCTGGGGCTGAGCGCCTCCTGTGCCCCGGGGGCTGCTTTCTTTAAGGGAGGTCAGATACATTCTATGCTCTTGGGTCCTGGAACTGTGCCTAAACCCTAAACCAGCCTGGAGGGGGTCCCTGTCCACGTGGACCTGCTGCTCCAGTGGGGGGAACCACGTCTTAAAAGGCTGTTAGGAGTCGGAGGGAGGGGGAACCAGGGGATGGGAAGGGCACCCCACCTTGGGAGGCAGCTGGAGCGCAGGCAGAGGGGCCTCGTGGAAACTTCCTGCTTCCCCAGGCTTCTCGGGCCCTGGGCGTCCAGCTCCTCCCCGTTCCCCTCTATTAACTGACCTCTGTTCTCTCCCCACGTCCAAATCACTCCCTTCCTCATTCCCAGCAAGACCCCCTGGGCCTCTCGTAACTGGCCTGGGGTCCCCGCACCTCCTTTCTTGACCAGTTCCCTGACCTCGTGACTCGCTTTACGTCATTCATGTTGCCTCATTCAGGGATTGTGGGTCTTATTTGCATGTTGAAGCCGGTCGCTTCCCCTCTGGGACCTGGGGAATCCCCTGTCACCACGTTATTTACATTTGAATCCACCCTCTTGGCCCCAGCCAGTCAGGGTCACCATGAAGTTCCCTCCCCTCATTTTGATTTTGAGGGAGCCTTGGTCAACTTGGAGAAGATGCCCTGAGGGATATGAGGGAATGAGGGAGAACCTTTGAAGGAAGGCATGAGGGAGAACCTTTGAAGGAAGGCATGAGGGAGAACCTTTGAAGGAAGGCATGAGGGAGAACCTTTGAAGGAAGGCAAGGCTTGTGTGCGCCTTGAGGCCAGCTGAGCCCTCCAGCGGCGGTCAGGTGGTTGTCCTGAGGCTCGTCTTGTTGGAGCCAAGGACAGCCCCGCTCAGCGCAGTCATTCGCATCACCCCGGTTACCACACGTGAAATGAGGCAAAGCAGCTCGTCCTGTCACCTTTTAAGTGGTATTGGGGATTCTAAGTTTCGTGGGCCTGACTCAGTTCCTGTTCTTTCTAAACCAGCCTATGGAAAAGAAGGTGGTTCGGGAGTGAGGGGGTGGCACAGTGTCCTCAGGACCCTGAAGAAATGAGGAATGAGTATGAGTGACTGAACGATGGGCCTGCCCTTTGTCTCCCTCTGGGTTAGGGAAAAGAGCTGATCCGCAGCAGGTATGACTCAGGTGAGATGTTAGGAGAACTTCCTGCCAGCGAGTTGATAGGATAACGTGTGGCCTGAGCACCTGACAAAAAGCTGCAGACTGTTTTCTCTTTGGCTTGACTTTCCTGCTGATGCCCGAGGTAAAAATGTCTAGGGTAGCGCCTCGGTCCCATAGGAATATAATGAGACATATGGAATTTAAAATGTTGTAGAAGCGCATTATAAAATTTTTTAAACAAGTAACATTATTTTGATAACATATTCTGTTTAATCCAATATATCCAAAATATTATCGTTTCAACGTGTAGTCAATAGATATTAGACTTTTTTCTTAGTATTTTTTTGTTGTTGTTAATACAAAGGTACATTTTTTACTTACAGCACATCTCAATTTGGCCATTAAATTTTCTTTAGGAATATGTGATCTATGTTTAGAGTTTGGAAGATTTACAGTTGAAAGAGGAGAGTCAAAGCTTTGGTCTGCCTGACTCCAGCCCCTGTTCCTTTGGAACCCAAGAACATACCTGGGAAGTTTTCTAATTACTGAGTTAAGGGTCCATCCTTGAATTTAAGTTAATAGAAATTAAATAAAATTAAAAGTTCAGTTCCTCTGTGGCCCTTGCCACATTGCAAGGGCTCAGGATCTACACACGGCTTGTGGCTGTTATCTGGACATCAGGGTCTGGGCCCCTGCTGGCCACCAGGCTCCTGCTGGGTGTTTCCCCCAGAGTCCTCCAAATTCCAGACGCTGATCCTGAGCTGCGGCTGCTGGGGATGATGGGAGAATGCTGTCATCCCAGGAACCTTCTCTGGAGCTCGGGCCTCTGACTTCCCGAGGCCCCAGCAGCCTGGGGCCAGCCAAGGCCTAGTGGGGGCTCCTGGGGAAGCGCGTCCCACACCGAGTCAGGAGCCCTGCCCTCCTTTTCCTGGGAAATGTTTACATTCCAGATACCCTGCTATCTCCCGGAGGCTTTTCCAGGCTCTGCATTTTTCACATAGCTGAACAGAAACCTGGGGGGCCGGGCAGGGGGTGGGGGGGAGCGGGGGGGGGCGGGGGGAGGGCTCCTGCTGGTGTGCTGCTGCCCTCCCAGCTGACCCTTCCAGGTACAGCCATTTGCAGGGCAGACTGTGTTCCTGGCAGAGAACCAAGCCTGTGGGGCCCTCACACCTACGTGTCCCCAGAATAGGCACTCTTTGGAGCTCTCATCCCTGGGCCAACCCCAGCACAGGGCCCCTCTTCCGCGAGCCACTGGCCTGGGGGCAGGCAGGCAGCAAAGCAGTTGGGTCTGCTAAGCTGGCGTTCCAGCTGTCACCACGACTTATCTGTTTCTGCTTCTTGGAGGCCAAGTGAAGCCCAGAGTAGAGCCTTGGGCCTAAGGAGAGCTGCCTCATTGGGACACCCTTTTTCTGCAGGGCAGTCTCCATGGTTTAAAAAAAAAAACACAGGGCTTCCCTGGTGGCGCAGTGGTTGAGAGTCCGCCTGCCGATGCAGGGGACACGGGTTCGTGCCCGGGTCCGGGAAGATCCCACATGCCGCGGAGCGGCTGGGCCCGTGAGCCATGGCCGCTGAGCCTGCGCGTCTGGAGCCTGTGCTCCGCAACGGGAGAGGCCACAACAGTGAGAGGCCCACATACCGCAAAAAAAAAAAAAAACAGAAAACTTTGAAATCGCTGGCTGGCATCCTGCTCGAATCTATAGCTCTACAGGTTCAATATCCCCTGGCGGGTTGGATGGGGTGGGGTTAGCTGACTGAGAAACAACCGAAAACCTGCCCGAAGATGGTTTGTCAATCTCAATCTCTAGTGCTTACATCCATACCTCTTTCATCTGTAATTCCACCCCTGGGACACCTGCCTAAGGAAATACTGAGTTGCAGGCAGAGATAGGAGCCCAAGAATAGTCATCGATGCAACTGGCAATTACAAAACCTCTGAAAACAAAGTAAATGTTCAATAACAGAGGCCTGGTGAGTTAGGGCACCTCCCCCTGAGGAATATTCTTCAGCCGTTTAAAAGTCGTTTTAGGGAGTTCCCTGGTGATCTAGTGGTTAGAACTCGGCACTGCCCGTGGCCCGGGTTCAATCCCTGGTTGGCGAACTGAGATCCTGCAAGCCATACCAATACCGTGCGACGAAAATGAAAAATAAAAGTCGTTTTACTGCTTTTAACAGCCTGGGCTGGCTATAGGTGGAAAGACAGACCACAGAGCTCTGTGTCTGTATGTATATTCTTGTGGCATGGTCCCAGATAGGTCTCTGGGGTTTTTTTTGTCCTTTCCTATATGTTTTTATTTTATTTTATTTAAAACATTAAAAACTATATATATATATATATATATATATATATATATATATGTATATAAAATTTCTTTTTTTTTGGCCATACCGCGCTACATGCAGGATCTTAGTTCAGGGATTGAACCTTCACCCCCTGCAGTGGAAGCCCCGAGTCTTAACCACTGGACCACCAGGGAAGTCCCAAAATCTAAAAAAAAATTTAACACCCTTCCCCACTGGTAATCACTAGTGTGTTCGCTATATCTGTGGGTCTGCTTCTTTTTTGTTATATTCACTAGTTTGTTGTATTTTTTAGATTCCACATATAAGTGATATCATGCAGTATTTGTCTTTCTCTGAGGTGTCTGTTTTTAAGTATAGGCCCATACACGCTTACAGTCGGATACACACCCTTGTTAGGAAGGGTTACTCCAGTTTGGGGAGTGTGGGTGATTTTGTCTTCTTTTTCAAACTCCTTTATATGTTCCAAGTTTTCTACAATGTGTATTATTTCTATAAGAAGAACTGAGCCAAGGCATGTGTCTGCAACAACACTCCAGAAGCTTCCTCCCTGGGAAGATGGTGGAAGAGAACTCATAGTGGCAATGAGGCACTTGAGACAGAGCAGATGTTCAGTGCTGGAGGAGCCTCGCGGGGCTCAGAGTCGGGAAGGGCAGCTGTGGGTTCTGTCAGACCCCAGGGCCCCTCCTGGAGCTGCAGTGCAGCTGGGCTTCCTGAGCCACCTGGCGCCTCCCCTGTGCCAGCCCCCCAGAGCTTCCCCCGCACCCCTGCAGGAGGGCTGGGTGGGTGGCCCACAGTACGGGTGGTGGAGGAACCAGGTCAGAGTTCCTGGAGAGCAAGGGGCCAGCACGGTGTCCCGGGAGAATGCGCTCCCAGGGAGCATCACACGGCCAAGGACCGGGTCAGAAATGGACTGAGGGTGGGGCCCGGGTGGGTCCAGGTGGGGACCTGAACGAGACTGAATTCCTTCTTCCTGCTGGGGGTGGCTCTCTGCTGCGGCTCCTCCCTCCGTCACTGACCCCCTGCCCCCGGCCATGGAGGGGCAGAGGGGACACGTCTACAGGCCCATGCCTGCCTGGTTCTCGTTGCAGACGGTGGAGCATGGCTTCCCGCACCAGCCCAGCGCCCTCGGCTACAGCCCCTCTCTGCGCATCCTGGCCATCGGCACCCGCTCCGGAGCCATCAAGCTGTATCCTTTCCGTTCTCCCAGCTCCCACCCAGGGATGCCCTGGAAGGGCCAGGGGCCTTGGCATTGGTGAGATTCAGGAAGGACTCCCCTAATTCTCCATAGAAAAGCAAGTTGCAGACGACCCCTCTTGTTCCCGGGACGTTCCAAATACCCTCTTAGGAGTCAGCCCCGAATGCAGTAAGTGGAGGCCGGGGATGGGCCCCACCCGCAAAGGATCAGTAGACTGGGCTCAGGGCTCAGTCCAAACCAGAGACGGGGTGGCCTTGGGTTAGAGGAGCTGTGCTAAGCCAGATGCTCTTCCAGATTCTACCCCCGACCCTGCACACCCCCCGCGTACACATACATACACACACACACACACACACACACACACACACACACAGGAGAGGAGAGTGGACTCCTAGTTGGTGGGGACAGTCTTCCCCTGGCCTGCGGCTGGACGTGGTCCAGTGGGTCCATTTCAGAGGCAAGCCCACAGGTCCCAGGATGGGGAATCACTGCTTGGGTCCTCTGGCCTAGGCTGAGCTACGAGTCTGGGAGTCCCACCCCTGAATCTGACCTGAGCCCCCAGGGTGAGCCAGGTGGGACCTAGGGGAATTGGGAGGTGGGGGACCACCCTTGGAGAGCCCAGCCGCCACCTCCTCCAGTAAAGCTGTAACTCCCTCCACTGCTGCAGGGCAGGTGCAGGGAGCCTGGGGGTGCAAGTCAGCAGCACGAGGCTGCAGGGGGTGTGTACACAGGAGGGCAGAGGCCCAGCTTCCATCGGCTCAGCCCTTCCTTAGGTGGTTAATCATTGCCAGGCCACGGCCATATCCCGGTTACGATTCTCAGCGCCAAGGCTCACGGCCATGGCTGCCGTAGGTGGGCCCACGGGTGCCCTGTGCGTCTTCTCACAGGTGCCACCACGTGGTAGCTGACAGTCTGTTGCAGTTCGGGTTATGGGTTTCGGTGGAGTGGGGCACAGGGGTACAGTGAACAGCCTAACAGTTGCCAGGATAATGCTTCACCCCTCCTGGCTGCGACAGCTCTCCCTGGTTGGCTGGCTTTACCCTCAGGGGTCAGGTTACTGGCCCGGTGCCTTCAGGGCAGGCCCCCCCCCCCCCCCCTGTCCCCCCCCCACCCTAAACATCCCCCCCACCCCCGCCCCCAGCAGCCCTTCTCTGCTGCTGGGTATTTACACTCCTTGCCACGTGGGCCCAGCGGGCAGGCCGAGGGGTGGGGTCCTGCCTTGTGGAGCTTTTCCTGAGCCTGCTACTCCCAGCTACGGTGCCCCAGGGGTGGAGTTCATGGGGTTGCACCGTGAGAACAATGCGGTAGTGCAGATCCACTTCCTGCCTGGCCAGGTGAGGCCCCCCTGCCCCCATGCCCTTCTTACTTTCCCATCTTCCAGAAAGGACGTATGGAAAGGCAGGCGTTTGGTGGCCCTGGGTTTGGTGCTGATGGGAGGACCCGGGACAAACCTGTCTTTCCCCAGCTGCCGTTCACGGCCACCCTAATAGGAGCCGGGGGTCTCTTGGTTCTGGGGCTCTTGGAAATGACCCGCACAGGCTGGGCCGCCCCAGTGTGTAAAGGTCACGGTGAATGCTGTCCCTCCCTGGTTAACGAGACAGCACGCTTCTGCCCCGTTTCCTGCCTAGTGCCAGCTGGTCACCCTGCTGGACGACAACAGCCTGCACCTGTGGAGCCTGAAGGTCAAAAGCGGGGTGTCGGAGCTGCAGGAAGATGAGAGTTTCACGCTGCGTGGCCCCCCAGGGTAAGAACTCAGTCTTCTTGCTCTCCTAGCCAGCCTGACCCGTGCACCAACTCCAGGGTGCCCTGGGAGGAGCTGGCAGGGCTGCGGCCCGCCTCCCCCCATCCCCACACAGAGCCTACGTGGGAGGCGCCAAGGGATTTTTTTCTGCTTCTTAGCCCCAGCTCTCTGCCATCTGTCTCCTGTCTTGGCAGAAAAAAAAACAGTATGTTTGTCCGGGCCTGAGTAGCTGGACCCCATCAAAGGACCTCACCGGCCTGCTTCCCCACCGCAGGCATGGCCTTCCCTGGGGCTGCTGAGGGAGTGGGGGATCCTATCTGTGGGTCCCCCCTGCCTGGGCAGGGCCAGCTCACGGGCCATCATTCCCTCTGCAGGGCCGCCCCCAGTGCCACGCAGATCACCGTGGTCCTGCCGCATTCCTCCTGCCAGCTGCTCTACCTGGGCACCGAGAGCGGCAGTGTGTTCGTGGTGCAGCTGCCGGCTTTCCGCGCGCTGGAGGACCAGACGATCAGCTCAGATGCTGTGCTGCAGCGGTGAGCCCCAGGCCCGGAGACCCTCGTGCCCTGAGGAACCTGTCCCCTCGAGTGGCCTTCTCCTTTCCATCCCGGTTATGCCTCAGGAGCTTATGATTTCTCTCCTGGGAAGTCTGTAGGGATAGGAGGACAGACTCTCAGCTCTCCACCTGTCCCCCAAATTGAGAATCTCACCCCCCCAAAAAAGAGTTAGCATCCCAGCACTAAAAGGGGTCTTGGGAGTAACTTGTCACCTCATTTAAAAGGAAAACAAGGCTCAAAATGATTGTGCAATGATGCCAACTCTCAGTCCAGCGTTCTTGGCACAGATACCACCTCTTTCAAAGCCCCGGGGCTCCACAGTGGGGCAGACGGGGCCCAGACCTCCCTGCATCAGCCGGGCAGCTTCTGCTGATGCCTGTGCTTTGGAGTCTCTGCCACATGTTCGTTTGCCTGCAGGCTCCATGGCCCCGAATCCCTGGCGGCCACAACCTGTAGGTTTCTTGAGATCGTTTCAGAATCTTTGCTCGTTAATGGTGGTGTCCGTGGGAGAGAGGGAGTCAGATCAGGTCTGGGTGTGGAGGGGGGCCAGGGCCCAAAACAGGAGGGGATGGAGGAGTCCAGCAGGAGCCCACGGGAGCCAGGTTGATGGCCGTGGAGTGTTCTGCAGTGAAGAAGGGCAGGGAGAGGGCTTCCCTGGTGGTGCAGTGGTTGAGAGTCCGCCTGCCGATGCGGGGGACACGGGTTCATGCCCCGGTCCGGGAAGATCCCACATGCCGCGGAGCGGCTGGGCCCGTGAGCCATGGCTGCTGAGCCTGCGCATCTGGAGTCTGTGCTCCGCAACGGGAGAGGCCGCAACAGTGAGAGGCCCGCGTACCGCCAAAAAAAAAAAAGGGCAGGGAGGAGGCCAGTGTGCTGGGCTGTGGAGCTGCTTCATGCCCGACCTTCCTAAGGGCTCTGGGCCAGGCTTGTAACACTCATAGTCGTCAGGCCCCAGGTGATGGTCAAGCAGGGCTGGGCATTGCTGGGTTGGGAGGATTCCTGCTTGGGGCCGGGTCCTTCTGAGCACTGGGCATGGTAGAGTCAGGGCAGCATGACCATGGCCAGAGCAGGACTGTTTACAGGGTGGCAGGCCCAGCTGGTGCTCAGCCGGGGCGCCTGGCCTGTGGGCAGGACGGTGGAAGGACCTGCTCCTCAGTGTGTGGCGGTACCAGTGCCCACCGTACCCGCGCCGGTGGGAGTCTAGTCGAGGAGGAGCCCCTGCTGGGCTTTCCCAGCCTGGGTGCCCTGGGAACCCCTCCTGTTGGTCTAAATCTTGTTCTAAGTGTAGAGGGTTTGGTTTGGGTTTGAGCGTAGACATGCCCTTGGGATCCAGGCTGTTTCCATTTCCTACTCGCCCTGCTCGGTATTGGCGTTTGGTCCTGTGCCCGCCACCTCACGGTCTTCTGTTGGTGTAGCGCCTCCAAACTTCACACCAGCATTCCAGGCCCAGAAAAGGAGGAGGGGGTCAAGGCTCAAGGCCAGGCCAACTGATATAGAGAGTTTTGTTTTGTAGGTCTTAAAAACTTTTTTTTTTTTTTTTATGGAACACCAACACCTTGCCGAAATGCACTAGGTTTGAATGTACAGTTTAATGGATTCTTGTTAAGTGAGCGTCTCTGCAGCCAACTCTGGGCAAACATAAAATTTTGCCAGGCCCCCAGGGTCCCCCACCTGCCCTTCTCTGTCACAGCTCCCTCCCTCCCCCAGAGGTGACCACCACATCGACTTTTCTGGAAACCACTTCCTTGCTTTTCCTTATAGTCGTGCCACCTGCGTTTGCATCCTTAGGGGGTTTTCTCTATCACTGCCCTGTTCTATTTGTTGCTTCTCTCTCCCCTTGATGACGTGTCCTGGCAGCCTTTCCGTGCTGGCACATTCCGTGCCCGCTGCTTCGGGGATGCCGGGCATGGCTGTGCCATGCTCTCAGCCGTGCCCCATCGGTGGACGGTGACGTGGGCTCACGGTGCTCCCCTCGCCCAGGTTGCCAGAGGAGGTCCGCCACAGGCGGGCATTTGAGATGGTGGAGGCTCTGCAGGAACATCCTCGGGACCCCAACCAGATCCTCATTGGCTACAGCCGGGGCCTTGTCGTCATCTGGGACCTACAGGGCAGCTGTGTGCTCTGTCATTTCCTCAGCAGCCAGGTAGGGGTGCCACATGGTTCTCCCAGGCCCCACATAACACATCTAGCCCCCATCTGAGACATGGGGGTGCAGGCGATGGAACCGCACCCCTGATCCCAGCCTTCGCGCACTCTCTCTCCTTTCCCACCGTGAAGCAACTGGAGAACGTCTGCTGGCAGCGGGACGGCCATCTGATTGTCAGCTGCCATTCTGACGGCAGCTACTGCCAGTGGCCCGTGTCCAGTGACACCCTGCAACCGGAGCCCCTGCGCAGCTGTGTGCCTTACGGTCAGTGCTCTGCCCGCCACCTGGGACCGCCTTCCAGTGAGCAAGGCGGTGTCTTCTCTGGCCCCAGTCGGTCTCTCCTGCTTTCAGATGTAGGTGTCCAACTCATAGAAGCAAAACCTGGGGCCCAGAGATGGTGAAGGCTGTGTCCGAAGCCACACAGCGGGTTTTCTGAGACGCACTGTGACTTTCTCTGGGAACTGCTCACAGCAAGACTCCCGAGCCTAGATCTGCTCCGCAGGTTTGCGGGATCTGTGCTGCAGACCCGTGGGCCTCTGAGAGCGGGAGGGCCGTTCAAGGTATTTCCTTTTCTTTTAGGCCCTTTTCCTTGCAAAGCTATTACCAAAATCTTCTGGCTGACCACCAAGCAGGGGTAGGTATCAGTGCTCTGTCCTGTTCCCTTTCTAGAGCTTTCCTGGGGAGCTGGAAAGGCTGCTCAAACCTCTGCCTGGGGGAGATGGTGCCTAGTGACTGCCTTTAGGTCTCATATCCGGGTCTCCAGGGAGGGGAGGGGGGTGCCGTTCATACCTCTCTCCGACTAATTCCTGAAAACTCATTCCCATTCTTTCCCTTCCACCCTCCTGGAGAGATGATTCAGGTCAACAGGTTCCAAACTCTGTCTTAGGAGCAGACCTATTTCTTCAAACAGAATCATACAGGGAGACCTGATGTATAAGCAGAAAAGGGGGACAGAGGGCACTCTGGTTGAAACGGGGGTGGTGGCAGAGACTCAGAGCCTGCAGCCTGCGTGCTCCGCTGCTGGCCCCCAAGTTCTCCGGGGCTGTTGAGTTGGGAAGAGACGGGGGTCCGCTCCAGCCCCTCCTGGGAACCTTGAGTGAGCACTTACAGGCCCTGCTGCAGAGGCCAGTCACAGGGCCACCCCATGGCTGGCTCAGCCCTTGGCTTCTGGGGTGGCGTCAGCAGCCCACCCCCTGCTCTTCTGTGCCTGCCAGGTTGCCCTTCACCATCTTCCAGGGCGGCATGCCACGGGCCAGCTATGGGGACCGCCACTGCATCTCAGTCATCCACAACGGCCAGCAGACAGCCTTTGACTTCACCTCCCGCGTCATCGACTTCACTGTCCTCATTGAGGCGAACCCTGAGGCTGGTAGGCGAGCGGGAGTGAGTGTGAAGGGCAGGCCACCAGGAGGTGTGGGGATCCGGCCCACCCCCATCCATAAACAAAGAGGAAGGGCCTGCAGGCGTTCCCAGAGCTGCCGCCCCTGAGTCCCTAAGTCCCACTGCACCTCTTCTTTGTGTCCCCGAGGCTGCTCCCTCTCTTCCCTGCTGGCCTATGGTTTGTCCTTGCTGCCCACACCTCCCATCCACCCCAAGCTCTCTTTGCCCTTCCCCAGCTCAGCTGGGACTTGGCCCAAAGGTGGGCAGGTCTGCACTGTTGGGCTTAACACCCACCTGGCTGAGGCAAAGGGCTCCTGGCCTGGACATGGTGAAGCCCTCCTTGTGGGGTGGGGCAGGTAGCAGTGTGGGCCAGCTGAGCTGGTCTCCTGGAACTCAGCCAGGCCAACAAAGCCCTGAGTCAGCTTTCTAAATTGGGTGACAGGCAAGACCAGAAAGGGCTGGTGTCAAAACCTAGAGAGGAGGCCTGGTGGGAGATCTCCAGGAGGGTGGGCCTCCTCCCTAGATGACTCTGACCTGACAGGCCCAAGGCCTCCAGGTGAGGGAGGCAGGCCTGCTCAGGACACCCTGGGCTGTGTTCTCCCAGCCTCACCAGTGGCCCTTTGGAGGGAGACTCTGAACCTGCTTTTCCTCCTTTCTCAGCCTCTTCTTCCCTCCTCATACCTGACAGCGTGGTGGGAGCCAGGGCCAGTTTTTGGTCGATTCTTTTAGGTTTTCTACATTGATGATCATGTCATCTGTGAACAAAGACGGTTTTACTTCTTTCTTCCCAATCTGTATGCCTTCTATTTCCTTTTCTTGTCTTGTTGCATTAGCTAGTACTTGAAAATGAGTGGTGAGAGGAGGCAACCTTGCCTTGTTCCTGATCTCAGTGGGAAAGCTTCACGTTTCTCACCATTAAGTATTACATTAGCCGTAGGTTTTTTGGGTTTTTTTGTTTTTTTTTTTTTAGCGGTACGCGGGCCTCTCACTGTTATGGCCTCTTCCGTTGCGGAGCACAGGCTCCGGACGCGCAGGCTCAGCGGCCATGGCTCACGGGCCCAGTCGCTCCGCGGCATGTGGGATCTTCCCAGACCGGGGCACGAACCCATGTCCCCTGCAACGGCAGGCGGACTCCCAACCACTGCGCCACCAGGGAAGTCTGCCGTAGGTTTTTTGTAGATATTCTTTATCGAGTTGAGGCAGTTCCCCTCTATTCCTAGTTTACTGAGAGTTTTTTTTTTAATCATAAATGGATGTTGGGTTTTGTCAAATAGTTTTTCTGCATCTATCGCTATGATCATGTGATTTTTCTTTTTTTTTTTTTTGACCACACCACACGGCTTGTGGGATCTTAGTTCCCCGACCAGGAATTGAACCCGGACCCTTGGCAGTGAGAGCATAGAGTCCTAATCACTGGACTGCCAGGGAGTTCCCGATTTCTCTTTTTTAGCCTCTTGATGCAATGGGTTTCATTAATTGTTTTTCGAAAGTTGACGCAGCCTTGCATACCTGGGATAAATCCCACTTAGTCATGGCATATAATTCTTTTTATGCGTTGTTGGATCTGAAGCTTGCTTTTAAAAATGTGGGTTCCCTGGCTCCAACCCTAGAGCCTCAGATTCTACAGGGCCAGGCTGGACAGACTGCTTCCCAGTGGCTCCTGCAGCCCCTGACCCTTGGCCTGTCCCCACAGCCCTTGATGACCCCTATGCCCTGGTAGTGCTGGCTGAGGAGGAGCTGGTCGTGATTGACCTGCAGACGGCTGGTTGGCCGCCGGTCCAGCCTCCCTACCTGGCCTCCCTGCACTGCTCCGCCATCACCTGCTCCCACCATGTCTCCAACATCCCCCTGAAGCTGTGGGAGCGCATCATCGCTGCCGGCAGCCGGCAGAACACACACTTCTCCACCATGGTAGGTCTGGCCCCGGCCCCAGCCCCGCCCCAGCCCAGAGCCAGGCTCGCCCATGAACTTCTCCGTCATCTCCTCCAGGAGTGGCCCATCGACGGTGGCACCAGCCTGGCCCCGGCCCCACCCCAGAGGGACCTGCTGCTCACGGGGTAGGTGACGTTGATCGTACTCTCCTGCCTAGTGGGACGTGTGGGGTGGGAGCAGAGCTCGGGGGGTGTGCGTGCCAGTCCCGGGCTCCTCTGGCCCAGCATCCTTCTCACGGGCGGCAGGCGGGCTCTGCCCACAGGCACGAGGACGGCACAGTGAGGTTCTGGGATGCCTCGGGCGTCTGCTTGCGGCTGCTCTACAAGCTCAGCACGGTACGGGTGTTCCTCACCGACACAGACCCCAGCGAGAGCCTCAGTGCCCAGGGTGAGGACGAGTGGCCCCCCCTCCGCAAGGTGAGGCCCGGAGCCTGGGAACCAGGGAGGGCGGGGATGGGCCAGGTCCAGCACTTAGGGCCCCTCACGGAGCTCTTCTTCCTTGTCAGGTGGGCTCTTTCGACCCCTACAGCGACGATCCCCGGCTGGGCATCCAGAAGATTTTCCTCTGCAGATACAGTGGCTACCTGGCTGTGGCCGGCACAGCAGGGCAGGTAGCGGGCCGGGCTGGGCGTGCGGAGCCGTGGGGAGGGCTGATCAGGTGACTTTGGGCAGCGTCCAGGCCCACGAGCTTGCTTCTCAGTCTTGGGGGGCAGCAGGGCCAGGAACCAGCTTCCTGAGTGCCCCCTGGTGCATCCCCTGCCCCTGTGGCTCTGATTCCTCCCAGTGAATAGAAGTTCCCTGATCCCATTAGAGGGAGGCCTTTCTCCTCCAGAAATTGGGATTAAGAGCCAGAGGTTGGGCACTTCTGACCCTTGGCCTTGGCGTGGAGCTTGGGTCCTTTGCCGCCCCTGCCGTTAGGGTCCCTGAGGTCCTGCCGTCCGTCCCTTGGTGCCGGGGGGTGGTTCAGCCCATCTGCCGCCCCGCCCAGGTGCTGGTGCTGGAGCTGAATGACGAGGCGGCGGAGCACGCGGTGGAGCAGGTGGAGGCCGACTTGCTGCAGGACCAGGAGGGCTACCGCTGGAAGGGGCACGAGCGCCTGTGTGCCCGCCCGGGGCCCGTGCACTTCGAGCCCGGCTTCCAGCCCTTTGTGTTGGTGCAGTGCCAGCCCCCGGCTGTGGTCACCTCCTTGGCCCTGCACTCCGAGTGGCGGCTCGTGGCCTTCGGCACCAGCCACGGCTTTGGCCTCTTTGACCACCAGCAGCGGCGGCAGGTCTTTGTCAAGTGAGCAGACCTCCCGGGGTGGCCGGGTCTGGGATTGGTGCCTGGATTGGCAAGGTCCCTCAGGCCCTGGCCACGCTGATGGCCCATCGTCCCCCCAGGTGCACGCTGCACCCCAATGACCAGCTAGCCTTGGAGGGCCCGCTGTCCCGTGTGAAGTCCCTAAAGAAGTCCCTGCGCCAGTCCTTCCGCCGGATACGTCGCAGCCGGGTGTCCAGCAGGAAGCGGCGGCCTGCTGGCCCTCCGGGAGAGGTGAGGCCGGGGCCGGACACAAGCCCGGGCAGAGCCCGGAGCAGCCAGCGGCAGGTCCCCACCACCCGTCCCTGCCCCGCCTGCTTTGGCCATAGACACGGGCTCTGGGCCACCCCCGACCCCCACCAACCCTGTGACCTCGGATCCGCCGCACTGCTTCTCTGTGCCTCGGCTTCCCTAAGTGTGAAAGGCAGTCATTGTAATGCCTCAGGGCCACGTCCTCAGTCAGTATTACCAGGCGGGCGGTGGCAGGGGCTGTGGCCACTCTTCCCGGAAGGCCCGCTGTTGAGCACTCTGATGCCCCCGGGAAGGAAGGCGAGAGCCCACCCTCAGGCCTGGCCCACTCGACCGCAGGTGCAGGAGGGGAGCAGCAGGGCAGAGAGGACTGGCCTCCAGAACATGGAGCTGGCGCCCGTGCAGCGCAAGATCGAGGCCCGCTCGGTGGAGGACTCCTTCACGGGCTTTGTCCGGACCCTCTACTTCGCTGACACCTACCTGCGGGACAGTGAGTGGCCAGCTTGAGGTGGGGGGCCCTCTGGCGTGAGGGCGTGTCGGAGGCTGCTGGCTGGTGCACCCCTAAGAGGGGTTCCCCCTGTGAGCAAGGGGAGACTGGAGCCCTCGCCCGCCCCTTTCCCTCCCGTGCCTGGGTCTCCGAGTCTGATCGCCCCGGCTTCGTATCCAGGCTCCACCACTCTCTAGAAGTGTGACCTTGGACGTGTCACTTAGCCTTTCTGGGTCTCGCTTCTCCCCCTGTAAAATGGAGGGATAGCTTCCTCCTAGAGTGGCTGCGAGCGTTGGGACGTGCCACGTGCCTGCTGGTACCCAGTAGGCCCTCTAGAAGCTCCCTGGCTGTTTCTCTTCTCCTGACAGGGCAAGGGTGGGCTGAGGGCTGTCTGCTGCTGTATCTCGAGGGCCGAGCTGTCCCGGGTTTGGGCTCATCTGCTTGGGGCTCTGGGTCGTCAGAGAGCCTTCCCAGCCTTTTTCGTCTACACCCAGGAGGTAGGCAGGGCCCACAGCAGCTCCATTTTACAGAGGAAGAAATTGAGGTTTATGAAAGTTTGCTGACTTGACCTTGGAGTCACACAGGTAGTGAGCCAGGTCTCCTGGCTCCCCCTGACCCCCAGAGCCAGGGGTTAGATGTAAACCTTTGCCTCCTGGCAGGCTCCCGCCACTGCCCCTCGCTGTGGGCTGGCACCAACGGAGGTACTGTCTACGCCTTTGCCCTGCGCGTGCCCCCCGCTGAGCGGAGAATGGATGAGCCGGTGCGGGCGGAGCAGGGTGAGTGCTGGCCGGGGGGAGAGCGCTTGTCTGCCTCGGCTGGGAGCGGGAGGGTGTGTCCGGCCTCGTGCTCCGCCCGACCATCAGCCCCATCGCCTCCTTCCGTCCCCGCAGCCAAGGAGATCCAGCTGATGCACCGAGCGCCCGTGGTGGGGATCCTGGTGCTGGACGGACACAGCGTGCCCCTTCCCGAGCCCCTGGAGGTGGCCCACGACCTGTCAAAGAGCCCCGACATGCAGGGAAGCCACCAGCTGCTTGTCGTGTCGGAGGAGCAGTTCAAGGTGCCTTATGGGAGGAGCTGGGGTCCCCCGGGAATCCCTGGCACAAACGATAATGGCTGGGACTCACTTAACGTTGTGTTTGTAGTTGCTGTGTGAGGGCTGCAGAGGCACAGGAAAGAAGCAGGGTCTTGATGGAGCCCCGGACCCCAGGGTCAGTGGTGGGGACACTGAAGCAGGACCTATGTCTGGGGAAGGGACAGAAAACACAGACAGGGACTGGCGTCCTCGCAGTCTGAGTGCAGCGACCACACATCTGAGGGCCAGGCCCAGCGGCAGCCTCGGGCAGGGAAGCGGGAAGTCCTCGTTTGACTGGACGAAGCTCTGCAAACTGGTCTGGCTTCAGGCGTGACCGGCTGCCCTGTGCCCTAGGTGTTCACGCTGCCCAAGGTCAGCGCCAGGCTGAAGCTGAAGCTGACCGCCCTGGAGGGCTCGCGGGTGCGGCGGGTCAGCGCGGCCCGCTTCGGCAGCTGTCGAGCCGAGGACTACGGGGAGCACCACCTGGCTGTCCTCACCAACCTGGGCGACATCCAGGTGGTCTCGCTGCCCCTGCTCAAGCCCCAGGTGCGGTACAACTGCATCCGCCGGGAGGACGTCAGCGGCATCGCCTCCTGCGTCTTCACCAAATATGGCCAAGGTGTGCAGGTGGTGGGCACGTCGGGACCTCTGCCCGCAGGGCTGCGTTTGGGGCTCCTGCTCTGCTGCGAGGGCTGCTGGGAAGGGCAGTTGGGGGTATTCCGGTCAAGGCCAGGCTCCTCAGGCAGAGAACTTTGGGAGCCTCTGGCCCCTAATCCCCCCTGGGGGGGCAGCTCTGTTGGCAGCCGCAAGGTCCGGGAGACTCAGGCTGGCCTCACCTGCCAGGCTTCTCCACCCCCCAGGTTTCTACCTGATCTCACCCTCCGAGTTTGAGCGCTTCTCTCTCTCCACCAAGTGGCTGGTTGAGCCCCGGTGCCTGGTGGATTCAGCAGAAACGAAGAACCACAGCCGTCTCCGCGACAGATCGGGCCCTGAAAAGGCCTCAGGCCGAGCCAGGTGGGTAAGAGGCCAGGTGGCCTTTGCTCCAGCCCCTCCTCACCCCACCTTCCCTGGGGTGCCCCCTGGGGGCTGGTCAGAGTCCCCTTCCCCCGTGAACTCAGCCCACCCTCCCAGCTCTGCCTCCTTGCCCCGCTTTGTATGCCCCACCCTCCCACGCAAGTTGGTCAGTCGACCTCATTCTTCACGGGACCAGGGCTTTCCGGAACGGGGAGCCTAGTGGCCCCCCATCCTTACTGTCTCTTCTCCACAGGAATTCAGGGAGCCAGAGTGATGGAGAGGGTAAGACAGGCCTCTCAGGGGCCAGGGGCGTGTGGGGGCCGAGGCGTTGTGAGCACACCTGGGGAGGGAAGGGGATCCCAGGTGAGCAGGTGGTGTTCGGGCTGGGAGTCGAAACAGCTTCCCTTCCAGTCCTGGGCTCAGGCTTCAGCAACCCCACCCCCAGAAGCAGGGAGCTGGGGCAGAGGAGGGCCCAAGGCTCACCTGGCCTGGCCTCTGCCTTCCAGAGAGGAGGTCGGGCCCCGTGATGGAGCACGCTCTGCTCAATGACGAGAGTGAGTCAGGGCAGGTGCTGGTGGGCTGGCTGGCAGGGGGGATGTGCGGGGCGGAGGGTGGGAGCGTGCTTGGAAGGCCAGGCTGGGAACGAGGGCCGTTTTCCTGAAGGAGGCCAGTCCCGTTCACCCCATCAGTAGAAGGGGCAGAAAGGGGGGTGTCTGGCCCAGCCCCAGCTTGCCTCACCACGCCTCTGCTCCCCACCCCTGCCCCCCTGCCCCGCAGGAGTCCTGAAGGAGATCCAGAGCACGCTGGAGGGAGACCGAGGGTGAGTGACCCTCAGGCTCGCAGGACTGGGCCTCTGGTGCCGGGAGACGTTCCAGGGGAGCTCTGGGAATGAGGGTCCTTGTCTGCAGCCCCCGTGGACGGTGACGGCCCTGTCTTTGCCCACGCAGGAGCTGTGGTGATTGGCGTTCTCCGCGAGTGGCCGTGGGGTACAGCCTCAGCAATGGGGGAGGTAGGGGCTCTGGGTGCTGCTGCACGGTGGGGTGGGGCACGCTCCTGGGGAGGGATAGGAGGGACAGGAGCCCCCGTCCCCGCTCCCCAAGGCCCTTAGGCCTATCCCAGCCCTGACACACACCCCCACTTGCCCGAAAACCTCCATGTCTGGGCTCAGGCGGGTGACTGAGGCCCCCGTCCCGCCCAGGGTGCTCCTGAGTCGCTGTGGCTCTGTCTCCTTCTGCACGACGAACACACACTACTGACGGCTCTTCCTGGGGGCACTGCCCCACCTGGAGAGGCCCGTGCACTGGGCCGTGCAGGGGCTGGGGGCACCCCCAGTGCCCACCCTGCTGCTGCTCCTGGCCTTGGGAGAGGAGGGACCCCAGGCCCCTGGGGCTCTCCCTCCTCGGGCCTTGACCCTCTCGGTCCTTTTGTCAATGTTGCACAGTTTTTATCCCCGTCTCGCCGCTTTTTGTAGTGGGCTGGGTTTTAAATTATAAATGTTAACTGCCTCTGGGTGAAAAAGTTTTTAATAAACACCTTATTACCTCTTCACTGGACTGGCCCAACGACTTTACTTTTTTAATTGTGCAGAGATTTTACACGTAAATAGGAATGATCGTTAGCTGGTTCCTTGCCTTTGCCCCTCGGGTCCATCCCCTGGACCAGGCTGGTGCTCAGGAGAATCTGTTTTTTAAGCTATTTGAATCAGATCAAACTGTATCTGGTCGTGTCCGAACGCTATATGCCTTCTCTCTTTGGGAATAAATGGTGAAAGTTAACTGAATTGAGTCTGACTGCATCCCCGGGTGGGGGGCAGTGGGAGGCCCCTAGCTGCCCCTGGCTGGCCTTCCCTTGCTGTTAGGAGGGGAAGATGTACACAGTATCTCAGGCCCGATGGCTTCTTCCGGACTTCAGGGAAGGACTATGGGGTGCTGCTGAGGCGTGGGGGGCAGTTAAGGTCTTTGTAAACCTGGGGTTTGATTCAACTTGGGCTACATCTTTATTCACCTGTCTTCACTGAGCACCAGCTATATGCCAGGTGCTTGGGGTTCAGAGGTGGCCAAGACAATGTGATCCCTGCCCTCATGGGGTCCTTACAAGTGCAGGAAGTGTTAAGATGAGGGACATCTCAGGGCTTGTGAGAAATGTGCCTGGGGAGGTGACGTTAAGTGTGACGGGAGAGGTGACCAGGAGCTGGCTGGGCAGACTGTTCTGTGCAGAGGACTGGGGGCGGGGAGGTACAGCAGCACGAGAGGGAGTGTTCTGCTCTCCGTAGAACGAGTGAAGAGCTGAGGGTGGCTAGCAGGAAATGAGCTGAAAATGCCAGGGCCAGTCCAGGAGCCTCGTGAGGGCGAGGGCACCGCCACGGGCTGCAGGAACCCACCCTGGCCTGAGTGCGGAAGGGGCCTGTTGGAAGGACATGGATTACTCGGGGAGCAGAGGAGGAGCTGAGGCCCAGGTCCCAGGACGGACACACCATGGGAGCATCCTCCGCACCCGCCCTCCGGCCCAGCACGTCCAGCTCAAGAGTCGCTGCGTTTTGGAACTTGGACCACTCGAGCATCCCTTGTTTCTCCTTAGAGGAATAGTGGGGGCTTACTGAGATGGAGCCCCAAGAGCCGCGAGGAGCGGGAGGGACAGCTCCCCAAAGGAAGAAAATGCTGTCCCGGGAAGAAGTGGAGAAAGGATGCTGGGCAGATAAAGACAAAGCCACGGGCGTGGGGGAGGTGGGGAGAACTGCACCCTCTGCAAGACAGTCTGGACTCCATCCTGAGACAGCGGAAGCCTTTGAAGGACGTTTTTCTTCTGCCGCGCTGCGTGGCACGTGGGATCTTAGTTCCCAGACCAGGGATCGAACCCACGCCCCCTGCAATGGAAGTGCTGGACCGCCAGGGAAATCCCATCTGGAGGGCTTTAAGCAGGGAAGTTCCATGAGATTTATTCTTCTAAAGATTACTGTAGCTTCAACTGCAGCTACAGCAACTGAGTGCCACTCAGGCAAATTACTTACCTGCTCTGCATCAGCTTCTCCTGGGAAATGGGATAACAGTATTCCCTCGTGATCTGTTGCCAGGTTCCTATGAGACCTCGAGGTCAATGGGCTAATGATGGGGGAGGCCCTCTGTCAGGGTCAGGGAGAACATCTTAGAGTTTGATGCATCGGATGTCTTCTCTAACTCGGGTTGGCACTGGGGTCCTCAGTCTGTGGGTCAGAGGATCCTGCGCCAAAAGTGGGTACCAAGGAAGGAGTGGGAACATCACACCCAGAGAGCTGGGCTCCCCACCTAGGGAGACAGGTATGGTTTTGTGACTGCCAGTTTAGGGGGGCTTCCATGTCTTTTATCCAGTTGGCCTAAATTACCTCACGCTAATGGACAAGCGACACGAAGCTTCCTGCCAAGAAACCAAGACTTGAAGATCACGGTAACGATGCAAACGCCAACAAATGAGAAGAAAACGGCAGAGCCAACACCTCCACGGCTTCGTGGCTGCCGCCATGATCCAGCTAATCGGCTCGAACAAGAAGTCAACAAGCGCACACACGCACCTGAAAATACCAAGAGGGCTCTTTGAAAATTGAGTTACGCCGCACGCATTAAGGACGAGATTTGCCTTAAGTACACTGTGCTCTGAAGCGTAAGCTTACGTTGGTGGTTCAAATAGTTCAGAAGAAAAGTTCTCATATTAGGAGTGTGAGACCAGCCATTTTTATGGATAGGCGTGCTCTAGAAAGAGATTGACGGAAGCTGGGCTGGCCCCGAGGGAGAAGTGGGGTGTCCAGGGAGAGGTGATGGGAGTGGTGAAACGGACGTATTGAGAGGTTGAGTTGACCAGGATGGCTGCCAGATAGACCGGTGAGTGAGTGGGAGGGGTCACTGCCAATTCCAAAGGCCCTGGAGGGGGCGTCCCTGGTGGCGCAGTGGTTGAGAGTCCGCCTGCCGATGCAGGGGACACGGATTTGTGCCCCGGTCTGGGAAGATCCCACGTGCCACGGAGCGGCTGGGCCCGTGAGCCATGGCCTCCGAGCCTGCGCGTCCGGAGCCTGTGCTCCGCAACGGGAGAGGCCAGAACAGTGAGAGGCCCGCGTACCGCAAAAAAAAAAACAAACAAAAAAAAGGCCCTGGAGACGTACCACAGGCAGCCAGTCTGGAGACTTAGATCTGAGGGCCTTCGGCATCCAGAGGTGGAAGACAGTGTTCACCTACATCTGAAAGTCGGATCCAACCCTCCATCACTGGCTTTGCCTGTGACCGGCTGTGTGACCTTGGATAGATGACCTTACTCCTGCGCCTTTGTTTACTTATCTCCAAAATGGGCTGTGATAACAGGGCCGACCTCAGAGGACTGAAAGGATTAAATGAGAATCTGTAACATCCCACAGCAGCTGGCTCCCAGTAAACACCCAACCAAAGGAGGTGAAAGTTACTGTGAGGTGGGTGAGGCTAGGAGAGGAGGAGATGGATCAGGAGGGAGGGAAGGAGTGTGGAGTAGAGTCAGAAGAGGGCTTGCACAGACCGGAGGAGGAGCTCACAGTCCTCGTGAGCAAAGCAGATGAAGGAATGAGTGGGAAGGAGGAGGCAAAGGGGAGAACTGGGCTTGGGGCTGGGGCCCCTCTGCCCTGCTATCAGGTTTGTCTAGGGGAGTTCCCCAGAGATTGTTGGAAATCACACAGCCAGGAAGTGGGACGGGGAGGGACCAAGCCTGTCTGGTTCTGAAGCCAATTCTCAGCAGAAGTGTCATGGAGCAGAATAGCGGGACCCGGGCTTCCCTGGTGGCGCAGTGGTTAAGAATCCACCTGCCAATGCAGGAGACATGGGTTTGAGCCCTGGTCCGGGAAGATCCCACATGCCGTGGAGCAACTAAGCCTGTGCACCACAACTAGTGAGCCTGTGCTCTAGAGCCCGCAAGCCAAAACTAGTGAGCCCACATGCCACAACTACTGAAGCCTGCGTGCCGATAGCCCATGCTCTGCACCAAGAGAAGCCACGACAATGAGAAGCCCGCGCACCGCAACGAAAAGTAGCCCCCGCTCGCCACTAGAGAAAGCCCGCGTGCAGCAACGAAGACCCAATGCAGCCAATTAATTAATTAATTAAAGAAAAAGAATAGCGGGACCCTTGAATTGGGTCCCCAATTTCTCACTTACTGGCTGTGTGTCCTTAAGCCACTTACCCTCTCAGAGCCGTTTCCCCATCTGTGAAATGAGACCATATCTCCCTCCTAGGGTTTTGGGGGGTTTGAATGAGATGAAGCTTGGGAAGAGAACTAACTGAGACTCAGAGGATCAGAAGTGGCCACGCCCACGGAGCTGAGTGAGATCCGAGCTCTGTCCTGGATCAACCAGAGGGAGAGGAGGGCAGGGGAGAAGGTAGGAGATTAGAGACAGGTGTGGAGCTCTCCCTCTGCCCCCAGAGCTCACAGGACACATTGTAATGGGCTGGACAAATGGAAGTTCTGTGTGTAGCTGATGGTAGCTCCTCACACATGTTCTTTTGCCAGGTCTTGGGAGCCAGACTGCCTGAGTGGGCATCCCACTTCTTTTTTTTAATATATAATAATATATTTATTTTTGGCCACGCTGTGCAGCTTGTGGGATCTTAGTTCCCCAACCAGGGATTGAACCCAGGCCCTCAGCAGTGAAAGCACAGAGTCCTAACCACTGGCCTGCCAGGGAATTCCTGGCATTCCAGTTCTGACACTCAGCTGTGTGCCTCAGTCTTATCGTCCATAAAATGGGAATCCTTACAGCACCAACCTCTTAGAGTGCTTTCAAGAATTAAGTGAATTCAGGGAATTCCCTGGCGGTCCAGTGGTTAGGACTCCGTGCTTTCACTGCTGAGGGCCTGGGTTCAATCCCTGGCTGGGGAACTAAGATCCCACAGGCCACAGGGCGTGGCCAAAAAGAAAAAAAAAAAATTAACTGTAGTGCTTAGAACAGTACCTAGCACATCATCATCATCATTATTATTAGACCAGGGCAAAACAGTGAGCTCTTTCTCTGTGTTATCTTTTAAATTATAAAACGCATACAGAATAGCACAAGTCATAGGAGTACAACCCGATACACCTCCACCAACTGAACAAACAGTATCACCCGTGGAGGCTCCCTTGTGACCCTTCTAGTCACTACCAACCTCCCACCCCCCACCCCAGGCACCACTCTATAACTAGCTCAGTTTCCTCTTTTCGTACTTGATGTAAATAGACTCATACAGTGACTCTATAACTCTTTCTGGCTTCTTCACTCACCATTACGTTTGTGAAATAACCCATGTATGTTGCCGACAGCGCTGTGTAATCATCCACTGTGTGAATACATCACCCCACTTCCTGCTTTCTGCAGGTGAAACAAGCCCTATGAGTCTCATCGCCCTTTGCCTTGGTCAGTATTGGTGGTGAGGAAGCACAGCTTACAGACTTTCACAAAGACACCAGTTTTATGAGCTCCATGGTAACTGATGTTACCCATGAGCTTGTGTTCCTTTGGGACAGCCGCTTCCTTTACTAGAAGGCTGCTTCCTTGGCAAAGGCCAAGTCACTTTCAACTCCTTGCTCAAACCAGGCCTCTGGGCTGTGAGCGGCCCTCCTGGGTAACGTGAGTGCTTGCAGCAGCTCCACCCAGGTCTGAGGCTGGCTCCAGGAGATGTGCAGAGAGGTGGGTACAAGGCAGGTACAAGCCAACTGGAGAGCATACCAAGGAAAGGGCCACAATCTGGAACGTTACCTCCCCCACTCTGATTCTGGGCAGGGCTGCTGGTGAGGAGAGGCCAGAGTGAGTGGTCAGCAGGGGCACGGAGCCCTGCGGGGCAGGTCACAGGCCCTGGCTGGAGATCTCATCTGACTCCATCTTGGGTGCCCCGGAGCCTACCCTGCAGCAGCTGCCTTGCCCTGGGGCCATCCAAAAAGGGCTCATGAATCCTGCCTGGGTTTAACTACAGTATAACCATCAAGAAACAGATCCGCATCAGTACAAAGATGGGTAAAGAATGAGAAAAGACAGGTCCCAGGAAAAAAAAAAAAAGGCTGTAAGATGGAGGAAAGCTGCTTATTTTCACAGAGAAATGAATTTAAAAGACACTGAGATTTGTCACGTTTCAGAGTGGCAAAAATGTTAGGTAACGCCATGCCTCAGTGCCATGTTAAAATGGGTGGTCTCCTATCTTGTTTGTGGGAGTGTAAATTGATACAGCCTCCGTGGAGGAAAATTTGGAGCACTCCAAATTACAAACACACATACCCTATGGCCCAGCAATTCTACTTCTAGGAATTGATTCTGCTTGGACACAGGTGGAGTCGATGTTGTTTGTAACTGGAGCAAAAGCTGAGATGAAGGCATCCTCCGTTTCAGACATAAAAGTCTGTTAGCCTAAAGCAATTTTTAAAAGTCAGTTATCTTACCAGGAAAACAGGTTTATTCAAGAGCAGCAAAGAATTACAACACAGGATAGCAACTATGGCCAGCAACACGCAACCCTACTAAAGCAAAGGAGAGGAAACTTTTTTATAGAGGAGAAGGGGAAGTTGGGAAAGGCTGTTACAAACAAAAAGACCCTTGGAGGAAATTGGGAATTTGAAGCACAGTGGCTTTTCATTGTCTTAGTTTGACAGTTTCTCATTGGCTGAGCTGTGCCAGGCAAGGAGAAAATCTTTTTTCCTCCAGCTGGCTGTAGTACAAAGTACATTTCTTTCCCTTGGGACCTGCATTGAGGTGGAGGGGTAAGCGTGTAAGAGCGCCCCCTTCTGGCCCCTGGACTCCATTTTAGTAAGGTTTCCCTTGATTAATTTTCACACTATCAATAAAGAATTGGTTAAACTATGGCACGTTCATTTGCTGGATTATTATGCAGTTGTAAAAAGAAAAGAAAAAGAAGATCGTTATGTACTATTATGAAATCTCCAAGTCAATCTGTTAGATTGGAAAAAGCAGAGTGGAGAGCCATGAGCTCGAAAAGCTTCCACCTGTGCTCAAAGGGAAAAAGAATACTTGCTTTTCTGTGCGTGGATAGCTCTTGAAGGCAATACAAGAAATGGGTAACCTGGACTTCCCTGGTGGCGCAGTGGTTAAGAAGCCGCCTGCCAATGCAGGGGAGGAGGGTGGATTCCCCTAGAGACCCCAGGACGAGGAGGACGGTTCTTTTGGCACCCCCTCACGCCCTGCTGAAGAAGCAGTGAGGCGGGAGCAGAGCATGGGCCCCCTCGATTTGGCGTGGTGCCAGGCTGACCTGGCCGGCAGCAACTCCAGGCGGCACGGTTGCCCTGTCCACGGCCTTTGTCCGCAGTTGCAGCTCCTCTTTCCTGGGCGGCCTCCACTCTATTGTTGGCCGAGGAGGTCAGGACCCGCAGCCACCTGCATTATTGATGCTCACGCATAAAGCGGGAGTTGCGGGGGCGGGTAGATTGAGCCTGTAGCCGCAACCTGTGATGTGCTGCCGAGGGCACCTGCGGGCAGCCAGCTCCTAGGGAAGAGGACAGGAGGGAGACGCCGGGAAACAAACCATGGTCAGGAGCAAGGGCAAAACGCCCCAGCGGCCGGAGGGACCCGGGAGGCCGACCTCCCGGGAGCAGGAATCCGGGTCGGCCAGCGCCGACAGCGCGCCCAGCCGGGAGCGCCGACAGGGCCGCGGTAAAGCCCACGGGGCGAGACCACGCTTGGAGCCCTGCACCGCGGGGGGCCAGGAGACCCCCGGTGGCCGCAGGAAGCCCACCGTAGAGGAGAACGGCGACTGCAGACGGCCAGAGGCTGGGCCGCCACCGGAGGCTGCGGGGAGACGAGGCAGCGCTTGGCGTCGGGGATGCGGGCCTAAGGAGAACCACAAGCCTGGGGACGGCCGTGGAGGGCGCCTGGAGGAGAAGAGTCTCCTCGGAGGAGGAAGGACACGCGGGCGCGACCGCCGCAGGAGAAGAGGAAAAGGGCGGGGACGCTCGGTTCAGCGGGGCCGCCAAGAGACCCGCAACCTCAATGGGGACACGTCGGATGGAGACGGGGCCAGCTCCTGCCCGGACAGCGAAGCCCGCGAGGCCCTGGAGAGCGGCAGCCAGAGCGGTGGGGCCCCAGAGCGGCGGCCCAACTCGGAGCAAACGGACATGGGCTCGGGAAACACCCAAACCGGTCCGGAGTCAGCGCTGGAGGCGCCGAGAGAACGCCCGAGCAGCGACGGCCTGGGCAGCGACGGCAGAGGCGGTGACAAGCCCCCCGCCGGGCCCCGGAGCCCGGAAGGATCGTCGGGGGCGAGGCCCCAGGGAGAGACCGAGGATTCCGAGACGGACACAGACTTGACCCTGGAGGGAGCCGGGCCTGGACGGAGCCTACGGGCAGCCCCAGGAACGACAAGCGGGTCCACTGAGGCCGAAGAGGCTGACCCGGCCAGTAAAGCCGCGGCCTCCAGTCCCCTCGAGGGCAGCCGCGCGTGCGTTCCCCGGAGCTCGCGGGCTTCTCGAGACCCCAGGCCGGCCCGGGACGCGAGAAACAGTGGGGTGCAGCCCGAGGCTGAGCCGAGGGGCCCCGAGGCCGTTAGAGCCGAGGCCTCGACCGCCCGGGGTCAGCGTACCCAGGTCGGAGAGGGGGTGGGGAAGGTGCAAGAGGAGGAGGGCGTGAGCGAAGCGGGGGCTGGAGGAGAAGGGTCCAGGGACCCAGCGCCGCTGGTCGCCCTGGTGGCGCTCGGCAGGCTTCGCGCGAGGCCCCCGCCAGGGCCCGCTCCCCAGGCCGCGGGTCCCTGCCGCTCGGGCCTCAAGGACCGGCTCCTGCGGGTGGCACGGGGCCTGGGCCTCCTGCGGTGGCTGCGGCTCCGGCCGCGGGCGGGCGAGGCGCGGGCGGCGGGCGAGGCGCGGGGCCGCGGGTCGGGGCTGAGCCGCGGTCTAGTGCTGAGCCTGGCGGGCGTAGAGGGGCTGGGCGGGCGACCGAGGGCTCCCCCTGGTGGCGGCTCGAGTTTCCCGCAGGTTGCGGAAAGGCCAGCCCCCGACGACCCTTCTGAGGACGCGGACCCGACTCCAGATCCCAAGTTTGCGGTCATATTCCCCAGGATCCACAGGGCAGGGAGGACCTCGAGCAGCCAGAGCTCAGAGGAAGGGTCCGCGGACGCCCCCGCTGGGGAGGGGCACTTTTCGTCTTGTGCGGGGGCTTCAGGGGACAGTGAGGGACGCAGGGCGAGTGGAGAAGGGGTGGCCGGGCGCCGCCACGGCTCTCTCGGCCCGACTCCCTCCGACGAGCCCCCACTCGAGAGAGGCTCCAGCAGCGAAGCAGAGCCGGAGACCTTGGGAGCCGAGGCTCCGGTGCACTGGGCGCAGGGCGAGGACCCCCGCGAGGACCCTGGGTTTGGCACCGAAGCACTGCTGCCCCGACTCATCTTGGAGACCCGCCTGCGGCGGGAGAGGAGCCCGAGCCCCTGCAGGTTCCTGAGGGATCGATGGGAGCCGGAGGATGAGACCGAGGAGGCGCTGGAGAAGGACCTGGAGCTGAGCCTCGGGCCGGGCCTGGAGGCGCCGCCCTTTCCCGGCGCCGAGGACAGGAGCCTCGGGGAAGGCCTGGAAGACACCGAGGACCTGGCCCGGCTGCGGTGAGCGGGCGCGGTCCCAAACCTGCCATGCCTGGGTCACACTTGCTCGTATCCCATCCTACCCCCGTTCTCTTATGAATTGTATCCTTATATGCGGTTTTGCCACGCAAGGTCGTCTGCTTGGAAGGGGCAGGTGAGGGGTGAGAATCAGGTGCTCCTTCCTTCTCTAATTGGCACAAAGCTTCCCTCTGGGTCAGCAGCCTGGTCCTGCTTGTAGCGCCCACGGCGCTGGTAATTTGCTTAGCAGCCGGACCCCTGTACTATGGACCAGCTCGGAGAGGGTGCATGACTTGGTGGAAGTGTCTCTGCAGCCAGTGGCAGCGCTAGCCCAGGATCTTCTGCCCCCAACGCCCTGCTTCTCCACCCTGCTTCCCTACAGGCCGGTGTGCGACAGCTCCGTGCTGCTGTGTCTCAAGAAGAGGTTTTACCTGGGCCGAATCTATGTACGGGGGACCCAAGAGGGGATGGTGGGCCGGGATTCCCTTTCCTCAGGGATCATAGGGCCCTCCGGGCACCCCTGGAGAGCTTTCCCCTCCATCTTTCTCCTCCCTGGGCTGGGTGCTGAACCCTCTCTGGGGTCCTGCAGAGCGGGGAGGGGCCGGGGGCATCAGAGCTCCACTCTATTTGCATCACCTGCTCCCTCCATGTTCTGATGAGAGCTTCCACTTTCCTCCCAGACCTTTGGGGGGCCCCTCCTGCTCGCTCTGAACCCCCGCCGGCCCCTGCCTCTCTTCTCACCTGAGGTCCTGGCCAGCTACCACCCTAGGAAGACCCCTAACACCACCCCGTACGTGAATTTGCCCCACCAGCCCTCTGCTCACCCCCAGCATGTCCCATTGACTGAGGTCCAGGGCATGGCAGGCACGACCTGCCTACGCCCAGGAGGCCCCAGATGCCCATCTCTGGTAACCTTCTCATCTGCTTCCACCCTCCTCCCCCAGACACATCTTTGCCATCGTGGCAGCAGCCTATAGCCTGTCTCAGAGCACCGGGCAGGGCACCTGCATCCTCCTGGGGTGAGTGGTGGCTGCCCTGCTTGGCTGAACCTTCAGGCCGCGCTGAAGGCCAGGAGGAAGGGGATGTGAGGTCTGCATTTGAAACTGCCTGTCTGGTCCACTGCTGGGCAACAGCTCTGGACTTCCTGAGACTGTGCCCCTTGAACGAGGCATCTTGGGGACTTTTTTCTGTTTGGTCTCTATGCCCCAGGTCTATGTTTCTGCATTTCTGGGAGTCTCCTTTAGGGCAGGTATCACTTCCAGGTGGGCATATCCCCACTTTCAGGCTCGATGGGATTGTCCTATGTGCCCCTTCCTGGAGACCCTGCCAGCCTCTCCCTCCTGCAGTGGGCACAGCGGCTCTGGGAAGACAGAAGCTTCCAGAAAGATTGTGCAGTTCCTAAGCAGCCTGGAGCAGGGGCAGACAAGGGACAGAGGATGTCGGGTGAGGGGCAGCTCGCCATTTCCCAGGGATCAAGAGGGACCATGCTACTCCTTTGGGCCAGAAGGGTGGTCTTCAGGCCTCTGGCTTCCCCTCGGGGGCAGCCCGAGGCATTGCCTACTGCGGGGACAGGGAGGGCTGGGGTGACTGACCCCTCCGTGGACCAACAGAGCTGCCAGGTACATAGTGTCCTCGGCCGGGATACCTGATCAGTGGGCACCACTGCTGCTCCCAGGGGTACTTGAATGCCCCTCCCCCATCCAGCTGGACGACGTGCTGCCCATGCTCCGCAGCTTTGGCCATGCCAAGACAGTCCTCAACTCCAACGCCAGCCGCTTTGGCCAGGTCTTAGGCCTCTGCCTGCAGCAGTGAGTGACGGGGGTCCAGGTGGGCGGGGTCACCCAGGATCAGTTTCCCTTACTGGGAAGCTGAGGCTGCTGCCCTTGGGTCCAGCCCACGGTGGGTCCCTCACTCAGTGTCCTGTGTCCACAGAGGGGTCATCCTGGGAGCCTCTGTGTCACATTACCTGCTTGAGACCTCGAGGGTGGTGTTTCAGGTATGACCTGGCCCGCTGCTCCCAGAGTGGGAAAGAGGGAGGGGCCACTGCGAGCGGCTGTGGTCCCTCAGCCCCCAAGCCTGCCTTCCCCAGGACTTGTCCTTGCTCCCCTGGGGCACAGGACCAGGCCGTTGCTCCCCCTAAGCCAGTCCTTCTCCCCTGAGGCCCAGGCTGAGCGGAGCTTCCATGTTTTCTATGAGCTGCTGGCGGGGCTGGACCCCATGGCACGGGAACGGCTCTCCCTACAGGGGCCGGAGACCTACCACTACCTCAACCAGGTGGGGGAAGGCCCCCTCGGTGCTGGACCACGGGGACCGCCCAGGGGAGGGTCTGAGGAGAGGGAAGCTGCGGGCGGCCAGACTCCTCACCCCTCACCCCTGCTGTGCTCTGCAGGGCCGGGCCTGCAGGCTCCGGGGCAAGGAGGACGCCCAGGACTTCACAGGACTGGTGAAGGCCCTGCAGGTGCTGGGCTTGGGCACCGAGGAGCTGACTGCCGTCTGGGCTGTGCTGGCTTCTGTCCTGCAGCTGGGCAACATCTGCTTCTCCTCCTCAGAGGTGAGCTCCCTCTGAGACACTAGGTTGGTGGCGGCTTGTTTGCGTCATCACGAGGGCAGAAATAACAATGCCGAACACTTGTGTGTAGGAGACAGTAAGGCCCCGGGCCACCATCAGGGCCTCACCACTGCCCCCGAAAGCAGATGAACTCCCACCGTACAGATGAGAAAACTGAAACCGGGGTCTTCTGCATCTATACCGATCCTGTCCCACTAAAGTGCCACCCTAAGGAGGATGCTTGGCATTAATTGAGCAGCTATTATGTACCTGGCACTGTGTAGATCACTCTACATATATTTTCTTTTGGCCACACCGCGCAGCTTGCGGGATCTTAGTTCCCTGACCAGGGATTGAACCCGGGCCCCCGGCAGTGAACGTGCCGAGTCCTATAACCGCTGGACCGCTGAGGAATTCCCTGCATATATTTTCTAATTCATTGCTCCTGAGAACACCATCACATAAAAATTGTTGTTCCGCCTTTAACAATAAGACAGTGGAGACTCGGAGAAGGAAAGAGGCTTGTCAGGGCCGCCAGTTAGTGGAGAGGTAAAGTCAGGATTCACACTCAGGCCCTCAGACTCCGGAGCCAGCTCCTACCTGCCCAGATCTACCTTTGGGCAACAGGGCACCTTGCCAGGCAAAGCAAGGCCCTGCCCCTGCCCCATGGGAAGCAGCCAGTCCACAAGCAGAGCTCTCCCTGCCCCCTCCCGCCTGTCCAGAGGGAGTCACAGGAGGTGGCTGCCGTGTCCAGCTGGGCTGAGATCCACACAGCAGCCCGGTTGCTGCGGGTGCCGCCCGAGCGCCTGGAGGGGGCTGTCACCAGGAGGGTCATGGTGAGCTCGGGGGTCCTGGGGAGGCGGGGGCCTGACCAGTCCACCCGAAGTCTTGGGGAGCACGAGTGTGGGCCTTGGGCCTGACGTACCACACGCACATCCTCTGCCCTCAGGAGACGCCCTATGGCCGGGTCTCGAGATCCCTGCCCGTGGAAAGTGCCATCAGCGCCAGGTGGCCCTGGGGACAGGAGAGAGCTGTGAGCAGGCCCGGCCCCTGCTGCACGAGGCTCACTCCCCATGCCCACAGGGACGCCCTGGCCAAGGCCCTGTACTCGCGGCTCTTCACCTGGCTTCTGAAGAGAACCAATGTGCGGCTGGCACCCCCCGGGGAGGGAGGCAGCGTGGTCACTGTCACTGTCATCGACGTCTACGGCTTTGAGGTCACCCCTGGGGGCGGGGCCCAGGACGGGGTGCCCACCTCATCCTGGTTATTTCTGGGGACCCCAGCAGCTTCCCTTTGTGGGGGCGCTCGTGCGCTGCCTGCCTTTCTGACCGTAAGATGGTCCACGAGACAGCTGCGTGCTCCATAGGTACAGCCACCTGCCCTGTCCAGCCCTGCCGTCGGCTCTGGAGAGTTCTGCCTGCTTGGCCTTGCAGAGTCTCACAGGAGCCCTTAAGACGATGAAAGACCCTCGGATGGGTCAGCCTCGCCTGCTGTGTACCCAGAGGAGAGGGAAGAGAGGGAATCCCCCAAATCACACTGAGTTTTTCATAAGCTCTTCACCCCTTTCCAGAACATCCTGTTTCCTCAAGGCAGGGAGGAGGGGCGAGAGCAAGAGGAGGTGGCCCCCACCTCAGTCCTTGGATGGGCGCTGTGCCCAGTCCCCTGCTCTCTCCTCCTCTCCAGTGTGTCCTTGGTGACTATCAGCTCTCTGAGGAGGGGATGACCGTTGCCCCTGTGTGTGTGTGTGTGTGCGCGTGCATGTACGCACATGCGTGCTCTTGTGTGTATTTTAGAACATGTCAAAACTCTGTGCAAAGCTACACGAAGCGGGGCTCTGCTGGGCTTACTAGGAAAGTGCTGAGGGGCACAGAGGAAGGAGCCTGTAATTCCAACAGGAGGGATGCTGGAAGGCTTCTTGGAGGCGGCAGCCTGGAGCTCTGCTTACGAGGATGTGGCATTCTGATAGCCAGCGAGTTAGGCTGTAGCAAGAGGTGTCTTCTAGACCACAGGATGGCTATGATCAGAGGCCCGAAGGCTCACAGTGGTGCTAAGGCAGAAGGCAGGGGTGTGGGTTGGTGGAGGGAGGAAGCATGATCGGGGCTGGGACTGGGCTGAGGCGGCCTGCATGCTGTGCCAGGATCTTTGGACTTGTCCCTGGAGGAGGAAGCATCAGCCCTAGGGCACCACTCCCGCCTAGTGCTTGGGGAGAATGGGGGCAGCTGTGGGAGGGGGATGAAGGGAACCAGGCCTGTGTGCTAGCCCCCCGACCAGCTGCCCTGTGCCCCCACCTCGTGTGGGTGCCCACTTCACTGCCCACGTGCCCCCCCAGGCGCTGCGGGTCAACGGCCTGGAGCAGCTGTGCAACAACCTCGCCAGCGAGCGCCTGCAGCTCTTCTCCAGCCAGATGCTTCTGGCCCAGGAGGAGGTATGGGGAGCTGGGCATGGAGGTGGCAGGGGGACACCCAGCTGTTTCCCAGAACAGAGGCCATCCCTGGTAAAGAGAAGGCACTACACCGAGAGCTCTGCCCCAAAGCCCCCTTGCTATGGGCCGTCTCAGTCCTTCTGAGGCTCAGTTTACTCATCTGTAAAGTGGGAGGGCCATCCTTGCTCTGGCTCAGATGAGGTCCCCCCACGAACATGGGTGGTCTCTGTAAACCAAATGCTGGCTGTTCCCAGGAGGAGTGTCGGAGGGAGTTGTTGCCCTGGGTGCCCATCCCCCAGCCTCCGCAGGAGTCCTGCCTGGATCTCCTGGTGGACCAGCCCCACAGCCTCCTGAGTATCCTGGATGCCCAGACATGGCTGTCCCAGGTGAGCCCCCAGTGTCGGGGACAAGGAGTGGGGGCCCTGGTGGCCAGGCCAGAGCCAGCAGGAACTCCCAGGGGAGCAATAAAGGGCTAAGGTCCTGGGACCCTGCCCACAGGCCCTCAGCACAGCTTGGGAAAGCAGCGGCCACACGGGCTTCAAATCCTGTCTCTGGGTGATCCTGAGTGAGATTCCCGACTTCTCCAAGAGTCCTTGCTGCAGAGGGGCAGGGTGGTGGGGACTGTGCAGGCCCCATGAGGGGCTTGTGAGGCTTTCCCCAAGTATTTGTTGTTGTAAGTTCCTTAGCACTATAAAATAATCTCTTACCGGATGGCCTTTTAAAAGTATCTTTGAAAGACTTGTTCAGAAACACATGTAACTGTGAGACCAGACTCCCAGGAGTAATGGCTAAATCTGCCTTAATGCTCCCCTAGCCCCATTTCTTTTAAATGATTTCATCAAGGGTCCTCTAAGCCGCCAAGTTTTATTGACTGAGGTGTACAAGGCTACTGTGTTTTTTCTCAAATGGGAGCCAATTGTTCAAAATAGTCCCTGGGATAGAAGCCGTGCCCTTTCTAAGGACTCAGATGTGGAGTGACTCTTCCTGGAAAAGAAGTTTGGGGACCAAAACCAAAGCTCACCTTCTGTTCAGTGCGTGTGGTTTTGGGGGGCAGGGGAGGGAAGCACAGTCCCAGCAGGGGAATGGCACCTGCAAAGGCCTGAGAAGCTCTTCCTCTTCTCAGGCCACGGACCACACCTTCCTGCAGAAGTGCCACTACCACCACGGCGACCACCCGCACTACACCAAGCCCCAGCTGCCCCTTCCCATCTTCACCGTGCGGCATTACGCTGGGACCGTCACCTACCAGGTATCAGGGTGAATCAGTGAGGGCAGTGTGACCCTGGGGAGTCACCTGACGGGTGAGAGGGGTAGGTGTGGGGAGGCCCCTTCCAAGGCTTGGCCATCTGTCCCCACCTGGGCCCTTGGCCTCACCTAGTGCATGACTTACTGAGTTCTGGGTGGGCATTATGGGGTGGGGAGGGTCAAGGCCTTGGGACCTTCCAGTCCAAGAGGGGCAGAGTGTATGCATGGGACCTGGCTCTGATAACCTCAGGCAGTCTACTTCTCCTTCTGAGCCTCCATTTCCTCATCTGTAAAATGGGAATGGGAGTCCAGCCTATAGCATTGTCCTGAGGATTAATGCAATTACATGGAAATGGCGGGTCAGGGGCCTGGCAGATACTAGGTGCTCACTGAAGGGATTCTCCTCTCCCCTTTATGAGTTTCATGACTACTGCACACCTACCCAGGAGGAGAGCTGCTGAGGGGAGGGGGCCTGGTTTAAAGGCTAGGACCAGGTGACTGGTTTGAGGTGGGGCAAGTCAGGTAAGGCTTCCTGGAGGAGGTGACATGCTCTGGTTGTAGAAGAAAACATACAAACTACACGGGAGTTATCCACACGTGAAACACAAGGAGTATATGTCAATTATACCTCAAAAAAAAATCACATCTAAAAGAAAAAAGGAAGAAACAGAAGGAGATTGACTAAAGAAAACTATAAAATTGTATTGAAGGTCACAAAAGAAGACTTAAAAATGGAGGGAAAAGCCACATTTCTGTTGGGGAGCCCTATATTGTTCACTCTTTCCCAGTTAATCTAGAAAAGTCATGTAATTCCAGACAATACTCCAATGGGGCTTTTATGAGAGAAGGAGAGGTGGATTTTAACAAAATTATTCTGAAGTATTATATGGAAAATAAATGCATAAGAATAGCTAATAAGATATAAAAAGCAAATGATTATGGAGGCATTTGCTCTATCAGATATTAAAACATATTTTAAAGCTCTAGCAATTAAAAGATTATGGTATTGATAAGGAGCAGACCCATCAATGAGACAGAATTGAAAACCCAATAAACAGACCCAAAAGTGTAACAAAGAACTGGGTATGTGACAAAGGCGGCCTTTAAAAAAATGTGGTAAAGTATACACAACATAAAATTTCCCATTCTAACCATTTTTAAGGGTACATTTCAGTGTCTTTAAGTACATTCACAATGTTGTGTAACCATCACTGCTATCCATTTCCAGTACTTTTTCATTATCCCAAACAGAAACAACTTACCCATTAAACATTAAGCTCCAATTCCCCCTTCCTCAGACTCTGGCAATATCTAATCTACTTTCTGTATCTATAAATTTGCCTATTCTTATGTAAGTGGAATCATAACACACACACACACACACACACACACACACACACACACACACACAATCCTTATGTGTCTGACCTATTGCATTGAGCATAATGCTTCCAAGGTTCATCCATGTTGTAGCATGTGTCAGAATTTCCTTCCTTTTCATGGCTGAATAATATTCCGTTGTATGTATAGACCACATTTTGTTTATCCATTCATCTGCTGATGGACATGAATTGTTTCCACCTTTTTGGCTATTGTGAATAACGCTGCTGTGAACATGGGTGTACAAGTAACTGTGTGAGTCGCTGCTTTCAATTCTTTTGGGGATCTGCCTAGGAGAGGTTTGCTGGGTCATATGGTAATGCTATGTTTACCTTTTTCAGGAGCCACCAAACTATTCCTCAGTGATTGCACCATTTGATAGTCCCACCAGCAATGTATTGGGGGTTCCAGTTTTTCTACATCCTTGCAAATACTTGTTATTTTCCATTTTTGAAAATTATAGTCATCCTAGTGGGTGTGAAGTGGTATCTCATTGGGTTTTTTTTTTGTTTTCTTTTTCATTGTGGTTTTGATTTGCGTTTCTCTAATGACTAACGATGTCGAGCATCTTTTCATGTGCTTTTGGCCATTTGTGTATCTTCTTTGGAGAAATATCTATTCAAGTCCTTTGCCCATTTTTTTTTTTTTAACATCTTTATTGGGGTATAATTGCTTTACAATGGTGTGTTAGTTTCTGCTTTATAACAAAGTGAATCAGTCATACATAAACATATGTTCCCATATGTCTTCCCTCTTGCGTCTCCCTCCCTCCCACCCTCCCTATCCCACCCCTCCAGGCTGTCACAAAGCACCGAGCCAATATCCCTGTGCCATGCGGCTGCTTCCCACTAGCTATCTACCTTACTACGTTTGTTAGTGTGTATATGCCCATGACTCTCTCTCGCCCTGTCACAGCTCACCCTTCCCCCTCCCCCTTTGCCCATTTTTGAATTGAGTTGGTTTGGGGTTTGTTTATTTATTTTTGGCTGCGTTGGGTCTTCGTTGCTGCATGCCGGCTTTCTCTAGTTGCAGCGAGCAGGGGGCTACTCTTCATTGCAGTGCACGGCCTTCTCATTGTGGTGGCTTCTCTTGTTGCGGAGCATGGGCTCTAGGTGTGTGGGCTTCAGTAGTTGTGGCATGTGGGCTCAGTAGTTGTGGTACATGGGCTTAGTTGCTCCGCGGCATGTGGGATCTTCCTGGACCAGGGATCGAACCAGTGCCCCCTGCATTGGCAGGCGGATCCTTAACCACTGTGCCACCAGGGAAGTCCTGAATTGAGTTGTTTTATTTTTTTGTTGTTGTTAAGTTGTAGGAGTTCTTTACATAATCTGCATATTAAACCATTATATGTGATATTTTCTCCCATTTTGTAGGCTGTCTTTTCACCTCTTAGTACTGTATTTTGATACACAAAAGTTTTTCGTTTTAATGAAATCCAGTTTATCTATTTTTCCTTTGTTGCCTGTGCTTTTAGTGTCATATTCAGGAAATCATTGCTAAGTCCAATGTCATGAAGCTTTCTCCCTTTGTTTTCTTCTAAGAGTTTTATAGTTTCAGGTCTTACATCTGGGTCTTTGATCCATTCATTTTGAGTTAATTTTGGTACGTGGTGTGAGATGAGTCCAACTTCAAAGGGGGCCTTTGTAAAACATTTTTTTTAATGAAGTATAGTTGATTTACAGTGTCAAAGGTGGCCTTATAACTCAGAGGGGAGAGGCTGGATTATTTTGCAAAGGGACTGGCTTCCACACTCAGCCTTCTCTCCTTGGCTCCCCCACCCCCACCCCCCACCCTCGCCCACATTATATCTTGCAGGTTCACAAGTTTTTAAACAGAAACCAGGATCATCTTGACCCTGCTGTGGTGGAAATGCTTGCCCAGAGCCAGCTCCAGGTGCCCCTGCCGGCCGCCCTGTCCCCCCATTCTGCCCTCTCCACCCTGACAGCCTTGCCCAAGGAGCTGGTCTTCAAGCCCCTGGCAACCTGAACCTTTGGCCGGCCCACCCTGGCTCCCCGGGGGTCGGGGTGAGGGGCAGGCTGGACAGGCCCAGGTGAGCTGGCTTGGCCCCCTCTCACCCCACAGCTGGTGGGTAGCCTGTTCCAGGAAGCAGAGCCCGAGTCTGGGGATGGACCAGGCAAACCCACGCTGACCTCTCGCTTCCAGCATTCCCTGGGGGACCTCCTAGCCCGGCTGGGCAGGTGAGAATAGGGCCCCCCGCACTCAACCCCAGGGAGTTTGAATGGAGGGGCCAGTCTGTGCTCAAGTGACCGCCCCTTCCACCCACCAGGAGCCATGTCTATTTCATCCAGTGCCTCAACCCCAACCCGGGAAAGGTGAGCTCTCCCAGCACCTGGCGCCAGAGCCCTCCCACCCCTGCCCGCCCCCCTCAGCCCTCCTCGGCCCTGCCCCACCTTCCCCACAGCTCTGAGCCCCTCAATTCAGCTCTCCTTGGCTCTGCCCCGTGGCCACAGCTTCCAGGCCTCTTTGATGTGGGTCACGTGGCAGAGCAACTGCGCCAGGCGGGCATCCTGGAGGCCGTGTGTACCCGCAGTGCCAACTTCCCCGTTCGCGTGCCTTTCCAGGCCTTCCTGGCCAGGTAGGGGCCCAGGATGCGGGCAGCCCCAGGGCGCAGGCACCTCAGGGCCAGGGCTCACTAGGAAGGCCCCCTGGAATGGCTGGCGGACCTGGGGCTTTTTCGGGAGCGGGGGATGGACACACTTTCCCAGGGACCCTGGGCCTGACGTCCAACCCTCCCTCCTTCCTTTCTCTCTGTCTCTCCTTCTCTCCCTCCATCTGCGTCTCCTTTCACTGTTCGTCACCCGCACACCTCTCCACGCCTCTGTGCATTCACCTGCCCCTCGTCCACTCAGCAAAACTCTCCTGAGTGCTTGGCACATAGTAGGTGCTTTCCAAATCATTGTTGAATGACTTATAGACTGAATAGACCCCGAGGGGTTCAGGGGTCAAATGAGTGTGGAGGGAGGTCCCCGCTGTGTTTGTTTCAACCTCCGCAAGATTCTCCGTCCTTGGGGCAGGTTCCGGGCCCTGGGGACAGAGGGACAGGAAGAGCTCTCTGACCGGGAAAGATGTGGCACCATCCTGAACCAGGTGTTTGGGGCTGAGTCGCCCCTCTGTCACCTGGGAGCCACCCAGGTGGGTGGTGTGTATGAGCAGGGAAGCAGCAGGTATGGCTGGAAAGTGGGAGGAACATTTTGGGACCAACTCATGATTTGGTGGTCCTTCTGGGTGGTGGGGAGATGGAGTGGGCCGGGTGTCCCGGGCACCCCAGTAGAATCAATAGTTTGGCAGAAAGGAGGAGGCTGAGGCCTCGGGAGAAGGGCAGGGTGGTCTCCAGCCACCTGGCCTGCCCCCAGCCCAAACCTCTGCCCCCAGGTGCTACTGCGGGAGCTGGGCTGGCAGCAGCTGGAGCGGCACCGGGCCCAGCAGCGCGCCCAGGCCCTGCTCACCCTGCACCGAGGCCTCTGCGCCAGCCTCTCCTGTCAACGCCTTCGCCTCCTACCACGGATTCGCGTGCGTGGGCTCCAGGCCAGGTGTGCAGAGTGGGGCGAGACTGTAGGCCTCCTCACGGTGGCGGGGCAGGGTCGGGGGGGCGTAGGGCCTCAAGGCTAGTCTGCCTGCTTCCCATCAGCACCGGACTCTCCTTGCTGGCATCCCCACCATGCCGTCTCTGCTTGAATACCCCCAGCCACGAGAAGCTCATTACCTGCTAGGCCAGTCAAACCTGCGGTCTTGACTCCTTGACTGTTCTTTTCTCTAGTCTGTTCTCCACTCTGCAGCAAGAATACTCTTTTAAAAGCGTGAATCAGGTTGTGTGAGGCCCTGCCTACCTCTCCAGCCTCGACGTAGGCCGGACTTTTACATTCCAGGCTCTTTGGGCTTCGTGGTCCTACGATGCTCCCCTCACCCTTCTCGCCTCATTAGCTCCAGCCCCACTCACCCTTCACTGCCCGTCTTCACTCATCCATCCAACAGCTGTCGGTTGACCATCTTCTCCATCTACCCTGGGCCAGGTGCTGGCAACACAGGGAGGAAGGTGCAAGCATCTTCACACAGGCACAGGGATGGTGCCTTCCAGGCTAGCTGGGGAGTCAGATGCAGACAGTAAACCAGCTTCCAGTCGCCCCAAAGGGGATTGCTTAAGGACTGAGAACAAAATGAAGGCAGTGCCATGGACACCAGGGAAGCCTCGGAGAAGGGGGCACCCGTCACCACTATATGTTTCCAAAACGTTTTCATCACCAGCGGGAACTCTATACCCATTCAGCAATGATGCCTCACTCTCCCTTCCCTCCCGCCCCTGGTAACCTCCAGTATGCTTTCCATTGCCGTGAATTTGCCTATTCTAGATACGCCGTCTAAATTGACTCATACAAATTCCTTTTACACCTGGCTTACTGCACTAAGCATAGCGTTTTCAGGGTTCGTCCCTGTCGTAACATGTGTCAGAACTTCATGCCTTTTTATGGCTGAAAATTGTTCCATTGTGTGGATGGACCGCATTTTGTTTATCCACTTATCTGTCAGTGGGTTGTTTCTACCTTTTGGCTTATTGTGAATAAGGCTGCTATGAACACAAGTGTACAAGTAACTGTTCAAGTTTCTGCTTTTGGTTCTTTTGGGTCTCTATCTGGGAGTGGAAATCCTGAGTTATACGGTAATTCTGTCTTTACCTTTTTGAGGAATTGCCAAACTGTTTTCCACAGTGGCTGCACCATTTTATATTCCTACCAGCAATGTGTGAAGGTTCCAATTTCTCTGCATCCTTGCCGATACTTGCTACTTTCTGCTTTTTAAATGATAGCCATCCTAGTGGGTGTGAGGTGGTATCTCATTGTGGTTTTGATTTGCATTTCTTTTTTTTTTTTTTTTTTTTTTTTTTTTTTTTTTGCGGTATGCGGGCCTCTCACTGCTGTGGCCTCTCCCACTGCAGAGCACAGGCTCTGGACGCGCAGGCTCAGCAGCCATGGCTCACGGGCCCAGCCGCTCCGCGGCATGTGGGATCTTTCCGGACCGGGGCACGAACCCGCGTCCCCTGCATCAGCAGGCGGATTCCCAACCACTGCGCCACCAGGGAAGCCCTGATTTGCGTTTCTTTAATGACTAATGATGTCGAGCATCTTTTCATGTGCTTCTTGGCCATTTGTGCATCTCTTTGGAGAAATATCTATTCAAGTCCTCTGCCTCCTTTTTTTTTCTCTTTGGGAATTTATTTATTTATTTATTTTTGGCTGTGTGGAGTCTTCGTTGCTGTGCGTGGGCTTTCTCTAGTTGCGGTGAGCAGGAGCTGCTCTTCGTTGCGATGCGCGGGCTTCTCATTGCGGTGGCTTCTCTTGTTGCGGAGCATGGGCTCTAGGTGCGCGGGCTTCAGTAGTTGTGGCACACGGGCTCAGTAGTTGTGGCTTGCGGTCTCAGTAGTTGTGGCTTGTGGACTCTAGAGCGCAGGCTCAGTAGTTGTGGTGCACAGGCTTAGTTGCTCTGCAGCATGTGGGATCTTCCCGGACCAGGGCTCGAACCCGTGTCCCCTGTGTTGGCAGGCGATTTCTTAACCACTGTGCCACCAGGGAAGTCCCCCTCTGCCTGCTTTTTAATTGGGTTGTTTTTTTTTTTCATTGAGTTGTAGGAGTTCTTTATATGTTCTGGATATTAAACCTTTATCAAATGTGTGATTTGCAAGTAGTCTCCCATTACGTGGGTTGTCATTTCATTCTCTTTTTTAAATTAAAATTTTTTAATTTATTATTCATTTTTGGCTGCATTGGGTCTTCGTTGCTGCACATGGGCTTTCTCTAGTTGCGGCAAGCGGGGGCTACTCTTTGTTGTGGTGTGCTGGCTTCTCATTGCGGTGGCTCGTCGTGTTGTGGAGCATGGGCTCTAGGCGCACGGGCTTCAGTGGTTGTGGCACTTGGGCTCAGTAGTTTCGGCTCGCGGGCTCTAGAGCGTAGGCCCAGTGATTGTGGTGCACAGGCTTAGTTGCTCCACGGCATGTGGGATCATCCCGGACCAGGGCTCGAACCTGTGTCCCCCGCATTGGCAGGCGGATTCTTGACCACTGCACCACTAGGGAAGTCCAGGACTCAGCGCTTTCACTGCCAGGGCCAGGTTTGATCCCTGGTCGGGGAACCCAGATTCCACATGCCATGCGGCGTGGCCAAAAAACAAAAGCAGATAAACCCCAGAGAGGTAAAGTAACTTATCCAAGACCGCAGTGACTAAACGGTAGGGGAACGAGCCCGCGTGGTCAGCGCCAGAGTCCCAGATCTCGATCCTCGGGCACAGCAGCCTCTCAGTTTACCTGCTGGTCTTTCGAAGTGTCGTGTCCTTTCCCTGTTGCTGCCCTTCGGCAGCCGGGGGCTTCACTGGGGTCCGATTTTACATTCATGTCTTGGCTTGGAGGATTCAGGTATCGGGTGTGAGTTTGGACTCCTCACCAACCCCCTTCCCGGCTTCCAGGAAGTGGTACCTCCGGCGGCGGGCAGCTCTGGGGCAGCTGAACACCATCCTGCTGGCGGGCCGGCGCCTGCTCTGGAGACAGCGGAGAGGGCAGGTGAAGCACATGGATGGGTCCTGCCCAGGGCAGCTCAGGGGAGAAGCCAGGCAGCCTTGCCGGCCACGTTGGCCAAATCCCGACAGTGTCCACCCTCCAAGTGCAGCCGCATGAGGACCGAGGCCTCGGAGACCATTGCTGGTGGAGCTCCTTCCGTCCCCCTCTGCCTGGCCAGGGTAGCCTGGGGCCTCCAGGAGGCTGTCACCTTCCTTCATGCCTGCCCACTGCCAGGGCCTGACTCTCCCCTGCTGGCTGGGGGTGCCTCCCATCCCCTCCAGGCCTCCCTTGGAGTGTTCCCCTCTTGCCCTGTGACTCCAATCTGAGGGCCATAAAACAGCTCAAAGGTCAATGCCCACGTAATGCCCCACTCTCTGGCCCCTCCCTGGCTGGACTTTGTCCCTTGGGACCATTCCTTCCCTTCTTCCCTCCTCTTCCCGGTGCCCTGGCAGACGGGCAGAGACAGCCACAGCGCTAAGGCTAGTGAGGGCTCTGGAGGGCTGGGGGCAGACAGCTGGCCCCCTGGGTCTGCACCCCTTCCTCCACTGGTGTGGGGTCCTCCTGGGAGGAGGAGGGGCAGCTGCACTGCTGCGCGGGGGACGGGCCTCTAGGGAGCTCCCGGTAGCGCCTCACGGGGGCATCGTCTCCTCCTGCATCTCCCCCAACAGCTTGGGCATCGGTGCAGCTGGCACGGCGTCGGGGCCTCCAAGAAGGGGCCAAGCATGGTAGGTGGCCTGGAAGCTGGGTTGTGAGCCCGCTGAACCTGGCCTGGCTTGAGGGGGAGCGTGGGGTTCCAGGGGTGCCGAGATGGGTCCTGTTCCTCAGGCCCATCCATTGTCCCCCAAGAAGAGGCCTGGGGTGCTCTTGGGTTCCCTCTGGGGGCTTTATGTGTTTGAGTGTCCAGGACTAGAATCCTTGGGCTTTGGAGGGGAAGCTTACATCCCTGGGGGTGAGGAGGGCCCCCGAGTTCCCATGCCCCTTCCCTTAGTTCCTGGTCAATTGCTCCTCCCTGCTAGGAGCTGGGGCACTTGGAGATCCCGGCTGAGCTGGCTGTCATGCTGAAGACAGCGGAAGGTGAGTCCTGATGGGCGTTGCTCTTGCCATGACCCCCTCCTGGGCGGAGGCTCTGTCCCTGTGGTCCCTCCCTCTGATGCTCTGGGTCCCCCCAGCTCACTGCCCAGCTCCCTCTGCACTGGAGCTGGGGGCTGATGCTGAGAGGTGGAGGCGGCGCCAGAGCCAGGCGCCTTACCTGGGCGTTTCTGGGCTGCCGCCTACGTCATCCCAGGCCATCGGCACACCCTGGCTGAGAGCATCACCGAGGCCATGCCCCCGGAAGTTCCCGCACGGCCCAGCCTGACCCTCCCACCCGACATCGACCAATTCCCCTTCTCCAGCTTCATCTCCATCGGCTTTCAGGTGGGCCCCCAGGCCTTAGCTCTACACGGCTGATGCCCACATCTCCCCAGACGTTAGCCCCCGTCAGGCAGAAGCTGTGTCTGTCCTTCTGTCTCCAGTCCCCTCCTCCCTCTCCTGTTGCGGGGCTGTGGATGCAGCTGCGTTGCTCGGAAACCGTTGAACCTAAACGTGTTGCTGGTTACTTATCTGCAGTGCCACACCTTCGTTACACCTGTGGCACTGCCCTGCCATTGAAGCCATGTCGTTAAAGCATGCTGAATGACAAGGCAAAGTGTCCAGGCTACAGTGTTGGCGGCAAAAGCAGGATTCAAAACTGCACGTAGAGTACGATCCCAATTTTGTTAACAGGGAGGGTGGGGAGATGACGTGTGTACCTACACGTAGAAAGTAAGATTAGAAACAAAGAGGCGAAAATGTTAACTGTGGTTTTATCTGGCAGTGGAATGTTAATGGTGGTTTTTATTCTTCATCCTTTTCCATGTTTTCTGAGTTTTCCGCATGCACGAGCTTTAGTTTTCTAATCAGAAGGAGTGATTGAGAGGTTTTTTTTAATATTTATTTATTTATTTGGCTGTGCCGGGTCTTAGCTGCGGCACACGGGATCTTCGTTGCCTGTGCAGGATCGTTAGTTGCAGCATGCGGGACCCTTTTTAGTTGTGGCATGCAGGATCTAGTTCCCTGACCAGGGATCAAACCCCAGCCCCCTGCATTGGGAGCGTGGACTTTTAACCGCTGGACCACCAGGGAAGTCCCAAGATGTATTTTTCTTTTAATAAATTTATTTATTTTTGGCTGCATTGGGTCTTTGTTGCTGCACGCGGCTTTCTCTATTTGCGGTGAGCGGGGGCTACTCTTCGTTGCGGTGCGCGGGCTTCTCATTGCGGTGGCTTCTCTTGTTGCGGAGCACGGGCTCTAGGCGCGCGGGCTTCAGTAGTTGTGGCTCGCGGGCTCTAGAGCGCAGGCTCAGCAGTTGTGGTGCACAGACTTAGCTGCTCCGCGGCATGTGGGATCTTCCCTGACTAGGGCTCGAACCCGTGTCTCCTACACTGGCAGGCGGGTTCTTAACCGCTGCGCCACCAGGGAAGCCCCCCGAGATGTATTTTTAAGATGATTTTCCTCACTAGCCCCTCTCCCTCTCGCAGGGCGCGTGCTCCCTTGGGGCTCCCCCGCGGCTGTGTCTGGCAGGTCAGCACACAACAGCCCCTGCTCAGGCACCGTGTCGCCCTCCTTCCTTGCAGGAGCCATCCCTGCCCAGACCTGGGCAGCTGCTGACCAAACCCCTGACCCGGCTGGACAGTGACAACCCTCAGCATGCCCTGGATATCAACAAGGTGGTGAGTGACACACTGGGGAGGGGCAGGGTGGGCCCGTGCAAGGGGTGCTGGCCGGGCACCGGGAGCCCCGCACGTCCTGCCTCCCCTCACTCTGTGTCTGCAGATGCTGCGGTTCCTGGGGGACGCATCCTTGGAGCCCTGGCAGGAGCAGACCATGGGCCAGTACCTGGTGCGGCAGGGGCAGCGCCGGCCGGGGCTGCGCAACGAGATCTTCAGTCAGCTCGCAGCCCAGCTCTGGCACCAGCCGGACGAGCAGCAGAGGCAGCGCGGCTGGGCCCTCCTGGCTGTTCTGCTCAGCGCCTTCCCCCCAGTGTCCACCCTGCAGAAGCCGCTGCTCAAGTAAGGGCCCCGGCAGGTGGGGGCCCCGTGGGTGTGCTCAGCGGGCCACCCCATACCCACGGCAGCCCTGTGTTGTGCCCGCAGATTCGTGTCCGACCAGGCTCCCGGGGGCATGGCAGCACTGTGCCAGCACAGGCTGCTGGGAGCCCTGCAGCAGACGCAGCGGGCCCCTGGGTCCGAGCGGGCCCACCCACCCACCCAGCTCGAGTGGACGGCCGGATGGAGGCAGGGCCGCATGGTGCTGGATGTCTTCACCTTCACCGGTGACGCCTGCCTCCTCTCGGTCCTCCCCAGGCCCACGCTGCAGCCTGCCCGGCACTCTCGCCCTCCCTCGGCCCCCTTCCCTCCTCAGCCCTCCCCATGTGACCCTGACCTCCCTGCTCTCCTGCTTTCGGAACCGCCACGGGACAGTATTCCCTTCCTGTCCGGGTGGACCCTGCTGTCCCTCACTCTTGCCCCTACCCCTCGTCCCTGCAGAGGAGTGCTTCTCGGCCGAGGTGGAGTCCTGGACCACAGGGGAGCAACTTGCCGGGCGGATTCTGCAGAGCAGGTGTGCAGGGCCTGGGATGGGCGAGCGCAGCCCACACTGGCCATTGTCCCGTCCGCCTCCTGGTTTTCCTCATGCTCCCAGCCCGCTCTCCCGCCGAGCACCTCCTGCGGCTGCTCCAAAGCCAAAACCTGCTCCCCGGGGGGCGGGATGGGGGCGAAGGGGCGGGGTGGGTGGGCAGGGTCCAGACAGTAGATTCAAGACAGAGAGCAAGTAGAGAGTATACCTGCTAGATCTGGTCCAGGTTCTCATCAAATTGAATGAATAAATGCATCAGAGCCACTGTAGAAGTAGAGGACTGTGAGTTGCAGATAAAGTAGAGGGCTGTGAGTTGCACTGGGTCCTCAGCCAGGTTCCTGTCCCCTTCCACAACCCCCTCCCCCCAGCCCACCCTCAGGTCCTTGTCCCTTCCGGATGGTCGTCCGCCTGGCTGACCACCCTCTGCTCCATGCCCTTGTCTCACTCAGAGGCCTGGATCCGCCCCCGCGTGGCTGGTCTGTGTCACTGCACTCTAAGGACTCCTGGCAGGACTTGGCTGGCTGCGACTTCGTGTTGGACCTGATTGGCCAGACCGAGGATCTGGGGGACCCGGCCGGTCCCCACAGCTACCCAATCGCCCACCGTGGCTTGTAGGTGCCACCCACAGCACCCCTGGCATGCTCCTGTCCCTATCCTGTCGTAGGTGACCCCCTCAGCCACCCTGTCATCCGCGGGGGTTCACAGGTGCTGCCACAGGCCCAGCCCGCCCGCCCCCAAGCCTCCGCCCACCGCAGGGGGATGACCCCTACAGCAGCTTCTACACCTTGCCTCAACCTGGGAACCCCCCGGCCAGGGCATCTCCTCAGCTGGGCCCACTATCTCCTGCAGAGCCGAGGACATCCCCCCGGCCCCTGGCATCCAGGCCCCCTCACTGCCCCCAGGTCCCCCTCCAGGCCCAGCCCCAACTCTGCCCAGCAGGGGTCACACAGGTAAGGCTGGGAGTGGGCACACTGAGGTTGGCAGAGCGCTGGGAATGGGGGTGCCAGAGCCCCACGCCCCAGGCAGGTGACAGTAACCCTCCACAGGTGAGTCCCGGACCTCAGGGAGTCTGGATGGCTTCCTGGACCACCTCTTCTCCCCGTGCCTCAGCGTGAGTGTCCCGCACGCAGACCCCACCCCACTGCTGCCCCTACGCCCCTGGGGCCTCTGCTGCCCCTCCCATCCCTCCTAGGGCTCTAGCTCTGACCTTGGGACCTGTGATTTTTGTCCCTTCAGGATCTGGAGCAAGGCAGGGCTCTGAGTGGCCGCATGAAGGGAGGGGGCGCCATGGGGCCCATGCAGCAAGGCAGCTATCCCGTGGGTGAGTGCGGGGCTGAGCACCCAGGGCCTCCCTGCCCAGCAACACAGGCAAGCATGGCCTGGGATCCCCACGCAGCTGCAATCAGAGCTCTGGCTAGCACCCTGGTGGCCCGTACTCTTCTCTTTGCCTGGGGCTGAAGGGAGGCTGTCTGTGGGCCCAGGCAGGGACCGACCTGGGGGGGGGGGCCTTGTTCCCTCAGTGTACTCAGGGATGATGCAGATGCCCGGATACCAGCCAGCCATGATGCCTGCACCCGTGCCCATGATGCCAGCAATGGGGGCGGTCCCCGCCATGCCAGGTAAGGCTGGACTACAGCCACTGTGTCCCTTCTCAGGTAGGGACTGGAGGAGGGAGGGTGTTGCCTGGGGCCTAGAGGGCACAGTGGGCAGAGGGCTGGGAGCTCAGCCATGGCGCTCGTCCACCCTGACTGCCTGCCATACTCGCAGCCGTTGTGGTGCCGCCACAGCCGCAGCCGCAGCCACAGCCACAGCCCCTGCTTCCCAGCGTGGACGCGAGGCAGCTGGCAGTCCAGCAGCAGAACTTCATCAACCAGCAGGCGCTGATCCTGGTGAGGGTGGGCAGGGCCCATGGATTGCCTAGTGGGTACAGACCTGTGGGGCGAGGCTAGGCCAGCTCTTACCTGGCACACCACCCTTCCCCCGTCAGGCCCAGCAGATGACCACCCAGGCCATGACCTTGTCCCTTGAGCAGCAGGCAAAGCAGCGCCAGAGCCAGCCCCTGGAGCATCATGCCCAGGCCCAGGCCCCTGGAGCTGCCTCCCTGACTCCACCCCCAGCCATCACCTCCAAGCCCAAGAAGACACCCACCCCCCAGAAGGAGCCAGAGCATGACCTGGAACTGGTAGGTGCCTGCCTGAAGGTGAAGAGGCGAGGCCAGGCAGGTGGCAGGGCTGGGGTGGGGCAGCAGGCTCCAAGGCCACAGAAGTGGGAGACACGGCATGGGGGGTGTGGGGAGATGCAGAAAAGATGCTGCCAGGCTCCAGCCCCACGGATCTGAGCGGGTTTGCTCTGTGAGTGGCAACTTGTCTGGCAGGGCAGCTCCTTCTCTTTCCCCTCCTGCCACAGGAGACCTCACAGGAGGCTGAAAACAGGCCCCGGCGGCCCAAGAGCTTCCAGCAGAAACGGGACTATTTCCAGAAGTTGGGTGAGGGCCCTTGGGGTGGCAATCCCACACAAAAACTCAGCCACCGCCCCAGCCTGGCCAGGGGACGGCGGGGTGCACTCTATTCCTCCAGGTCAGTGTGGCCTGTCCAGGAGCCCAGACGGGCGGGCCAGGTGGAGAGTAATAGCGAGGGCCATTTGGGGCGTTTACAGGGCAGCAGCAGATCAAGGTGGAGGCGATGAGGCCTCCGGCCAAGGTGAAGATCCCCCAGGGGGAAGAGCAGGAGGAGGAGCCGGAAGAAGAGGAACCGAGAGCAGGTGGTGGGGAGCAGGGTGGGGGGGCAGGCTTTGTGGTTCTGCACAGGGTCTCACATCCTTCCTCTCTTTCTGGTCAGTGCCGTCACCTCCTCCTCCCCCAGTAGAGAAAAAGCCACTGACACGAGATGGGGCCAAAGCTGCACAGGAGGCTGAGGCTGAGCCAGACACAGAGGCGGGGCCTGGCGGTGGTCGCCGGCCGGCAGAGGGCAGAGCCGTGGTGCGTAGCTCGGACCCTAAGCCCCGGCGGGCAGAGCCCAGCAGGGAGATCCGCAACATCATCCGCGTATACCAGAGCCGCCCAGGCCCCGTGCCCGTGCCCGTGCAGCCGCCCAGGTGCACCCCGGCGGTGGTGGGGAGGGGGAGGACGGCCAGGACTGCCCACTGCCCAGAGTCACCGTGTGGACTCCTGACCTCTTCCTTCTCTCAGGAAGCCCCCCCAGATCTTCCTGAAGAAAAACAACCCTAAGGATGAGGCTCTGGCTAAGCTGGGGATCAGTGGTGCCTCCTCGCTGCCCTCGGTGAGGCCCCGTCCTGACCAGAGCGCGCTGCACCGCGCCAGAGCCCTCCTGAGGCTCCCCGGGGGAGACCTGGCCGCTAGTCACAGCCTGGGTGTATTCTCCGTGCCTCCCCAGACGCTGTCCCCCAGCCCAGGGAAGGGCCCCCCACCAGCTGTGGCCCCTCGACCCGAGGGCCAGCCACGGCGTGTGCCCTCCAACTCCATCAAGGAGAAGCAGGGGCCCCTTCAAGAGCTGTTTGGCCAGAACCCACCCACTGCCCAGAGTCCCCCGCCTCCGCCAGCACCTCCACTGCCTCCACCCTTGGACCCAGCGACCCCTCCAGCTGAGCCGCACAGTGAGAAACCCCATATCCCTGGTGGTGGGCTTTGTGGGGGGCAGGGGCAGGATTCCTAAGGGCCTCTCAGCGCTCACGGCCGAGGTCAGCTGCTCGCGCTTCCGGACTTTGGAGCCGTGGGTGAGGAGCCCCAGCTTCCGCGTTCCTGCGGGGGGCAGGGCGCGGGCACCCCTGGGGCCTGTCTGGCACGGAGGGACCGTCACGGGGCGTGGGCCTCGTCAGGAGTTTAGTGACCCCGCTGACGTGCTCGGGGGGGCCCACGCACGTCAGGGACAGTGGGGAACGTGGGAAGCTGGAGATGGAGGCCGGCGATGGGACGGAGCGGGGGGAGGGAGGCAGCGGAGGTGGACTGAGCTGGGCCACGTGGGGCCCTAGTGGGCCAGGGTCTTCTCTCTCCGTGCCTGCATCATTCCGGCTTGGGCAGCTCCTCGCCTGATGCCCTTCGGCCCCTCTATCCGCCAGGCTTTGTGGAGACCATGGGGGACCAGGGGATCTCCACCCAGCTGCTCGTGCCCTCGGGCAGCGTCTGCTTCTCCTACGCCAGCGCCCCCTGGAGGTTGTTCCTGCGCAAGGAGGTGGGCGCGAGGGCGGGCCGCAGCCTGGCCTCCCTGGGTGGGGGACGGGGCGCTGGCTGTAGGGGCGCCAGCCTGGGGCCCCAGCATCTCCTCTCCACACACAGACACTGGGGACTACTTCCCCAGCCCCACCTCCTCCGGCCCGGGAGGCAGAGGTGGGGCGGGAGGGGGGCTGGCGGGGGCACCGTCCGGGCGCACTCTCACTCTCCCCTGCCCTCGCCCAGGTGTTCTACCCCCGGGAGAACTTCAGCCACCCCTACTGCCTCAGGCTCCTCTGTGAGCAGGTGAGAGCCCAGCCCACCTGGGACCTGTACCGGCAGACCGCCCCCACCCCAGGCAGGAGAGCAGCCCCGCTTGCGGGGACGCTGGTGTGTTTCAAGCCCTGCCTTCGTTTATTTAATCCTCCCAACATCCCTCAGAATAAGGGCCATTTTTGACTTATGACGAGGATTAAAAATAAAGCGTATACAGCACCCACCACAGGCCTGGCACACAGCAGGTGCTCGCTCGTGCTTGTCCCTTTGCCACCTCTAGATGCTCCCAATGCTTGTGTCTGTTCTCCCCAGTTCTACAGTAGCTGCCCCCCTCCCCCTCCCCGAAGTCCCGTGTTCCTTCAGGGAAGCTTATCTCAGCTGACAGAGGAGCAGCAGCCCAACTAGTGCCGGCAGCTTGGGGGAGGCAGGTGGGAGCTCCGGGTGGACGTGGCCCTGGGCTTGGAAGGCCAGGCATCCCTCCCTGCTCCACCCACGTGCCTATGGGGCTCTCTAGCTTTTTCCTCCATGCGTGGCTGCTTCTGGGGTGGGCTGTGGCCTCAGGACCTGGTGGTGACCGCCTGGCTTTGCCCCCAGATCCTGAGGGACACCTTTGCGGAGTCCTGCATCCGGATCTCCCAGGACGAGAGGCACAGGATGAAAGACCTGCTACGTAGGGTCCAGGGACCCTGGAGTCAGGGAGCCAGAGTGCTGAGGGTTGGGCCTGCCCAGAGGGAGGGAGTAGACTCCGGGGTCCCCGCTGTGAGGGAGCCTGAGGACGGCCTGGGGCCACTTCTGCCCAACAGGAGACCTGGAGGTGGGCCTGGACTCCCTGGACACAGCTGAGGACAGTGTCAAGAAGCGCATCGTGGTGGCCGCCAGGGACAACTGGGCCAATTACTTCTCCCGCATCTTCCCCGTCTCGGTCAGTGAGGCTGGGGATGGTAGCGCCCAGGGCTGGAGGCCAGCTTGGCCTTCCGCAGCAGGATTAGAGCTGGGGGTGGGCTGGGCCCCAGTGGAACCAACGAAGAATAGCACTGGCCTGAGCAGCCCCAGGGTGTCTTGGCCGGTGGCGGGGAGCCCGGAGCCTGTCCGTGAGCCAACCACCTTCCGGGCAGGGCGAGGGTGGCAGCGACGTGCAGCTGCTGGCCGTGTCCCACCGGGGGCTGAGACTGCTCAAGGTGACCCAAGGCCCCAGCTTCCACCCCGACCAGCTGAAGACTCTCCGCTCGTACAGGTGAGCCTGGGCTGGGGTGTGGCGTGGGCCGGCGAGACGGCCCCCAGCTCACGCCCCACCCTCTGCACAGCTTTGCTGAGGTACTGGGCGTGGAGTGCCTGGCTGGCTCCACCCTGGAGCTGTCCCTGAAGAGTGAACGGCTGCTGCTGCACACAGTCCGGGCGGGAGCCGTCAAGGCCATGGTTGAGCTGCTCCTGAGCGAGCTCAGAAAGGCAAGTGCGGGCCGGCAGGGCGCCGGGCGGGGGGCCTCCAGCACCGCTGCGTCGTACCCCATGCCGTCAGCCAAGCTCCTTCAAGCTGCCTGGGGTGGGGCTGGAACTTGGGGGCGCTTGGTGGAGAGTGACGCCAACGGGGGAGCAGGTGGGACGGGCAGGACGGAGTCACAAGCAGGCTGGCCGCTCACCCGCCCGCCTGCAGGACTCCGGCTACGTCATTGCCCTGCGAAGCTACCTCACTGACGACCACAGCCTCCTCAGCTTCCAACGGGGGGACCTCATCAAGCTGTTGCCGGTGGCCGCTCTGGAGCCAGGTATCCCCGGGGCAAGCAGGGCGGCTGGCACCCGGCGGGCGGGCAGAGGGCCCAGGAGGTGAGGCACCGTCCTTGGATGCTCCCCGCAGGCTGGCAGTTTGGCTCCACCGGGGGCCGATCCGGACTCTTTCCTGCTGACGTAGTGCAGCCGGCTGCTGCTCCGGACTTTTCCTTCTCGATGGAGCAGAGGAATGGCCGGCACAAGAGTCAGCTGCGGCACGGAGAGTGGGATAAGGCGTCGGAGGTGAGGAAGACGGGAGACGCCGAGGCGAGGCCTAACTAGGAGTCGAGGGAAGAAAGGGCTCGACTGCCCCAGAGCGGCGGAGGGCCACCCCACGCCTGGTGGGCAGCGCTTGGTCTGATGCCGCCTCTCTGCCCGCTCCCGATGTCTTGTCCTGTCTCCCCAGCAGGGCTGGGCGGTCTGCCTCTCGTGTGGCCCTCGTGGCAGCTAGTTCAGCGCCACCTGGAAGGTGCTCAGTAAACAGCTCTCGACCGTCCCGGCTTCTGGTGGTGTGCTCACTGCAGCTACTCTGCCTGCTTCTCTTGGGCTGCGCTGGGGCGGGGGCTGGGGCAGGGCCGCTGGACAGGCCAGGGGACACTCGGGTGGCGCTAGGTCTCCGGTGCTCCTAAGTTCCCCACCCACCCCTGGAGCCAGGCACACAGTGACAACTTGGCCACCAGCCCGTCCCCGTCTGTGGCCTGCGTCACCCTGCCCACGGACTCCGACTACACCATGCAGGAATTTGCCCTGCGCTACTTCCGGAAGCCCCAGACTCTGTGAGTGCCCTGGGCCCGCCCCATGCCTGCCCATCCTCAGTGTCCCTGAAGTGGGACACTCCCTGCTCAAGAGCCACCGGGCCAGGGCTCTTAGCACCCTCCCTACCCAGCCTGGGATGGGGGTGGGAGGGCTGAGCAAGCGGGGCTGTCCTCCCCTCCGCCCCCTCAGGCTGGGCCAGACAAGTGAAGATGCCAAGAGGAAGGCCATGGCCAGCCTGGTGCAGTACAGCAAGGTAAGGGGGATGGTGGGGAGGAGCTGGGACAGCAGACCTGGCCCCTGGCCCCCATGGCCCCAGACCCACAGGCAGCCTCTTTGGCCGCAGGCTCCCATCCAGGCATCACTCATCAGCATCAGTGACGAGGACGTGAACAGGCGGGCCGTGGGAAGCTTCCAGGGTAAGTAGCCACGGTGTCCTGGGTCGCCATGTCTGCAGTGCCCGGGACCCAGGCACCTGGTCGCCTTCTGTCCCTGAGTTCGCCGACTCGGGGAAGCTCACCGGTGGCTCCTATGCCACATGGCCCTCACCCACTTCTACTCATGCCCAGGGGGCTGCGGGTTGTGTGGAGTCTGGGCTGGAAGGCAGCGGTGGGTCTGGCTTGCTGTGCGCTTGATGTAGCCCTGGGTGGCCACAGGGTCTCTCTGAACCGTCTCCTCGTCGCTACAGCTGAGACTGCTGCTCCGCCTGGCTCACACGCATTCTGAGAGCAAGGCATGAGATGGCCCTGCACAGCGACAGCACGAGCCAGGGCCAGGCCCCCAGCCCAGCTCACCGTGCTTTTCATCCTGCCCGCAGCTCTGATGCAGTTTATGGGGGACCAGTCCAAGCCCCGGGGCAAGAACGACCTGGATCTCCTCTACGGGCTGCTGAAGGTAGGAAAGTGAGCCAGAAGCTGTGGGGAGTCAGTGAGCCCTGAGGGCCCCTTCCTGTCCTCCTGCCTGGGCCTCCATGGGACCCCGTGTCCCCTGGTCACTATACATTCAAAGAATCCAAAATTAGTTATCGAGCACCTACGTGCTGGGGGCAGGGCAGTGCACCAAGCAGGCCAAGTCCCTGCAGAGCTTACAGCCTGGTTAGAGGAGACACTCAGTAAACCCTGAGGCAACGTGTCCGGGGCAAAGAGTGCTGTGCGGAGCGATAAAGCAGGGGAGGGGCTGCTTCGGCGCAGAAGGCTTGGTGACAAGGTGACCCCGGAGCAGACCTGAGGGCGGCCAGCGAGTGAGGCACGTATGCATGGGGGCAGGGCATGGGGGCACGCACACAGGCAGAGGCGGGGGTGAGCCTCGGCCCCAGCAAGTTCAGTGTGGCTGGAGCCCAGTGAGCAAGAGGGAGAGTGGAGGCGAGGACCAGGAGGGACAGAGGGTCCGGGTCACGGGAGGCCTTGTGGTCCACTGTCAGGACTTGGATTTTTCGAGATCTGGGAAAACACTGGAGGGTTTTGAGGAGAGACGTGGCTTATATCTCGTGGGGTCGCTCTGGCGGCTGTCTGCGATTCTGGGAGTTTAAGGGCAAGGAGAGGGTTCCTGCCACAATCCCAGGTGAGACGTGGCTGGCCCAGGCCCAGAGGCAGCAGCAGAGGGGAGAAGAAGGACCCCAAGCAGCAGGGTTTGCTGTGAAGTGCACGTGGGGTGTGAGAGCGAGGGGCCGAGGGGGACACGGGGGCCTAGGCCAGAGCAATGCTGGTCGCCACAGGAAGCCTGAGTGAGGATGGGGCCAGCCTGGTGGAGGAATCTGTTGGGGATGTATGAAGTCTGAAGTCCCAGTCTTCCAAGTGGAAGGTCTGGGCTTCATGGGAGAAGTCTGGGCTGGAGGCAGGCACTGGGAGTCATCAGCAGACAGAGGCCCAAGGGCACTGCAGCCCTTAGGAGTCAAGGAGATGAGAGGGTCAGCAGAGATGACTAAGACAGAGGGACCAGAGAAAGAGGACAGGGCCGAGCACGGCCTGGAAGCAGGTAAAGACGGCGACTTAGTTGAGTGGCCAGTTGTGCAGATGCTATTAAGCCGAGTGAAACCGAGGCCGAGAGATGACGGTGGCCTGTCACCTCTGTCACCCTGTCACCTCTGTCACCCTGACTTGGCCCCCAGCCCACGCCACTGGCAGGACTTCTCCGACTTCAGATCCCACGCCATCCCTCACTCCACTGCACTGCACTGCAGCTCTGCCCCCGACCCGCTGCCCCCTGCCCTTCCTCTCCCCACAGCTGTGCCAGGAGGAGAACCTCAGGGATGAGATTTACTGCCAGGCCATCAAGCAGATCACAGGACACCCCCGGCCGTGAGAGTGGGGGACGGGCGGGGGTCGGTGGCGGGCCTCTCAGGGGCAGCCCAAAGTGCTGCTGCCCGGCCGGGCCAAAGCCCAGGCTCTCTGCCCTGCAGGAGACTCTGCGCTCGAGGGTGGACTTTCCTCAGCCTCCTCACAGGCTACTTTCCCCCATCAACCTCGCTGATGCCCTACGTGACCAAGTTTCTGCAGCATTCAGCCCTGAGCCAAGGTGCCGGGGGGAGGGGCTTCCAGGCTGGGGTCTCGGCTGCTTGGGGAGGGGTTTGGGGATGCTCATGACCCCAGCCTGGCTCCTCTCTGCAGAGCTGGCCCGGCGCTGCCAGGGGCACCTCCAGCACACAGTCAAGTACGGGGGGCGCCGGCAGCTGCCCTCCCCAGGCGAAATGCAGGCTTTCCTGGTACGGGGGGTGCAGGCGGCTGGGTGTTCTGGGGCTCCCTCTGGGTGGGGGGGCCGGGGCCTCTGCCCACTGGGGGGCTGACCCCGTACCTACTTTGGCAGAAAGGACAAGTAGTCCACCTGCTCCTAATTCACCTGCCCGGGGGTGTGGAGTACAAGACCAACACCCACACTTTCACGGTGAGCACAGGGACCCAGAGGAGGGGCTGGGGAGACCCAGGGAAGCCATGGGCATCAGTTCTGGGGACATCCCTCCCCTGCTGCAGCCTCCTTCCCTCCCCAGCACCCCCGTCACGGCCCTGTCCGCATGTCCAGGTGGCAGCAGAAGTACTGGAGGAGATGTGTGGGCAGATGGGCATCACGGACCCCCATGAAGTGCAGGAATTTGCCCTCTTCCTCATCAAAGGGGAAGGTAGGCCACCTGGCCTGGGGAGGAAGCGTGGCCCGGCTGGACTCAGGGACGTGGCCTTGCCTGCCAAGTCTGCTCTTCTGGCCACGGGGGAGGCAGCTCCCACACTGGGGCTGGCAGGGTTGTGGGCGGGGCTGGCCCCGGGCGGCAGGGCAGGCTGTGGACCCAGGCTCCCCGCGCAGGCCAGCTGGTGCGGCCCCTGTGGCCCCGGGAGTACCTCAACAGCGAGGTGGTGGGTCTGGACGTGAGCCTGCACAGCCGGCGGCTCGGCTGGGAGACCCCGCTGCACTTCGATAATCCCACCTACGTCAGCACCCACTACGGCCAGGTCAGCCCCACTCGGCCCCGCGCTGCCGCGCCGCTGGTAGTTGGAACCTCGGCTGCAGCTTGAGGGAGAGTCCCTCCCTGGGTGGGGGGAGGGCTTGAGGCCCAGGAGCCACCCACTAGGTGGGGCTTTGGGGCACAGCTGCCCCCTCACTGCTCCCCCCTCAGGTGCTGCGGGACTACCTGCAGGGGAAGCTGCTAGTCAGCGCCCAGGAAGATGCCCGACTTGCCAGGCTGGCTGCCTTGCAGCACCTCAGCAGGAACCACGAGGAGCCCCCCTCAGAGTGAGTGTGAACACAGCCCTCACACCTCCTGTCACCCCACCACCCCTACCCCCTCCTCCAAGGTCAAGGCCACTTGTACCCTTTGTGGCCCTAACCAAATGGGGGCTGGGTACACCTGCCCACCCCCCCACGCTCCTCAAGGGCAGAACCCACGCCTCATTCATGTGTCTGGATCCCCGGTCTCACCCACGGTAGCCACTGGTCCATCTACTTAGCACCTGCTGTATGCCCAGCTTTGACTGACCAGGCTGTGTCCTAGGCAAGACCTACTGGCTTACTTGCCAAAGCGGCTGCAATGTCAGATGAACGTGGCCGCTGTGAAGAGCCTGATGGGCCAGGAGCTGCGGCAGTTGCAAGGATGCAGCTCTCAGGAAGCGCAGATCAGCTTCATAGGTGGGTCTGGGGCTAGGAGGCAGCTGGGGCAGAGGCGGGAGCCCCAGCAAGGAAGGGGAGAGGGTGGAGGGGCTGAGGAAGCTCTCCACCTGCCCTGCCCTCTCCTCTGTCCTGGGGGCAAAGTCCGGCAGGTCCCAGGGCCCCAGCGGTCAGAACTCCTGCTCTACCCCTCCATCCGCAGAGGCCGTGAGTGAGCTGCCCCTCTTTGGCTACACTGTCTACATGGTGCTGAGAGTGAGCAAGCCGGCCCTGCCCAGCCCTGGCCTGCTGGGGCTGAACCACCAGCACCTCATCCTCATGGACCCCAGCTCTCAGGTGGGCCAGGCTCCTGGGCCACTTGTCTCCCACCACCTCCACCGACCCCTCCCCCAGAGGAACCAAGCTCCGCTCTCTCTCCCCGTCCCCCCTCCCCGCCCCCAGGACCTGTGCTGCTCCATCGCCCTGAGGGACCTGCAGCAGCTCCGCGTGCTGAGCCCACTGGGGCCTGAGGACTCCCCTGGCCTGGAACTCAACTATGGCTCGGCTGACAACCCCCAGACCATCTGGTTTGAGCTGCCGCAGGTGGGTGGCCTCTGCGCCCTGAGAAGGTGGCAAGCGCCTCACCCAGGCCTGGTGTGCCCGGGAGCCTGGGCCCAGGCCTCTGCCCACTGCTCCGGCGTGGTGGGGCTGGGGGCAGAGGCAGGGGGCTGGCTGGGGAGCCCTGGCCTCACATGCCTGTGCCCGCGCAGGCCCAGGAGCTGAAGCACACCATCACCTTCCTGCTGGACCGCAACTCTCCTTCCACTTAGTGGCCGGGCTTCACCCAAGAGGAGTGGGGGAGGGGCAGAGACGAGGACAGGAAGCCTCTCTGGCCAAGTCTCACCCGGACAGTCTCCTTTGGGTGCTGTCAGGCCAGTCTGGCCTGGACTTCACCGCTTGGTTCTGGAACCTGCTGCAGCACAGCCCAGCTGGCCCACGGGGAGGGGCTGCTATAGTGACTTCAACTGGGAAAGAGTCATGAGACTCCCTCTGGGGTGGGCCTGGGCCTGAGCCTGGGGTGGGCACTGCAGGAACTTGGCTTGGGCGTCCGATGTTGCCCAGTCTGGGGGAGATGCCCACCTGGGCCCTGGCCCGACACGAGTATGAGCCCAGCCCCGGGAGCAGCAGCTGCTGAGGAAATAAAACTCCTGAGAGAACAGGGCTGTGTGCGTGTGCACGAGAACCAACAGGACTTTATTCCCCTGGTAACTGTCGAAGCCCCGCCTGGCCTTCCCGGCCAGGGGCTGAGAGGGAGCAGGGCCTGGCTGCGGCCCGTCTTCCCATAAGCTCTGCACCTGGGTCGGGCTGGAGGCTGGCATCGCGAGGGAAGACGGTGGTGGGGGCGGACCTGGGGCCAGCCCGGGCTCTTTCTGAGTAGGCCCCAAGGCCTCGGACTGGTGGGCCTCGCCCCCGGCTGAAAACATGCTAAGTACACGAGGTGGAGGGACCTTCCTTCCTTCTGTTCCTCTGGCAGCAGCCACACCACCTGTCACTTTCTGATCTGTGGATCTGGCCCAGAAAACCCAGCCACGAGGGCCGGGGAGGCAGGGAGGCTAGGAGAAAGAGGACCTCAGGCTTCGCGAGCAAAGAGAAAAGTGGGCTGACCTCTGACCTTGATTTGGGAGGTGTCCAGGCCCATTTCCAAAGCAAGGCATGGCTGGAAGGGTGAAGAGCCTGAGAGCAGACGATGTCCCAGCAGCAGCAGGCCGCCCACCTTCCCCGTTACTGAGCGAGGCCCGGGCTGGGCCGCGGTGGAGTCCGGGGAGGACACCGGCCCCATCGGGCAGCTCTCGGTCATCTCTGCAGGCCACACAGGCCGTGCCAGTCAGCTTCACTCTCGCACCGGGCTCGGCCGTGGAAAAACTGCTTGATGACGTTCTGGGCCTCTTCCTTCACTGGATTCGGGATGGGGGAGCGTGAGAGCCAGTCTCCCCACTACAGGGCCCCCACAAGCACCTCCCGGCCGGTGACGCAGGCACTCACCGCTCCTTCCCGGAGACGGATTCTGGGTCAGCGAGTGTGAGAGGTGGCGGGCGAAGGCTTTAAACAGCTCCTGGGGACAGAGAGTGGAGAGGAGCAGAGTGCGCAGAACCTCACCCTGCTCTGAGCGACCCACAGCTGCGACCCAAGAGCGAGGCAGACCCAGGGAGCGGGAGCGGGCCTCTGGACTGGCCTGCTTCCGCCCTGCTTTTCACTGGGGCTCACGCTCCCTACCCACCCACGCACTGCACCCAAGTGCCCCAGGCTCAGGGGAGAACAGAGCCCATGCACCTACCCTACCTTGGACGCAAACTTGCCCTCCTTGTAGAAGGGGGTCAGACACTTGACCACGATGTTCGCAGCCTCCTTCAGCGAGATGCCAGGAGCCAAGAGCTGGCAGGAGCCTTGAGGCTTCACGCTGCCCCGATCGCTGGCTGAGACGCTGCCCTTGGTCTCAGCTAAGATGGGGACCTTGGCTGAGGGGCATGGCCTCTTCTGAGCCTGGCTCTCTGGGTTCTCCTGGGCAGGGCCACAGTGGAGGGTCACTCTTGGGCTCCCTGTTACTGGCCCCTCCCCTCCTGGAAGACTGGGCCTCAGTACCTCCTGGCTCCCTCTAGCCCAGCCCATCTGCCCTGGGATGTGGAAAGAAGACATGATTTTCCCAAACCCCTACCCAGAGCAGACACCAGCCTGGTAGACAGGTATCTTCCCCCCTCTCAGTACCTGCTGGGGTCTGGGCCGCTTGCCTCTCTGTGCCTCCTTTGTGGGGGTGGGCTGGCCTTCTGGGGGCCTCTGGTCTCTGAGCAGTAGGCAGGCACTGGCCGGAAGGGAGAGCAGGCGTCAGAGCTCCAGATGCCAGCCGCGCCCTCAGCCCAGGTGGCCCAGTGAAGCCCATCGTGGGAACAGGCCCCGAGCTTCAGAGGCCCAGTTAGCAGAGGGGATTCTAGAGGATTCCAGGACTGCCCGTGACCTCACCTTGGCCCCTCCTCGGAGCACTCCTCGGTCTGGGGGTGGGCAGCCAAATGTCCCATGGCTCCATCCTCCTCCCCTGTGCACTTCTCTGGGGCCGTCAGGGGTCCCCGCGCCCCGTCACGGGAAGGGCTGGCACCTTCTGCCCCTGGGGCTGAAGTGAGCGGAGGAGAGCTCTCGGTCCTTTGGTAGAAGAAGCGGGCAATGTTCTGGGAGTCCTTGAGGGCCGCTGCGGCCAGGAGTTGCTGCTTCTTGCCGACCCGGGCCTTGGCAGTAGGACTGCCCGGAGAAGGGCCTTTTGCCTTCTTCTCGGGGGAGGGCGCCCCACAATGAGCACCGCTCCCGGGGGCCTCTGCTCTGGGCCCAGGGAGGGGCTCAGCGCGGTCCTCATCCTGGCGGCCACGGGGCTGGCCGGGCGGCTCCTGCTCGCCTCCTTGCACCGGCGGGGGGTCTTGCTCTTTGAGCCGCGTCTTCTCCATCAGCTGAGGGGCCGTCTGGAATGTGCAGGAGCCTTTCGGGAAACCAGCTCCCACCCGCTTGGGTTTGAGCTGTGAGGAGGAGAGAGGCTTCTGACCCCAGGTGCCTCCAGGGCACTCTCTAGAGGGCCCAGGGATGGCTGCGTGGGTGGGGCTCCTGGGAGTGGGGGCGGGAAAAGCTGGGCGGGACAAGGCTTGGGGGTCGGGCTGGCGAGACAGGCGCTGTGGGGGGCTGCAGAGGCGTAGCTGGCAGAGTACGGAAGCGCGAAGGCCTGCCCTGGGGCGCCCTAGGGCCAGGGCTGTGATGCCAGGAGAGCAAGGACTATGCCCTCGCTGAGGGCAAGGGGCCGTGGCGCCTTTCCTGGACCCAGGTTTGGGGGGGACACCAGGACGCCGCTCACCGAGTACACCTGGGAGGCCGGCCGGATGTCATACTCGGTGGGCTCTGGGGGCTCGGCCTGGGCGCTGCAGCTCCTGGCACCACCTCCCACATCGTAGAGCTGCCCATCCTTGGAGGCTTTGTGGATCTCAGCCACCTGGGGCAGGGACAGGTGGGAACGCCATGGTCGGCACCCCTAGCTCCCAAGAGCCCCCAGCCCAGGCTTCCCACGAGTGGGTTCCGCGGCACCTGGGCACTAGACAAGTTCTAGTCCACACGGGGTTGGCTAGAAATACTTCCAGCCAGGAAAGGAGGGAAGTCGGGCTCCCCCAGGAATAAGCGCGCCCTGTGTGGCAGGCTGCCTCTCCCACCCAGAGCCCGGAGCACGCCCCACCCACCCCACCCGGTGCCCACCTTCTTCAGCACGCTGGCCTTGTACAGGTTGGCCACCTTGGCATTTCGGAATGTCTCGTGTTCCAGGTCCACTGCCTTGGCCTGGAGGTCAGATCTGAGGGTAGGAATGAGGTTAAGGTGTCAGGTAGACCTGAGGCCCCCTCCCTGTTAGATCCCCCCTGGGGACCCTGGAGATGGCTTCAGGAACGGCCTGGCAGGAACGGCCTTGGGCACAGGGATTCCGACCTGGACTGTCTGTGCCCCCTGTGGTTTACTGTCCCTCAGCAGCTCCTGGCAGCCCCTCGCTTGTGGCCAAGCCTGCCCCCTGGTGAGGCTGTGGAGACTCACACCCCCTGGGAGTAAGATGAGTCCCAATTTGGGGAGGGGTGCCCAAATAAGCCACGGGGGCTGGGGTTCCTGTGGCCTCCAAAGGAACAGGAGCCCGGGGACCGCTCCTCGGCCCTGACGACACTCACCCATCAGTGGAACCTGCGGCCTGGCGGTTGCTGCTCAGAGCCTCCTCCAGGAGCCCCAGGCAGTGCTCACGGGCCTGCACAGGGGAGGGAAGTTGGTCAAACAGTCTCAGGTTGTGGGGGGATCCTGGGGGGGCAGGTGTGACGAGCTGCCCACCTCTTACCTTCACAGTGAGTCTGGGGATCTTCCTACTAGAAGCCTCTCTCAGGGGACAGTCTGCATCTGGGGGGAGCAGAGGCAAGTCCTGCCACTCTACTTTCTGCTCTCTGGCATCCCCAACCCCCCAGCGAGGCATCCTCCACCATACCCTGAGACCAGCCCAGGGGGCATCTCTGTACTGACCTGGGGGTACGAATTCTTCTATCTTGGGGTCTTTGCCCTGGAAGATGACATGAGGGCCCGTAAGGCATCCTGCCCTGCAGCAAGACAGCTCCCAGTCCAGCCCCAGGGAAGGGGCTGAGAGGGTGTGAGCAGGGGGCCACCTGGACCCCACTGAGCCCCCATCCCCTTCACCTTGCGCAGGCGCATCTGCTTCTGGTAGAAGAGATTCCATTCCCGCTTGTGGGCCTCGTCTCTGCCCTCATCCCCACTGCCTTCAGAGCCTTCGTTGTACCTAGAAGACAGGCTGGGCATGAGCAGTCCTGGGTCTGGGCTCTGCCCTCCTGTCACGTGTCTGCTGGGACAGTGATGTCTCTGAGGCCCTGGCAGCTCATGGGCAACACCGAAGTCCTGGCCCCAGTGTGGCCCTCAGGGCTGGGGGGTGGACTACGGCACTGTGTCGCCTCTGGTCTGGCCTTAGCATCAGGGAGAGAATGCCAGACTATTTCCAGGGGTTGGGGGCCCCTGGCCTCATGGCCTCTCACCTGCTAAAGCCCCCATAACCCCTGCGGCCTCCCTCATACAGCTCAGGGTCAAAGCCGTTCCCCTGGGAGAGCCCAATGGAGGTCTTGCTCCAGCTGCAGCTTTGCTCCAAAGCGTCCAGCTGCTTCCGCACAGCTGCAGGGTTCTGGCAGTGGTCACAGCCTTTGGTGCAGGCGGGGGGCGCATCCCCGAAGTACTTAGCAATGGCAGCGTGGCGGCACCTGGAGCAGGCAGCATAACACAGGCAAGGGGTGAGGGACGCACGCTGGCCAGCGTTCGTTCACCCGATCCCGAAACTCTGGTTGAGCACAGCTACATGTCTGGCACTGTGGTAGGCATCTCATGCGAGCCTCACAAGGCATCGCTGGGGTGCCCATTTTACAGATGAGGGCAGTGAGCTGAGAGCTTTCTCAAAGTCATGGAACACACGTATCCAGAGGAGCCAGGGCACGGACCCCATTCTGTCCTGCTTCTCTATGGAGTACTCCTCCGGGCCTCAGCCCCCTCTCCATCCTTCGGCAGTGGGGCACCCTGGAAGGAGCACGGACTCTGGGTGCAGACGCTGACTCTGCTGCTGAGGCTGTGTCCTTGGGGACAGCATCTGACCTCCTGAAGCCTACGTACTCCTGCCTACAAGCCGGTGCAAGAGGAGCACTGGCCCATTGGGCTGCATAAGGGCCAGGATGACGCTCTGAAGTGAGCTGCACAGTGCCCAGGACACGGCTCTTATTATCACTCTTCACTTTTTTCTGACGGGGAGGGAGGGAGAGAACAGCAGGAAGTGGCCCTACCCCACCTCAGCACTCTGCTCTGCTTCTGTCTCCTGGTGACCTCTTCCTTGTTGTCCCCAACAAGCCTGTGTGTACCCAGCCCAGTGTACACAGCCCGGGACCAGGGGGACTGCCTGAGAGCAGGAACTGGGCAGCTCAGGGCCAGCACCGTAGAGCCGGCACTGGTGAGGGCAGCGAGGAGATGCAGCCGTGGCTGGAGTCTTCCTCATCGTACCTTCCAGGCTGGAAGAATGAACCCCCCCAGGCTGGGGGCACAGTCGGTCACCGGGGCAGATGCAGAGGCCCGGGGGGCCACAGTTCTATCAGGGCTGTTACAAACAGCCATTCCTGCAGCAGGAATGTGGCACGGGGTGGGGGAACCCGAGGGGAGATGCCAGAGCAGAGGTAGGGCTGTCTAGTCACCACATCCCAAAGAGCAGAAGAGTGGGCGTCACTGCTCTAACCAGAACACCTCTCAACGTGAGCACTGCCTGGGGCTGCAAGAAACACTTTGAGGAGCCAGGACCCCGAGGGCCAGCCTCCAGGAATGACAACAGGTTGCGACACAGCCCCCAGGAAGCCCGGGCTGGCTGCCTTGTTTAGCTGAGGAGAGAACGGCTGGAGCCGGCAAGGAGGGCATGGAGGCCACCAGATGGCGCTATTCCCACCACACCCAAAACCGATGTGTAACTCATTCCATGGCTCAAGCCTGTGCGACCGCACAGTGGCTGCCTGTCCAGCCTCTGGGAGGCTCTGGCATCCAAGTGGTGCGGCCACAAGGCTGGCTTCCTTCCCCCCGCGCCTCCCCCAAGCCCCAACTCACTGGCGTTTTGTGCTCACACTCAAAGGGCTCCATTGACAGCTCGCAGATGCGGGCTGGGGTCGGCTCCTGTCCTGCTCCGGGCACAGCCTGGTCTGCTGGGGTGGCACGACCAGCCAAATGTCAAAGCAGCCAGCCCCTGGGCTCTGGAGCCCGGCCCGGACAGCCGGGCCCGGAGTGTGGAGACAGCCCCAGCCGACACTCTTTGGCAAGAACGAGATCAGCAGTGTCCTCTCTCCTCCTCCAGGGGCCGCCCCCAGGAACAGGCTAAGTCCAGGCCACTCCCAAGACTCCCAAGTTCTTCCCCAAGATGCCTCCCCAGAGGGCTGACTGCTTGGGTGGTCCAGCAGCTCCCCCACTATTTACTTTCCTTCCCAGGAGAAAACAGAGAGGAACCTGCCAGGGAGTTGCCTGAGGGACAGGTTGGGGGTTGAGGGACATGGGCCCAAAGGTGCTCCCGAGGGCGGGGCGGGAGGCAAAGAACTGGGAGGGGTGCAGGCCCCCTCCCTCGCTCCCTCCCTCCTGACTCCACCGCTCAGGTGGAACCTCCCAGGGGTCATCTTTGCCAGGGAACGTGAGAGCCGACCTCCTCTTTCATCAGCTCACAGCCCAGGCCCAGCCCACACCCGCCAGGAGGGAGGAGAGAAGAGGAGGAGGAACAGAGGAGGGCCGTGCAGACCTTCGGGGCAGGGAGCAGGCAGGAACCTGCAGCCGCAGGACCAGTTCCCAGCAGGGATTCCCTCGCCTGCGGGGGCAGCGGTGGCACTGGCTCCCTACTTCGGCAGCCGCCCCATGTAATGTGACACTTGAATCTCCAGGACGACCAACAACAAAAAAGCTAAGGCCGAGACAGCAGCTGGCTGTCAGCAGCCAGGAGCTCCGCTGCGCTGAGCAGAGGCACCCGGGGAGCAGCCGCGGGTCAGGAAAGAGGCGTCCGCAAAGGAAGGAAGAGGTGTGAGCCCCGCTGGAGGGGAGGCCGGAGGAGAGGCACGCGGAGGCTGCTGGGCTCCCCAGCACCTGCGGTTGCCCCCCAACCCCAGCACCTGAGCTCCCAGGTGAGTGGCTCCGCTCACAGATGAGGCGGGGACGAAGGGAAGGGAGCCGCCAGGGTCCCCTGTCTCAAGGGTGGAGGGCCACAATCTACCACAAGCACGGAGAGGAGGGTCCTGGGGGACACGCTTGGTTGTAGTCTCTGGAGAGCCTCCCTTTCGAACTCAGGCTCCCCCTTCTCTTGCTGGGACCCAGCACGGGGCACAGGCCGAGGCTGCAGCCCTCTGCTGGCTTGCTGAGCAGGCAGAGGGGCCTGGAGTGCCTGCTTACTCGGCAAGTTAGTTTAAGCTTTTCCTATTCAGGGGGCTTAAACGAGGGATTTGGCTGGCCTGGCCTAGGGGAGAACCATCGCCTGCCCACTGAGCCTCCCTTTTTCCAGGGATCAAGTCCCTGCTTTCTCCCAGGCAAGGAGGCTCAGGGCAGGGTCTGCCCGGCCACCTTGCACCTCCCAGGATGCGAACCTGTGGCAGCTCTGCCCATCGTGTCCTGGACAAAAGCAGCAGCTGCCGCCTCTCATGGGGGTCTCGGAGTTCTCAGCTCGGAGCTAGGCCCAGGTGCTCCTCCCTGGGCCCACAGAGGTCCCCAGGATCCCCCAGATCTCCCTGAATGCCACGCCAGAAGCATGAGGGCCCTAAACCCAGGGTGGGGGGGGGAAGTGAGGCTTGGGGAGGGACTGCCCCGCCCCGTACTTGGCCCTCCGCCGCCATCAGAATGCTGATAGTTCTCGGCGCACTGAAATCAGCTCCCGTGGGCAGTGATGGCACAGAGGGGACAGACGCCGGGTGAGGGAGGGACGCAGTGATGAGCCCATGGCTACCCCTGCCGGCTCTTATCTGTAAGATGGCCCAGGCAGGCAGGCAGGGATCAGAGCCCCTAGATCCAGAGGACACAGGTGGATGGGGACCCCCAAACACAATCCCTGTGCGGGGACAGAAGGGTGATGCCCAGCTTCTGGGGCTGCAGGAGCAATCAGCGGCAACAGGAAGTGCCTCCTCCTGCCCGGGAAAAGCTAAGGGGCTGGGGAAGCGGGGGCTGCCGAGGGTCCAAGTGTCACTGGACCCCACTGGAAGGCGGGGCCAAGGCAGAAAGCGCGGCGCACAGTGGGCATCTCTGCCTTGCTGGTTAGGCCACCGGACCCCGCAAGACTCCCCCAACCTTCAGTTATGCCTCATTCTAGTTCTTTCTCCAACAAGACATTGCCCAGGGGGCAGGGGTGGCTGAAACCCACCTTGACAAAATAACAGGGCAAGGCAAGAAGCCCTTGGGCCCTGGGCCATCAACACACCCTTATCAGACAGCACACATCCGCTGCCTGGGATCTCCCCACGCAGCTGCATCTGGAGTTGGAGTGTCAGTTCTGCAAAGAGGAAACAGGGACGCTTCAGTTCCAAGTGGCAGTTGTCGGGCCGGCAGGCGGCCTGCCTGCTCTGTTGCAAGGTTCTCTGTGCCAGGAGGTGCCACACAAAGGCATGTTTTCTAGTCCCTCCAGCTCTGCCAGCCTTCCCTTCAGCCCAGCTCACCTTCCCCCTCCACTGGCTGCCACTCCAGCCGGGGAGCACCCTCCGAAGGTGTCGAGAAGGGCCATGCAGGCAGCCAGGCCAGGAGAAGCCACCACTTGCTCTGGCTGCTTCTAACCGAGGTGCTACTGAGCACGGGGTTGGGGGAGATCCTCATTCACAGGCAGAAAGTACAGTTTGGGAAGGAGTGTGGTGGAGCTGAGATAGAAAGACTGGAAAAATATATAGAGAATTACCAGTAGCCCCACTGGGCTTCCCTGCCCTCTGCTCTCCAAACCTGGGAAGGTTAAGAAAACAAGAGGCAGCCAGCCCTAGGATGCCCACCCTCCCTGGGCCACAGCTGGGAACACTCAGGGCTCCCTCCAATGCAACAGCTGGGGCACAGGCCTCACGGTCACCTGACGATGGCTGGTTATATCGGGCACCAGGCGTCAGGCACCCCTTGGCCTCGCTTTAAATAGCGTGCTGGAAAGCCCGCCTGGGACCTGCTGGAATGTGCCTCCGCCCTCTTAGGAGAACAGGCCCCTCCCAGCCCCCCACAGTCCCCACTAAGGCTCCTCTGCTCAAGGCCAAGCTGGAAATGATAAAACAGCAACTGAAAAGCAAAGGGGGCTTCAGCCTTTGGGGCAGAACAGCCGTGTCCAGCAGCCCCACTCCTGCAGACAGGATGCAGTGAGCAGCCCTGGGGCCAATCCAAGTCCCTAGAGGCCCTGGCTGTCCACGTCCGTGGCCCGCTGGAGTGGACCGACACTCTCCCCAGAGTGGGGCCCGGGTCCCCTGGGCGTGAGTCTGCAGCTTTCAGACTTCCTAACCCCTGGAGGACGGCTGACTTTAAAGGCGAAGCTTCGGATCAACAGGCCCCGCCTTTCCGGCACAGCAGTTCAGCCCGGCCCCACCTTCCCCCTCCCTGCTCTGGAGATCACGCCCCAACTGACCAGGGTCTCCGCGCAACCTCTCACTCACAAGCGGAGGCGCGCCCCTCTGCAATCCCTCCTGGGTCTTTGGGCGTGGGGGGCACAGGTGAAAAAGCCCCCCGCCGACCCGCTCGCCTCCGCCTTCTCTGTGAAGGAGTGTCTCTGATGGCTACATTAGGCAGTGCAGGCCCTGGGCCAATCAGGCTGAAAAAGCCAGGCCAAGTAGCCGAAGAGGGGAGGGGAAAGCAGCCCAGCTCCTGAGCCCGGGGCAAGCTCCCCCTCGGCTTCGGTCGGCCCACCGGTCCCTCGGTCCCTCCTCCAGGAATGGGACCAGCGGGCGGGCTCCCGTCCTCCTGGAAACCCGGGGAGCGAGATGCCCGGAGGCCCCAGAACAAGGGAGGGGACCACCTTCCTGTGCACACCTGCTCCACTGGTCAGTGGGAGGAGGTCTGTTCGGTGTGACCTGAGGAGAGGGGTCTTATGCTTGGGAAGGAGTTCACGAGCCTGAGACGGAAAGACTCGCAAGATCTGCCTTTGGTGACAAGTCACAGGAGGTTCTCAAAGAGCAAGTGTGGCCTGGTGAGTGATGAGAGCTGTGTTCCAGACTCCCGTGTGGGGTGGGGCTGATCACGCAGAGCCCTGGTCCCTGTGCTGAGCCCATCGCATGGGCCAGGCCCTCTGTGGGCTGCTCCTGGGCCGACTTATCTTGCCCGTCGAAGAGCAGGCTGCCTGAGACAGGCGCCCACGGAGGGATGGCGGAGGCAGCGCTGCCAGGCCCCACTCCTGCAGTGTGACCGTGAAGTCCCTTCCTCTCTCTGGTCTCAGTGTCCCCATATGCAAAAGAAAGGAGGCAGGAGTGGATGACCCATGGCATTCTAGAATTCTATGCCTCCTAGTACATTGGAAAACTGGGATCCTGATCTCCTTTGTAGCAATGTGCAGACCCTGGGGTGGGGCATGGGAGAAGCTGGGAGGCTCTAATTTCAGGAGCTCGCCCTTTGACAGGAGACCATCTAATCCTCCACGGAGCCATCACCTGCCTGCTACCCCCCATCATCACTTAAAACATAGCCCCCCCATCTCCAGCCAGCCCCCCACCACTCTCCTTTACCTCATACACCACAAACATCCCGGGCATGAAGGACACAGACGGAACTCCCCAAAGGTGTTGGAGGAAGGTCACTGACAGCGAATGTGTGGGGGTGTGACAACCCCCAAAGGCCGCCTGGCCTCTGCTGCGCTGGCCGGACCCCGCCCAGAGGGGAATCACATGGGCTGGGTACTCCCGGAGCCCGGCCCTGTGCTCAACCCTCCCGACAGCCTCGAGAGACGGGCACCTCATCTTCATGGAAAACGAGAAAAGGAACAGACTCAGAGAAACGGAGCCACTCCCGTGTCACAAAAGCAGGAAGAAGGCTGGCAGTATTCAAACCCAGGATGATTTGAATGCTATTCTATGGGGGCGGGGGGCACCTGACCCGACGAGGGCAGTTATCCTGTGGGGAAGGAGATGCAGGAGGAATCCGCGCTGGCCGTCCAGGCCCTGGAGGACCGTGAGGCGGAAGGGGGCAGAATTGGCCTGAGTGACCACAGGTGGGACTGACGAGGTCACCAGGAGATCCCATCTTCTAACGATCAGAGCTGCCCAAGAAGGAATGGGCCGGGCTGGGCCGCAGGGGGGCTCCCCACTCGAGCAAAGGCCGCATGCCAGAGGGAGGGCAGGGAGCCAAGTGCGGCGCAGAGGACTGGAGCGGATGACCTTCAAGGCGGCTCTAAGGACGCTACGCTGTGATGGCGGCGCCAGGAGTGACCAGCCTCACAGACCGCAGCCACCTGGGGGCGAATGTGCCTGGCTGAGGGACGAGGCGGAGGTAATGAGAGCTTACAGTCTGGCTCAGGCCCCTGGCCGCCTGCAGCCCTGCCCTGGCTAAGAGCTGCCTCGGGGAACAGGCTGATTCTGGGTTGGCATAGGCTGTCCCTGATCCCTCTCTGAAGAGGCGCTGGCTCCCTCGTGCCCACCAGGGAGGCGGAAGGGGAAAGAAGGTCTGTGGCATAATGTGTTCTGACTCACTGACCCGGCCTGGACCTTCACCTTCGGCCCCTTGGGCACGACAGACAGGAGGAGGCTCTTGGTCCTGGGGCCTGTACGCTCAGTTGCCCCTCACCTGGGGCCGGGGGCAAGGGGTGTTGGGGGAGGGGGGAGCGGAGGGGACTCTCTTGGTCAGCCAGAGAGGCAGGTCCAAGCCAGCAAGAGAGGGAGGCTAAACGCCCCCTGGGACGCCTGGTCCCATCCTGAGAGAGGACCCCTTGGGGAAAACTAGAAGGACACGGTGTCACCTCCACCTTCTCACAGGAAGACACGGTATGAGTAAAGAAATGAGGCTGGTGGGAGAGGTGGGGGGCCCCAGGGGGGCTCAGACCACTGCCCCCAGTCAGCTCTCAACTACGGCCGACCCCGGCCAGAAGCCCCCATGAGCCTGCTCTCGGAAGAAGCCGACCCTTCTGTCCCCACATATGATGAAAAGCAAGGGTGCCAGGCTGGCATCCCAGAGCCCCATGTCCCCACCAGGGAGGCACTCAGGGGCCGCCAGGGGAGCCATGCCCATCCGAGGCACCCTGGCAACACCTAGGAGTGGTGTCTAAGACAAAGGAGCATACAGTCTCCTTCACGGTCAGCAACCGTGGCTGACCTCGGCCGGCTGGCAGACCCCTCCTGCGGCAGGGTCTCCGGCTCACTGTCATCCCCAGCTTCCCTCGCCCGAGCAGTGCCAGCTAGGTGGGGGCTGAGGGCCACAGCGGAGCGGTAAGCAAGGGGCCCTGCCGGCTCCCTGCCTCCCTCGTGAGCTGTGAGCCACCAGGGCTGTGAGGGGTGAGACCTGACAAACTCGTTCTGCAGGCTGGGGTAGGTGAGAGGGCAGATTCTCTGGAGGCAGCTCCGTGGGGACTCCAGGTCCTCTCCCTGCTCTGCAGCTCAGGAGGAACCCCGGCAGGGACCCGGCACAACATGGCAGCCTCCAACCTTGCGCTGGAGATGCGCTCCATAGGGGAGAGGCTGCTGCACAAGCTGCAGATGCTGCCCCAGGCCGAGCCCGTGGAGATCGTGGCCTTCTCGGTCCTTGTCATTTTCACAGGTAAGCTGGGGCTCCCAGAGTCTCCTCAGCGCCCATGGCTCTTCCTGGCATCCAGGAGAGACGAGACCATGGTACCAGCCACGGGGCTGGCAGAGGTGGCTGGGTGGTCCCCCAGACAGAGGAGGAGAAGCAGATGTCCCCTGGGGGGAGCCAGGGGATCCCCCCTAATCCTGACATGCTGCTCTAGGAAACAGGTGTGCTGGGCACCAGGGCCCAGAGGTGCCTCCGGCACCCCAACCCACAGATGGAGGGAGCGAAGCTCTGGGGGCCGACATGGGGACAGTCACACCTCTTCCCAGACTCTCGGGTATTTCTGACCACTAAGCCAGGGCTTTGGTGAAGGTCCTCCAGGCCCCCAGAGGGGCCTCTTTGGAAGTATGGCGGGCGTTCTTTTCCTCCTCGCCTCTGAGTTTCCGGCGCTCTCTGCTCTCTCCCCCAACCCCCCAGCCACCGTGCTGCTGCTGCTGCTGCTGGCCGTCGGCTACTGCTGCTGCCGGTGCTGCCGCCCTAAGCGGGGAGGCAGGAGGGCCCTGGTGGGACCCACGACCCCACCGTGAGGGCCAGGGCGGCGGCCGAGGAGGAGCCGGAGAGGAGACCGCCAAAGCCATGACCCAGGGCATCAGCCTGGCCCTGCAGCCCTCAACCCTCAAGACAAAGATCCACGGGCCCAGCCCTGGCCTAGCCCAGGAACCCAGACACTGACTGAGAGCTGGAGGCTCGTCAAGGAAATAAGGGCTGTGCCGACCACAAAACTCTCACCTGACAGTGAACACAGGGTGCCGAGGAGGACTCGACTGTTTCTAAGACAGAAAACCACCGGGGATTCTGTGCCTACCTGCGCTTTCTAACAAAACAAAGAAGTGGGGTCCCCACACCTGGAGAACAGCCCGCACGTGTGGGGAGCTGGCTCAAGGCTCCCACGCCAAAGAGGAGCAGGCCAATCGGAGAGGGGCTTTGCGCGGCAGCTCCTGTGTCCCAAGCTCCCCCCGAGCACGCACACGTCTGTGTTCCATTCCAGTATTTGCCTGTTTCTTTCCCAGTAAAAGCTTTCTGGTTATGTGTGTCTGTGGTGCCAGACTCCCTGGGCTGGGTTACGTGCATCAGGTGGGCAGCGTGCCAGAATTCCAGGGACATGGCCAGTGACCGTCCCTGCCAGGCCTCTGCTCTCCCTGTGCTCTCGGAAGCTGGAAAAACAAGCAGGCAGGAATGCCACGCGAGAGGGAAGGCTGCGGAACCAGGGGAGGGCTGCGGCGCCCTTCCTGCCAAGCACCAGCTGCTAACAAGCTCCGCCCTCCCCAGACGCCTGCTCGGCAGTGGCGGAGGCTGCGTCTGCCCCAGGCAGGTGCCGGGCTCAGGAAAGCCACACCACGGTCACCACTGCCATTAACCGCAGCCAGCACACCCCGTCCTACCAGGCTCAGGCCACTGGGTCTTCCCAAACTTCTGCAATAAGAGAGGTGAGGCCCCTACTATTGTCCATAACCTGCATCCTGACCGCTCCGTCCTTTCCCCACCGTGTGCCGGACTGTCTGCATTCAAATCCTCACACTCCCACCCCCGCCAGCTACGAAACCGGAGGTCAGTGACTCAACCTCTTCAAGCCATGTTTCCTCCCCTGTGAAATGGGGCTAATCCTGGTCCCCACCTCCTGGGCTAAGCCTGTGAGGATAAACCGAGATGACCTTGGCACAGTGCTGGGCATATCCTAAGACCTCCACTGATATGAAGCATCATTATCTGCCCCTCTAAATAGGGCGCCAAGCCAGAGCAATGTGGACTCATTTTAAAAACTGGGCCTGCTGACATGCAACACTGCTTGGCCTCTTTCCCTTCAGTTTACTTTCTCTCCCACAGAACTTTCCAGGTAGAGCTACAAAGCCAGGAACGAGGGCAGGGGAGGCAGAGGCTCACGCGGTACCCGCCCCGACACACACATACAACCCTGGTCCGCCGGGGCCATAAAGAAGTCTGCGTTTTTTATACGCCTCTGTCATCTTGGCCTGTGCAGCCCATGCTCTGCCTGCCTTGAGGCAGAGCTCCATCTACTCAGAAAACAGGGAGTGGAGAGGGGATGCCAGCCCTGCCACTCCCCTGCGGCCCCACCATCTCCAGCTGACAGGCAGGCAGGAGAAGCTCTCTCTCTGGTTGGTTTCACTTCCTGGTGCCCAGGGACTTCTCTGACGGGTTTGGTTTGGGTTGAAGACCCAGAGAAGAGTGCTTCCATAGAAAATAAAAGAAATTCAAGAATCTGTCTGTACTCTCTACCACCCCCACCACACCACAAAAGAATGGGACTCGGAAAAATAATGATAACCATAATAATACTTGCAACAATGGTGAGGATAAAGATATAAGTAAAATTCACTGAGGACTCATCCCCGCTCAGGCAGTGTCTTAAGCATTTTGATGCAGATAAATTCATTTAGTCATGATGACAACCTCAATGCCAAATGTACCATTATTATCACCATTTTAAAGATGAGGAAATAGGTAACTTCCCTAAATTTGACCAGCTGAAAAGTGGCAGAGCCAGCCTCTGGGCACCCCCCACCTGGCTCCAGAGCCCCTGCTCACCACACCCGGGGCCCCAGGCCTCCAGCTGTAGTACTGATAAGGCTCTCACTCCATTATCCACCACCTACAATATCAACCCTCGATCCCAAACAGCCGCACCCCAAGCTCTTCTCAAAGTAACCTCCCTATAAGCGGGTGTGCCCTCAGAGTTAAGAGCTGGGGTGGGGCCCAGCTATGTCTCCCACCCAGAAGAAAAACAGAGGGAGGGTGGGAGGATGTGAAGCCCCGCCCTTGCCAGTCCCAGCACCAACAGCTGGCGGGTCCCCAGGAAGCCCTCAGTTCAGGAGAAGCTCCAACGGTGCAGCAGCCTGATCCCCGTGTGACTTTTCCTTACGTGAGGTACGTCGGCATCAAGAACATCCTTCCTCAGTGAGGCTGAGGCTGAGCATCTTTTCTAGAAAAGATTCAGGCTCCCTGGTCCAGCTGCCAGGAAGTCGGCAGACCTGGGCACCGACAGGTTGACAGGACGTTCATTCGCGTTCTCCTCCTCCAGGCCAGGCAGTACTTAACTGCTGACCCCAAATAAGATTCTGTCCCTCCCCTTGGAGGGCTTACGGGGGCACGCTGAGCCCCACCACCAATGGCTCCCCTCCTGAAGCTGTCACGCCAGGTCCCAGGCAGGCTCCAATCCCACTCGGATCAACCAACCAGATCTGCCCCAGCACAAGAGCAGCCTGACATACTCTGGCTGGTCCTCTGGGGAAGATGGGCATGGAGAGGAGGCAGCAATTCCCCCATCATGGCAAAGAATAAACAGGTACAGCAAGGCAGGTGGTGACCATGGAAGGGGCGGCCATCAGGCCGTCTGAGCCCCAGAGAACATCTGGCTGACTCTGGCCGCCACAGCTCTCTGTTCCCACCGCCATGCCACCCTGGAACAAGCTACCAGCAGCGCCTGCCTGCGGTCACTGCCCCAGCGTCCCAGCCGGTCTCTCGACTGTGGTCTCGCGGTCCCTCACGAGGGTTTCACTCTACACCTCAGATCTGTGCAGTTTACTGTACATATGTTACGCCTTATTGGAAACTACAGTAAAGCCACCGGTGCAAGAATCTTATTAGCAAAACTTGGCAGAGCAGACAAAACAGTTTTCTCCTGTTTTCCCAAACATTAACATTTGAAAGCAATCTACAGATAACAATCTTCAATACGACATATTTGCTTGTGGGTAATAACAAATTACAGACCATAAAAAACTGAGGACAGGGTGTTCCCTGGTGGCCTAGTGGTTAGGATTCTGGGCTTCCACTGCCATGCCCTGGGTTCAATACCTGGTCAGAGAACTGAGATCCCTCAAGCCGCACGGCAATAACAAGATAATAATTAAAAAAATAAAAGTTAAAAAAAAAAAACTGAAGACAAATTAATTTTGTCCTTAGGAAAAGTCTCCTCGCTCTCCTTGGGAACCGGCTGCATACCCTGGAACACTGTCTCCTCATTCTAACTCCTACGTCGGCTTCCCATCTCAACTTCAACATCGCTCCTCCCAGGGGAGTCTCCTCAGGCCCCAGGCCAGACTATGCCATGGGCACCAACAGCATTCTCTACCTCTTCCCATCACATCATTCCCTTCGTGGTGATCATTTCAGAAGGATTTTCCGATCAGGGCCAGAAGTTAATTGAAAAAGTCAATTAAAGCAACGTTTGTGTACCCGAGATGTACGTTCTCTACACCTCTCATTTGAAATGGAAACATACAGACGCACATTCCTCAGTCAATCTTTTTGATGCAGGGCCGAGGTCTTTTCTCCAAGTGTGGGTTTGCCGACCAGAGTTCCTGAATTGTCTATTTGCTAATTTTGATTTCTTTAAGGCGGAATAAGAACTTGAAGACATCTGCAAGGAAACCTGAGTGTGAAATACTTCTGCATTTTTAGGAAATGTTTACAGTTGTCCTGTCCACATCTATTTTTGACAGGAACAGCTGGGTCCAAACCCCAAAGCAGTAACTTCTTAGCTGTGTGACCCTGGGTAGTTATTTAACCTCTCTGTGCCTGTTCCCCAGTTGTAAAACTGGGGTTTCAGCTATTATCACCACTTCATTTTTATGTAACGTTAAGTGCAATTACGTAATTACAAGTACAACTGCCACAAAACAGGTTTGGGAACAAGCAGCTGACGCTTAATAAGCATCCAACTAAGCTAATGGAGCAGAAGTCCGAGGGTGTGCTGAGACCAGCCTGCTGGCTCTGAGCATTCAGCAGGCCAAGGGCATTAGTCAGAGTGTTTTACAGAAGGAAATGCGAAGCGGCAGGTAAGCCAAGGTCAATTAAGCCAGGATAGTTAAGAAGGACTTCAAGGAACTTGCCCATCATCTCCTCCAGCCCCGGCTGCATGTCAGAATCACACGATGATGGCTTCCCTGGTGCTGCAGTGGTTAAGAATCCACCTGCCAATGCAGGTGGATTCTCAAACACATGTTTGAGCCCTGGTCCAGGAAGATCCCACATGCCACGGAGCAACTAAGCCGTGCACCACAACTACTGAGCCTGAGCTCTAGAGCCTGCGAGCCACAGCTACTGAGCCTGCCTATCACAACTGCCGAAGCCTGCGTGCCTAAAGCCCGCACTCCACAACAAGAGAAGCCACCGCAATGAGAAAGCCGCGCACCGCAACGAAGTGTAGCTCCCACTCGCCACTAGAGAAAGCCCGCGTGCAGCAACAAAGACCCAACGCAGCCAAAAATTAAAATAATAAATTAAATAAATTTTAAAAAAACCCCACTAAATTGAAAAAAAAAAAGGAGAATCACCCAACAAGGTTTACCAAGCACAGGGCTCTGACACGCCCAGAGGCTGATCTCTGTGCTACCAGGTGGGGCCTGGGCACCGGCGTTCAGAAAAGCTCCCGGATGATTGGAACAGGCAGGGTTGAGGACCAGTACCCTATAATGTAACCCCTGGGAGGGCAGGGCCTGCCTCTCTCGCTCACGACTGGACACGCAGCACCTGGCGCAGTTCTTGGCCACCGTGGGCACTCGACTCCCGTCTTTCAAGGATGGAATGGCAGCCACCAGGTTCCACGAGAAGGGACACAGGCCCCACTCCTGCTTCCCGGCTGCCCCATCACACCAGGGGGTGGGAAGCCACACGAAGCAGCTGCGGCCGGGCCTAAGCGGCACACAAAGACACCAAGGGCGAAGCTGGGCCTCCACAGGAGCCTGGGGCCTCAATGGTGATAAACACCCACATGCTGGTTCCAGGAGGTGCCAGCTGGAGCTGTGGTTAATCATCAACCCGGTGCCACAGGAAGTGAGCGGCCATGCATGGCAGCCCCAGCCCTGGGGCCTCCCGAGCTCTGGGCAGGTCCTTTCAGTAGACGGGTCATCCGGACTGAGAGGAGGGGCAGGACCCAGCCACAGGTGAGGTGGACGGGAGGCCTGGGGCAAGGGCCCCGGATCCAGTCTCTTCCCCCACCCACCCCAAGTCTGACCTCTCTCAGCCAGGACACCTCAACCCACGCCCCTGAGCAGCCCCCCAAAACAGCATCACAAAAGGGCAGAACGCGGCGGAGGGGGTAAGTGTGAAAGGCTGAAAGAGAACGCGGTTGCTAGGCAATGGGCCCTAGCCCACCTTTGTTTGCTCTGGTGACAGCAAGCAGGTCTGGTCAGGGGCAGTCAGCAATGCGGCCACCTTTTCCTCCCACGAGTTGCTTCTCTGAGTCCCAGTGCAGCTCTGGTCACCTGGTGGCTTCTTCAGCTCAGGCCCCCAAGGCGTGGGGCCTGAAGGATTACCCTGACCTGCCTGCCCCGCTTAGGACACAGGAGTACAAACAGCAGACCCCGGTAATGGCTCCTTCCTTCTCCGCCTTTACTCCCTTCAACTGGCTACAGACTCACAGCCTGCCCATCTCAGCTGTGTTTCAAGATTAGTTAGTCCTTCTGTTTTCACCTGCCTCTAAGGAAGCCTACAGAGGCCTCAGCTTGAGACCATCCACTCCTGGGCTCCTGTGCTGATCTCTCAAAATGCTTCCCAAATGTTTGGCAACCGAGGCAGGAAACCCAGGAAGGGTCTAGAGCGCTGCTTTTTAGATCCTGGCTGAGCAGTTCTCAGGGATGGGAGAGAAAGTCCTGCTCACAGCAGAGCTGTTCAGGAAAGGACTGGAGAAGACAGAGGCAGCCTCCAGGAAGAACTCAAGGGACCCCCCTCTCTTGGTGCCAGTCCCTGCTTTTGCTTCTGTGGAGGAAGAAAGCCCATTTGTTGCTTGCTGGAGGCATTGAGCCCAATGACCCACCATCCCTTCAATGCCTGCTAGCTACAGAGGTGGCCGCCGTTCTCTGAGATCGCACCAGAGGGTGAAGTTGGGGGCAGGGAGTAGCACCTGGGACAGGGCCTTGGAGAAGCCCCTGCACTCAGGGCCTCTGTCCCCACTTTTCCAGGTTCACATGGACAGACTACTAACAAAACGCACCTGGAAGGATGAGTTCTGGCAGAACCCCTTCGACCAGGGGGGCCTGGTAGTGATCTGCTTGTTCATCATTACGGTCCTGTTTCTCATCTTGTTTGCTATTGTGTTTGGTTCACTCCCCGCACTCGATAGGGTCAACGAGTGTGAAGAGTCGTGACCTGACTTTCTGTGGGCCAAGAAGGGGGCCACTGTTATACACTCTCAAAACGCCATGTACCTTTTCTCCAAAGCCCTTCTAACAGTCTGGAATTATACATTTTTCATGTGATTATCTGATAAGTGCCTGTCTTCCCCACTGGTCCAAGCAACAAAAAGCAGGGGCTGGGTCTCTTTCTGTTCCCAATTGTACCCCCTTTTCTGATGTGCCCTCGCACAGAGTCAGTATCAATCAATATTTGCTGGTTGAATAAATGAATGAATGAACGAATGAGCAAATGAATGGATAAACAGAGGGATGCTGGGCCATTGGCTCCCCCAGCCTGGAGACCCCAGGAGTTGACAGAGCCCAGTACAATCTAGGCCTAAACCAAAGCTGTTTTTCCCATCTCAGGGTCCAGAGGCCTCTAGGCTGGAGGAAGGTTGCTTTGAACCTAATTACTGTTCCTTTTACACGCAAAGGTAAATTTGGCCCTGTCATAAATAATCAAATGCATTTCACGGCCACGCTCAGAGAAAGTAGCTGCACGCAAAGAAGAGAGGAAGCCATCTGGACGCCCCACGCTGGCCTCATTCATGTGACCCAAGTGTCTTTTCTCTTGGTCCCAGAGATGCCCAGGTATCCCTCACAGGGTCCCCCAGCCCCCATGCACCCCAGACCCTACAACACAGCCCTTGTAGAAATGTCCCTGCCTCTGCCGAAGCCATCAAGCAGGCCTGTCCCTCGCTGCCAAGTGCCCTCCCTTTGCAAATAGCTGCTTCAACGTCAACCTCAAACCAGGCTATTCTCAGAAAAAGGGCAAGTATCTGGTGAGGAAGGGGCTTTGCCTTCGTGTTATATACCATTTATGCAATGAAGAAACATTCCTTTCTACTCAAAGAGCAATTTCAAATCCAGCCATACCAGCTGTGTTCACTCCGTCCCAGGGTCTGGAAGTCCTGGAATCTGACGCCCTCATGTGTAGCAAATGAGATAGAAGAGATGAGGCTGCACACGGGGCAACAGGAGGCCCACTGATGCCCAGACCCTTGACACTCTAACAGGTCCCAGGTCTCTGGTATGAGACAGAAAGCAGAGGGCCCTGGGAGGACCTGTCCTCTTGCCTGGTGAGTTGCTGCAGCCCAGAGGGATACGGCAGAGCTAAGCTTCCAGACAGCTCCACAGAGCCTCATACTCACCCCAAACAAGAGTCCAGCCAGGGTGACTCCAAGCAGAGGGGACTCTGACAACTAGCAAGGACACTGAGCCCTTTCATGACAAGCGCTTTACTCAAGGAACCAAAGAAGGCCTAATTTAGCAACTCACTATGTTAGTGCCTGAAAAGGGCTCTGGTTGCAATGGCTGTGGGCAAGGGTGCCAACCACCTCTGCTGGGCGTGGTCTTGCCACAGAGGCCAAATGAGACATGGCAGCTTAGAGAAGCAAGTAGCTTCAGCCTAGGAGCCACAGACTTGGTGAATAGGAGGGGGTGGGAATCAGAACACATGGCCCAAATAAGTGCCTCTCTGGTTTCCAGAAGAAAGCCCCAAACATCTGGTGGGCACCACCAGTACCATGCACCTAATCAACTCCATGCTTCAAGAATCCAGTCTTACAAAAACCAAGATGGCATGTGCATATCACTGCAAACTGGGAAATGGGGGATTAGTGGCATCCATGAAGGATCTTAGTTCCCCGACTAGGGATTGAACCCCGGCCCTCGGCAGTGAAAGCACCGAGTCCTAACCACTGGACCGCCAGGGAACTCCCAACCACGACCTCTCTGGACAGTGGTCTGTTCATCTCTTAAGTCTGAAGCAATCAATTCTGCCTCATCTACCTTACAGGGTTGTCCAACGAGATCTGACCAGTGAGAGCAGAGGAATCAAACAGGTTTTTCGAGCAAAGGGCTACACAAATGCAAGTGCTCCCAGCTTGTCCAGAATGCTCTGGATGCCCCTCATACAGTGCGCCCACAGCTGCTCGTGCCCAGGGCTCTCCCGGCCACAGTCTGCCTGTTGCTGAGCAGCTATCAGGCTCTTTCATGGCCCCCACCGCCAGCAGATTCAGATCAAATAGATAAGTGGGTTCCAAGTAGGCAGGCTGGTGTTATGTTAGAAAAGTTGATTTCTCTCCAAGCACATTACCGCCCCTGCCCTCCCAAGACATAAACTGGGCCACACGTCTCTGCTTGGGTCTGGGATGAGTGACTACTCCACAAGTGAAGCAGTAGTACAGCGCAGTGGCACATTATCACCACAATGCCAATGGCTCAGAACTGGTCACATCTCTCGGAACTGAGTCACCCAGGGTGCCAGCCACTCCAGAAGTGGGTGGAGTGGGATGGGTGGATGACCACCCAAAATACTCAACGAATCCTCACAGTGCGAGAGTTTCTGGGGCCTTCCACAGAAAGGTGGGAGGGTACCAACTTCCATGCTCCGACAGGAAATATTCCCACACGATGGCTTTCAGCAGGCAGGGGTCCCTTGGTGGCCCAAGAACTGTCCTATGTTAGCTTGTTAACTAGCAGTGCTGGGAGAGGAAAAGATCTCACTAACACTTGTTTCCACACACAAGATAAGTCACTCACCCCGATTCTTCACAGAAGGCCACCAGGGCATCAAAGGCCAAGACAGCAGCTTTATCGGATGCTTTGTTCCCTCTCTTCTCCTGGAGACAAGAAACGACCATTCAGTAAAAGTCTTACATAGTTGGACTACAAATGTAGTAGCCCAACAAATGGTGAGAGAGAAAAATATCAAATGACACTAATAAAGCCATTCACAAAACAGAGTCCCCACACCTGACCATGCATCGGAATCACCTGGGTAACTTTAAAAGACCTGAGGCCCAATTCAGCAAGACTACTGAATTGAACTTTCTGAACCTGGAGCTCCAGGGAGTTTATATTTTCAAAAAGCTGCTCAGGTGATTCTCATGCAAAGGGCCCGGGGAATGGCATTTGGGAATCACTGTATAATATGACCTAATTTAATAGGGGTTAAATACATACACGAGTGTGTGAAGGAACATACTAACCTCTGTATGTGTGGAAGGACATACACTAAACGTTGACAGTCATTACTTCTGAGTGTTGGGATTATACGTTATTTGCCTTTTGGTACATGGTTATTTGTTAAATTTTCCTTTTAAAAAACTGTGAAGGGACTTCCCTGGCGGTCCAGTGGTTAAGACTTCGCCTTCCAATGCAGGGGTTGTGGGTTTGATCCCTGGTCGGGGAGCTAAGATCCCACATGCCTCGCAACCAAAACAGCAAAACGTAAAACAGAAGCAATACTGTAACAAATTCAATAAAGACTTTAAAAATGGTCCACATCAAAGAAAAAAATCTTAAAAAAAATTGTGAAAAAGTTTAAAATACAGAAGAGCCAAGAAAATATAGCAGACACTAATACCCAAGACATTCTCTATTCTTTCTGCTTCCGGAAGTTGAATGGTTCCCATCTCCCAAACACACAAATCCACATACTTCCTCTACTTCCATTCTCCCAATATATTTATATCACGATTTCTTATTACATCACAATTTCCCTTAAGGTGATTCTTCAGAGCTAACCGCTTGATTATATTTTTACTATTTCCCATGATCACATATCCTTTGACAACGTTGTTTCTCCTGAAATTAACAGCTGACCTGTTTTTTCATTTCCTTAGATTTCAGTGCATCACGAATACCCCCCCAAATGTTCTGATGTAATGAAAAATTCACTTCGGGAAGCGGGGGCCAATGATGGCCAAGGTCCACTTTTATCTTTGGAAACGTCCTTCCTGGTGCCTTCCATCCCCATGTTCCACCTGGGCCTCTGCTCTCCAGGCCTGGTGCACAGCCGAGACTACCCTTCACTCTCGTCCTAGGACACTCCCTTTGCCTCGCTCCTGGGTCAGGTCTCCATCTTCCTTTCCTAGTTGACAGCCTCTGCAGTGGAGAACATCCTTTAGTAGCTTCTCCAAAGGAGAAAGTTTCTTAAAACCGTCTGTCTGAAAATGTCTTTATCCTACTTTCACACTAACTGATTGGCTGGGTAGGAAATTCTAGATGGGATGGTTTATTTAGCATTTGGAAGCACTGTTTCTCGTTTCGAATATTACAATGGTGAAAACTGGTGCTCTTTGGACTCCCCGTCCTCCATGTAACACCTCTCTGGAAGCTTTCTGGATCATCTCTTTTTTATTTATTTTTTATTAAAAATTTTTTTTCCACTGCATTGGGTCTTCATTGCCATGCACAGGCTTTCTCAAGTTGCAGTGAGTGGGGGCTACTCTTCATTGCAGTGCACGGGCTTTTCATTGCGGTGGCTTCTCTTGTTGCAGAGCACAGGCTCCAGGCACATGGGCTTCAGTAGCTGTGGCACGCGGGCTCAGTAGTTGTGGCACACGGGCTTAGTCACTCTGCGGCATGTGGGATCTTCCCGGACCAGAGCTTGAACCCGTGTCCCCTGCATTGGCAGGTGGATTCTTAACCACTGTGCCACCAGGGAAGCCCCTGGATCATCTCTTTATCTCAAATGATCTCAAATGTCTCAATGATGAGCCCAGTGTGAGTTCTTGTAATTCACTGTGTTAGTAAGTTTTAAATAAATACCTTATACCTAATCACCTTACCGAAATCTTTTCCTTGTCTAATTTGAACTTCAGACAAGTTAATCACACTCCCTTAGGTCATGGCAAACTATCATCCTTGGTCCTCGCAAGACCTCTTCATTCCCAATCGCTACTTGCATCCACCTTCTCTCCCGTCATTCAAATTTATTCATTTATTCAATAAACACTTATTAAGCACTAAACTACATTCCCAGCACTGAGCTAGGCATTAATTACAGCTACACAGGAAAGGTTCCTGCTGTCATGGAACTTACATTTCAATATAGCAAACCTATAAAGTGAAACAGTAATAAATATGATTTTTATAAAAAGGAAGATACGAGACTTCCTGGGCCCCCAGCTATGCCTATTACCCTATGGGGAGTATTTACTATCATTTCTTCTTCACTCCCTATTGCTAGATATTTAGTTTGTTTCCGATTTTCTGTCCTCATGATCAATTCTACCATTCAAGCCCTTGAGCACATAAGGGCACACTGCCACTTTTATTTACTTATTTATTTTTGG